ACCCAAATAGAGCAGTGGTTCTCAACTTTCTCAATGTTGCAACTATTTAATACAATTCTTTATGTCATGGTGACCCCCAACCATAAAATCCTCTCGTTGCTACTTCATAACTATAATTTTGCTAACTGTTATGAATCATAATTGAGTCTGATATTCACTACTGGGGTTGTGACCCCATGTGAAAACCACTGAAATAAATGATAGGCTTCTGGTGAACAGTATCAAATGGTGCTGTTTTAAATCACAGCACAAAGAGAAAGCCAGGCTTTAAAGATTGTTTTCTGGCCTGGGGGTATAATTTAGCAGTAGTGTGTTGGCCTAGCATGAATGAAGTCTTAGGTTCAGCCCCTAGAACCAAACAACAGCAACAAAACGTTTTGAGCTCTAGGTAGTGACTCATGACTGTAATCCCAGCGCTCAGGAGGCAAAATGGCTGATTGTTACGAGTTAAAGGCCAAGCTTTCCAGGACTACAAAACAAGACCCTGTCTCAAAAACCTCAGTCAAACAAAATGGTTTTAGCAGATAACCACAGTACACCAAGCCTGACGACCTGAATTCCATACCCAGGACCCATAGGGGAAGGAGAGGACTAACTCCTGCACATTGTTCTCCATGGTACACTCTCCAACAAATACATACATTTTAAAAAAACTTCCCCAACCCCCCCCCTTTTTTTTAAATCTTGCCAAAAAATTTTTTACAAATATTCCTGGTAGACATTTTTTTTACACTACAAAGTAATATATTTTTTTTTTAAGATTTATTTATTATGTACACAGTGTTCAGCCTCCATGTATGCCTGCAGGCCAGGAGAGGGCGCCAGATCTCATTACAGATGGCTGTGAGCCACCATGTGGGTTGCTGGGAATTGAACTCAGGACCTCTGGAAGAGCAGTCAGTGCTCTTAACCTCTGAGCCATCTCTCCAGCCCTACAAAATAATATTTTAAAGAGCCCTTTCTCTTCCTCTCTTTTTTGTGAAGTTGTAGGCTCAGGCAAGTGTGGAGGCCACTGCCTATGGACCCACCCCCAAGAGACAGGCTTTGGGAGACTCTCGTACAGATCCAGTTGCAGCTGCATAGCAAAGCTTGGCTCAAAAAGGAGAAAAGAAAGAAAGTGCAGCCGTCCCAGAGCAGCACTAAGCATTGCACATCCCTGGGAGTTAATTCCCCGTGAACGTGACCTGCAGCAGTCACGCCCTTGGGTGCTGTGACCCTCAGAGCAGACGGTTTTCTTTTTAGTAGAAACCAACCTTCAGGGGTCTGTTCTCTTGGCTCTCATTTATTATTTTTATTTTATGTGTGTAGGTGTTTTGTCTGCATGTATATCTATGCATTCACAGAAGCCAGAGAAGGGCACTGAAGTCCCAGAAATGGGAGTTACCAGCATTTGTGAGCTACCAGATTGGTGCTGGGATCAAACCTGGTTCCGCTGGAGGAGCTGAGAACAAGTGCTCTGGACTGCCGAGCCCTTTCTCTGTTCCCTGCTTTCATCCTAAAGGAACAGGCTGTTTAAGTTATTCTGTCTTTAAAAAGAAAAGATTTATTTTTTTACCTTGGGTATGCTGTTGTGTTGAATGCCCAGGGGTCAGATAGTGCGGTCTCCCTTGGAGTTGGAGCTGCAGGTGTTTGTAACCCACTTGACAAGGCTGCTGTGATCTGAGCTCAGGTCCTCTGACACAGAAGTAAGTGCTCTTGACTGAGCCGTGTCTTAGTGCCTCATTTAAACTGTTACTAAGGGAAAATATCAGACACTGTGGCAGAGCAGAGACAAAGACACCTTTTCATCAGTCCTCTAGGGCCTGAGAGGGCCGTGTGCTGGCCCACAGTGGCCTCAGGTAGGCATATTTCCTCTCATGTCCTTAGGCTCCCTGATTGTGCCCTCACCTCTTTCGGTTTCTTTGTGTGCTTCAGCTGGGTTCTGTTGTGTTAATTTCTTCAAATATGTCTTGTTTTCTGTACCTACTGTCCTTTCTCACTTGCTGTAACTGATGTTATTGCTGTGCCTCTCTGCCAATCCCTGCTTCCCCTGCAGGGCAAAGGAGTATGAGCTCCACAAGGCTCCAAGCCCTCCTCACCCAGCATCTCATTCTCCCTCACGGGTACAGTGCTCATGAAGCAAGATTAATAAAAACTTAGAGACAGAAATTGGGGTTCAACCTGAAGGTCAGAAAAGCAAAACAGCCAGCCACTGACTCTTACCTGATCTCAGTCCGAAATGGCAATTCTGTCTCCAGGAATCTCAGAATGAGACTGTAACTGAGAGCTGCCTCCTCCCGTTTTCTAGTGTCTTTAAAGGCATGTAGTGGCCGGTTTTTATGGCAACTAGTGTGGCTCCTGGGATTAAAGGTGTGTGTCACCACTGCCTGGTCTGTCCGGCTGACCAGTGGGGCTGCTTTACTCTCTGATCTTCAGGCAGTCTTTGTTTGTTTGTTTGTTTGTTTTTTCGAGACAAGATTTCTCTGTAGCTTTGGAGCCTGTCCTGGAACTAGCTCTTGTAGACCAGCCTGGCCTCGAACTCACACAGATTCATCTGCCTCTGCCTCCTAAGTGCTGGGATTAAAGTCGTGCGCCACTACTGCCCAGCCAGTTTCTTTATTAAAATACAAAAGAAACTCCACCACATGTTTAGGCATATTTATTTGTTGAATGGGTGAGGCTTCACAATGAATCATTTAACCTCGAGTTACAAGTAAACTTGTGAGTCCTCAGAGTTCACATGGAAGACAGACCCCAAAGCCATCCACATTTTGCCCTAGCCTAAGCTGTTCCATAGCTAATAGCCATTAAACACCCTGAGGAGGGCTGGCAGGCACAGCAGGTAATTGAATTGAAACACTACACCTAATTACATAATTGATCAAATACAGAAACATAATGCAGTCAGTTTTCTACAAATCCAATAATGAAAATATGGGTTTTACTACCAATAAAAATTGATTGATTCTGGTTTTTGACTTACACAAATTAAAATGGCACAGTAGGGGCAGCTTATAAATCCAGAGGCCTTTGTGGGATTCTGAGATGTTACTCCAAAACACTAAATTCTCATGGTGAGGGTCACAAGTCTCACTGCCTCCCTGCCCCCCACTTTCTGCTTGTTTACAGAATGTTTTCCTTTCAAGATAGAGTTGAAATTTTCAAGTATTTTCTAGAAATTATGAGGTACTGCTTTTGCTAAGCACCATTGTCCTTGTGTTTTCCTTTGACACCCTGTTATATTGTATACCTTTTCCCTGCAGGGAGCCTTCTTGCTGTATCACTGAATTCTCTGGGGTGTCCATCTGTCTGTCCCCCCATGCCTCCATCTTCTACCTTCTTATAACCTACTCCACTTAACACTGAGGCACTCAAAATCCAGTCTTCCTCCCAAAGTTCTTGATTTCTTCCATTGCTTACTGCACGTTATGTTCTTGTGTGGAGTTGTATGTTGCCAGTACCATACCGTAGGTCCTATCTCACAGGCATTCATATGTCTCAGCATCCCTAGGACCTGACATAGATTTCAGCATAGAGTACATTAAAACCATTACAGTTCTTGGACTGTGCGTCTCCTTTAATGTGAGGTAATGCATCGCTGGTAGTCTGAACAAGAAGCAAAGGTAGTGGCCATTGCTTTATTTGGGCTCTCTGGTTTATAGATTAGGTTTCTGAATTCTGGATTACCATGGTTTGGTTTGGTTTTCTTTTTCTTTTTCTTTTTTTTTTTTTTTAAGCTCAAATTCCCATTGTGGAGTGTTAGTTGTTTTTTTTTTGTTGTTGTTGTTGTTTTTTTTTCTACCCTCTTGTTTATTTCTCTGGCTCTTTGAATCACTGCATGTCCTGGACCCACTGATTCATTTGAATTAGACAAAAAATTTCTGCAGAACTGAGCGTAACACTTTTTTATTAAAAAAACAAAATAAAACAAAAATGACTGGGCAGTGGTGGTGTCTTTAATCCCAGCACTGGAGAAGCAGAGGCAGGTGGATCTCTGAGTTTGAGGTCAGCATGGTCTACAGAGTGAGAAACCTGTCTCAAACCCCCCAAAACTGAATGATACTGGGGCTCTGCTAGTTAGCTCATACAGCATGTGTGGGTTCCATTGTTAGTCCTGCAAAAACAAGAGCAAAGTGAAGGAGTCCATTCAAGCCACAGGTCACTAATTAGAGCCACCCAGTGTCATTTAGAAGTTTTCCCTGGGTCTGCACTTTGAGTTTTTTAGCAAACTGTTCTAATTTAGGCCTGCTTCCTGAAGTTAGAACCCAGCTCAGTCAAGGGAATTCTCATGGCTCTGTCATGTTTGAAAACCTCACCTAACCCTGTGAGCAGCCAGCTTGTCCAGTAGAGCAGGCAGTGCCTCCAGGCTAAGACAGTTTCTTGCCCCCACTTGAGATCTCATCACCCTGCTCTCTTCCTACTTTTCAGCAGAAGTAGTATCCATGTCTCCTATAGCCCTCTCCTTTTATTTTAATTAATTAATTAATTAATTAATTTATTTATTTATTTTGATTTTCGAGACAGGGTTTCTCTGTAGCTTTTGGTTCCTGTCCTGGAACTAGCTCATAGACCAGGCTGGCCTCGAACTCACAGAGATCCGCCTGCCACAGCCTCCCGAGTGCTGGGATTAAAGGCGTGCGCCACTAGCCCTCTCCTTTTAAGCAGAGACAGATACCCAGAAAAACCCATGTGACCACCCCTTACAAGGTCTCTAATGAGCGAGCAAACCAGAAGAATGTAAACACTGATTGATTAAATTATTAAAATTACTTAAATTATCAAATTAATTAAATTATTAATTTTTTTTAAAGTTTCCCGTGGTCTTCCGAGGTCAGCATTCTGTTTTGTGAGTTGTGTCCCCTAGATCTCTCTTCCACATCTAAGAAATGTCACCTGATCATCTAACTTGAGAATGCTGGTATTTTACTGGTGTCAACATCGGTTGTACAGTCAATGAACAAGAACTGAACAGTCTGTGCTCAAGGCAGGATCGAGACCTCTTTTTCTCTAATTCCACACAGACACGTCTTCGGCCTCTGAGGATGAGGGCTCTCTGAGACGCCAGGCTGCGCTCTCTGCTGCCCTGCAACAAAGCTTGCAGAATGCCGAGTCCTGGATCAACCGCTCAGTCCAGGGATCGTCCACCTCTTCATCCGCATCTTCTACGCTGTCCCACGGAGAGGTCAAAGGAACCAGTGGGTCTCTAGCTGATGTATTTGCCAATACCCGAATAGGTAGGAGTTGATCTACCCAAGAAGCCCACCCAATGTTTCATATGGCACCCCAGTATCCTGGAAACAGTTTATGATTGTGTTAGGTTTTCAATGTGGCCTGAAATATATGATCACAGAAAACAGTTGATGAGGCAGAGAAAGAAGCACCAGCTATATATTGTTGTAGGGGTAATAGGTATCATCAACATTATTGATACAAATATTGCTCACCTGAAGCCATATCTATTTCTGTAAGCAATACTGAAACTGCAAAATATAACCCCAGTCTTAGTACGGGTTTATGCCAGAAGAGAAATAGTCCCTATATCAAGAGCTGCTAAACCTCAGAGTTCTCAGAAATATCATCTATATTCCATAAAACATAACATATTTAATCTGAGTAAATTCACACTAAGCCATTGTTGGCAAGGCATTTTGTCTCTGGCTAAAGACTGGGTTTATGTTGCTCGCTGCGGTGATGTTGCTGCATGAGACGTGTGCAGGCTGCGGGGAGGCACACCAAGCCGCTGGCTGCGCTGGTGCTGTTGTAGGGTGTCTAGCTGTTGCTTGGCTCTGCTTTATGTATTTGTGAGTTTTGTCCCCCACCAGGTCTCTGCTCTACTTCTTGGCAGTACCAGTTGCACTTGTCATGGCCTAATGCTGCGTCTGCTGTCGTACTCCTTTTCCTGGACGACCCGTCACTTTCCGTTGTCCACTTGTCGTCTCAGTGACCGTCCTGTGTCACTTTAGATAATATTCCAATTTGATTTTTGGAAAGGCTGGAAAATTATAGATTAAGATTATACTTTTTAATGATGATAGTTACCTTGTGGATATGATTGCCACATTAAAAAGCCACACATCACTGTTGTGACCCGCCCTGCACTCCTTGCTCTCCTCTGTATCCCTGAGCCTCCCAGTGCAGCTGCACGCAGATAGGCATTTCCCCACTACCCTGCCACAGGCAGCAAGCAGCTTTGATTATTTTATGTCCTATGGTTGTGTCCTCTAATTTCTTTCTTCAGAAGATGTTGTCTAGTTTTTGTGGGGGGTTAGCTTCATTCAGTAGCTTTTTCCCAGCCCACAGCACTCCTGTTCTCACCCCAGCTCACTTTCCACAGACACTGAACCAGATCGTGTGCACCTGTAGGCCCAGCACTTGGAAAGCAGAGGCAGCGGGTCAGCTGTCCTGGCTAAGGAGACCCTGTCTCAAAAAATTCAAAAGAACTTTTCCATGAAGTATCATATGTGGGGAACCTTGCCGGATAGTGGATCCAGCTTAACTCTGGGCTGTCTCGTCAAAATTAGAAGTAGGCTATCTCGTTTTCCTTCCTTTGAGAATATGGGTCTCTGACCCACTCTCGTTTGGTAGAACTGGAAACATCCCAGATAAAACATGGCATACAGAAGTGTTCAAGGACCTAGAGAACTAGTAGAATTGGACCTTACTCACTTTGATTCCGTTTGTTTACAAACATTGAATTCCTGTTATCCACTCTGTAAGGAAATAATGTTTTTGAGAAACATTGGCTATGTGATTTGATCTAATGACCAAATCTACTCAGATCTTGAGAATTATGTTTTAGAAAGCTGATATGCTCTGGTTTACCTTCATTTTCCTCCAGTAAGTCCTAGTAGACTTTGATGGAAATGTTTGTTTTAGGCTGGTGAGATAGCTCAGCAGGCAGAAGCACTCAGGCAACTCAGGACTCGTTCATCCTTGGGACCTCCAACGGAAGGAGAGAACTAGCTCACAGTACATGATAGTAATAATAATAAGTAAATAAGAGAATAAATATTTTTTAAAGTTTGTTTTAAAAGAGCTAAAACAAAAGATTTATAGTGTTATTTTTACTGTTAATACCATATGATTCTAAATTTTGTCTTTTCCCTTCAGAGAATGTCTCAGCTCCTCCTGATGTCACTGCAACTACCTCTTCCTCTTCCTCACTTCGCCCAGCAAACATTGACCTGCCACCTTCTGGCATAGTTAAAGGCATGCACAAAGGATCCAACAGATCCAGCCTTATGGACACGGCTGATGGTATGAGTCCCTTGGTAGGGTTAGGGAGTATACGTTCAACTGGGAAAATGCAACTTGTGCCCAGCAGCTCTTCTCAGCTGCACCAGCTGCAGAGACACCTGCTGCCGCCTCACTCGTCATCACCATGCACAGTCCCTCTTGTCACTGTCCATGCTGGTGTTTGTAGAAAGCACCGTGAGTCGAGTGTGGAAGAAAAAAAAATGCTATACGAGGAACAGAAGCCTGGGGAGGCCTTTAGCTGCACACTCAGCATAGCGCTGGGTTTGTCTCCTGTTGTTAGAAAGTTTGTCAAGTGTATATTTGGTCCTTTTTGAATAGAATAAGATGGCAAAGACCAAGCAAGCATAGCTGGAAGTAAAATCTGGATCAAGCGGTGGTAGCGCACGCCTTTAATCCCAGCACTCATGAGGCAGAGGCGGGTGGATCTCTGTGAGTTTGAGGCCAGCCTGGTCAAGAGAGTGAGTTCTATGACAGCTAGGGCTACATAGAGAAACCTTGTCTTGAAGGAAAAAAAAAAGAAGATGATCTGGGAGGAAGGAGGAAAGGAAATAAGGGTAAGAAAGAGAAATCACAGTTTCAATAAATAAGGCATTTAAATCCTTAAAAGTCTCATTGGTAATAAAAAGCTTAATAGGTAAGTTTTTTAAAGAGAAGAATGAGGTAATTGAGGTAATAAAATGTATTATTGAGCTCAATGAATTTTAACTGAATTTACCATTGCTTTTCCCCTTACAGGTGTTCCTGTCAGTAGCAGAGTATCCACGAAAATCCAGCAGCTTCTCAGCACACTGAAACGACCCAAAAGACCCCCCTTAAAGGAATTTTTTGTGGACGACTCTGAAGAAATTGTGGAAGGTAGTAGTGAAAGTGCCAGAAGCACACACTCACGGCTGAACGTGGCATCGTTCTTACTGAAGGAGTTCATGCGGCTGCGGTGTTAGGTCTCGGAGAAGGGATGGGGACAAAGAGGACTGGGAGCTAAGAGCTATCCTCGTTAGTGTGGTCTTTGTACTCAGTCATTGAGTCAGAAGGCGCATGGTGTGTGTGCCTGTGAGAGAGAGCGAGCGAGCATGTGTGGAGACCAGAGCACCACTTCCGAAAGCTGCTTCTCTCCCATCATGCAGGTTCTGGGCCAGCAGGTTTGATGGCAAACACCTTTATTTGCTGAACCCTCTCACTCACCTAGAAATACATGATTTCTATAATTATTTGTAATTTGTATTTTTTGAGCGTGTCGATAACAAATCCAGCCTCAAAGGTTTGGTTTCTTTCTTGTAATACAGATGGGCCTTTTATTGACTCTGCCAGTCAGTGCACACACATTCACTTTCCAGAAGACAGAGTGGTAGATAGTAAAGACATTTAAAGACATGAAAATGCACTTCCTTCCTTCATGCTGATTGTGACGTAGACCAGTGAGTTCTAAAATGAGTCAGTGTAGAAACAGGTTAGCCAGGATGTTCATGTTAGAGAAGATGGGAGAGGTAAGAAGTTAGTCCTGTGTGTGTGGTTGTGCAATAATTAAAAACCATTCACTGGTGAAATCATGATATCCTGGATTTCATAAGAGAACTTGAGAAGGGAGAGGGTGTGAGTGTGGGTGAAGAGCAGCCATTCTGTGTGATTGAAGCTCATGGCAGACTCACAAAGAGTAGAGGGGACCAAGGAGACTGCACACAGGGAGAGAGACTGACAGACTCTCCTGCATAAAGAACTATCTGGAAGCCCTGTCAGTTTGTTTGCTTGTCCTGAGACTAGAAGTAATCTACAATCATATCAGAATAGTAATGGGATGTGGCATATTGGAGACTAGTTCTGATCTTTGCCGGCTTCTAACAGTGTTTTACTAATTATAAATAGATTTCTTTGACTAATGGTTGTTTTTGGAAAAGGAAAACACCTGTGTCTTTTGGAAGCATGAAGAAGTGTGCACGCAGCTCTAGTGGAAAACTCTACCTCCCAGATGCACAGTCTCTGTAGAGATGAAGTGGCTTATAACAGTTACTCCTTGGTATTCCTGTTAAATTTAGATTAAATCTAAGAATCTTAATGGTCTGAAAATATTATGCAAAATAAGGAGTGAAATGAGTATTTTATTAGGAGAAGAATGAATTCAGAGAAATGGATGCAAATAGGGAACATTACACTATGTAAATAAGCCAGACTCAGAAACGTGCAGACAGCATGTCTTTTCCCTGCAGAATCTAGATTTAAATGTGTGTGTGTGCAGGTCCTGAAAAGGGGGCACTGCGAAAGGGGAGAAGGGAGTCTTAGCAGAGGTGGGGCTAAGAGAGAAATGAAATTCACATGAAGTCTGCTTGGGAAGAGGGAGGCTAGCAGGAGCGGGTAGGAGAGGTGGGATGGGGATGAGCAAGAATGAAATGTAATGATACAGATGTATAAAATGCTGTTTGGAAGCCCCCTGCTTTATGTGCTAACTCTAAAAAAAGAATGAGTCAAACAAATCCATCATAATAGTGAATTACAAAGAACAGTTTTTTCTTATTATTACTTTTAGTTGTCTATACTGATTGATTTTGTATGGATGGGTGTTTTCCCTGCATGTGTGTATGTGTACTACCTTCATGCTTGCTGACCAAAGAGGCTAGAATAGGGTATCAGATCTCCTGGAGCTGGAAATACAGACAGCTATAAGTTGTCATGTGGGTGCTGGGAATTGAACCTGGGTCCTCTGGAAGGGAGACCAGTGCTCTTAACCACTGAGCCATCTCTTCAGCCCATATATAGCTGCAGTATGCACTAGAGCATGCACACAGCAAAACCAGGCTAACATGGGCAGTGGGTGACTGCACACTCGGAGTACAGGAGAGAGAACGTCACCAGCTGTTGAGTCACACTGGAGCTGAGGTATCACTGTCTGTGTGCCCCTGTGTACTCTGTAGCTGAAAGTGCAGTGTTTGTTTTCTCTAAGTGTTTTGTTGAGACAAGAGTCTTGGCAGTATTCCTTGGCAAACCTTAAATTTGATCTTGTTCTTGCTTTAGCCTCCTGAACTTTGAGACTATGGGGATGGGCTCCCATACCCAGCTTGTTCACATTTCCAGTTTACTATAGTCTGTGCACTTGGTTGGTACACAGTAATTACTTGAGTATTTAGCCTATATGTAAATTATCTTTTCTTCTATGAGAATATAGAGTTTAAGACTGAGCACAGTGGGAGATAGAGGTAGGTGGCTCTCTATGAGGTCAAGGTCAGCCTGGTCTATATATCAAGTTCAAAGCCAACCAAGCCTAGATAGGGAGACCCTGTCTTAAAAACAAAAGCAAACATCCAAAACCAACAATAAACAAAAGAAATGTAGGATTTAAATAATTATTTGAATAATACTTGTTCACTGTAGAAAAACCTACAGTGTATATTTTGAGTATAAACAGTCTCTCTGATTCCTGGTGTAGGTGTTCCTCTCTCTGCACTCAACTAACACCGTTAAGCAGCCCTTGCATTTGGGGCACTGTAAGCTGTGATGGGAGTAAGCCATCCCTTCCCTGGAAGCTGTGACTCCTTGGGAGGATGATGGAAGCCCTAAGGCCTCACTGTGAGAATGAGCCAGAGAGAGACAGAGGAAAATGTGTTCGAGTTGGAGTTAGAAACATGTGAACTTATTTCATCTTCTTGCCTGTTTGCTGCAGTACCTCGGCCAGATCCCAACCAACCAAAGCCTGAGGGCCGACAAATGATGCCAGTGAAGGGAGAGCCCCTTGGAGTCATCTGTAACTGGCCCCCTGCGCTGGAGTCTGCCCTGCAGCGCTGGGGCTCCACCCAAGCCAAGTGCCCCTGCCTGACTGGGCTGGACATGTCTGGGAAACCAGTATATACGCTCACATACGGTGGGTCCCCACTGCGCTAAGATTTCTCCAGGACTCTGGGCAGCGCTTCTTTGGGTAGTTCTCGGTTGCATGTGTCTCTGTCATTTCATTAGACCCTGTGTTCCAAGTGGAGGTATTGCCAAACATTTTCATTTGCTAAAGTGATGTGGGTAAGCAGCTAGGTTTAAGGACAGCAAAATAAGATTCGTTTTTGTTTTTACATTAGAAGATTTGTTTTTGTTTTGTTTTATGTTTCTGAGACAAAGTTCACGTAGCCCGGGATGGCCTTGGACTCTAGTTCTCTTAGTCTCCTGATTCTGAGTTGCAGGCATAAATCGTGGCACTGACTAGCCCCTCCCTCCAACGTCCATCTGACACTTATGAGTACATCCGTATGACTCCTAGAACCAGCTTCTCTTTTGATCTTAGTTCTATATAAGACAAAATTTCACTATGTAACCCAGTCTGGCCTTGAAGCAGAAGAAATCTTCCTGCCTCAGCCTCTGCAGGGTAGCATTATTGTTATGAACCCACGCTCAGCTTACTCCATTTATAGTATTTTTTTTAATCATTTGAGTTAAACCTTCCAGAAAACCCTAGGACATAGCCAACTGTCTTTTAGTCTTGTGTTGTAAAACAGACAAACAAGGGCAGTGGTGGTGGCGCACGCCTTTAATCCCAGCACTCGGGAGGTAGAGGCAAGCGGATCTCTGGGAGTTCGAGGCCAGCCTGGTCTACAAGAGCTAGTACCAGGACCGGCACCAAACCTACAGAGAAACCCTGTCTCGAAAAACCAAAAAAAAAAAAAAAAAAAAAGAAAAAGAAAAAAAGAAAAGAAAAAACAGACAAACGAAAAATGTTGTCCTCTCTTTAAAGGTATTAAGTATGCTCTTGTTACATTATTTAAAAAAAAATTGAAATGAGCCATATATCAGTGGCACTCACCTTAATCCCAGTACTTGGGAGGCAGAAGTGGACAGATGTCTGTGGGCTTGAAGCCAGCCTGGTCTATGTAGCAAGTCCCAGGATAGTAAGACCCTGTCTCAAAAAGAAAAAGAGAAAAAACAGATGACAGGAAAGAACTTGAACTCTTAAGTAAGGCAGGGTGCTTCATTTGTCCTGGGCAAGAGTGACTCTTTAGAGTGCCCGAGAGGCTGCTTGAGGGGAGACTTCTGTGTTGGGGAGGGTGGTACCAGCTCATCGCAGCCACTGGCGACTGTCAGCATGCTGAACCCAGTGCTCTCTGGCTGAAACAGGCCTATAATCTCTTCTGTCTGATTGTTTTCTTTTCTCAGGGAAGTTGTGGAGCAGAAGTTTAAAGTTGGCTTACACGCTGCTTAATAAACTGGGGACCAAAAATGAGCCTGTGTTAAAGCCTGGAGACAGGGTAACTTATTTTGTTTGTTAGAAAGGTGGTATTTGTTTCTGATACATACCCCGGGCTTTGTTGTACAATGATAAGACTTACATTATTCCTTTTTAAAATGCTTACTTGTTTTATGTGTATGGGTGTGTGGCCTGTATGTGTGTCTATGTATACCACGTGTCTGGTGCCTAAGGACATCAGATTCCTAGAACTGGAGCTGTGAAGTGGTTGTGAGCTCCCACTGTGCTGGAAAGGCCCCTGGTCCCTGTAAGACCGGCCAGTGCATTTCCATCAATCTGAGACTGTCGGCCTTGCTCAGCAAGCACTTCTTCTCACTGAGCCATCTCACTGACCCCAGCTTTCTTTTTAGTAGACTAATAAGCAGACTTTCTTAATGTAACCTTTTTAAGAAAATATTTTTTACATTTATGTGTGTGTGTCTGTGTGTGAACATGAGTGTTCTTGTGGAGGTCAGAGGACAGTTTATGGGAGCTGACTCTCTCCACCACGTAAGTCCTTGGAGGATTAAACTCAGGTCATCAGACTTGGTAGCAAGCACTCTCAGGCTATCTCATGGATCCTCAGTAACTATTTAAAAATGCTTTTACAGGAGGCTGGAGAGATAGCTCAGAGGTTAAGAGCATTGCCTGCTCTTCCAAAGGTCCTGAGTTCAATTCCCAGCAACCACATGGTGGCTCACAATCATCTGGAATGGGGCCTGGTGCCCTCTTCTGGCCTGCAGACATACACACAGACAGAATATTGTATACATAATAAATAAATAAAATATATATAAAAAAATAAATAAAAATGCTTTTACAATGTCCCAGAAATCCTTAAAGTATGGCTTTACATGTACAGACTGATACTGAGGACTTTCCGTGAGTCACTGAACCTAAGCAGGCGATGCTGTGCCTACCCAAGTGTCAAGAAGGCCATTTCGTTCTGTGGAATTATTTTTAGACCTCTAGGACAGTTTAAAGGTTTAGATTGAACTCAGCTTTGGAGTGAGTTTAAGCAGTTTGATTGCAAATTGAGAAGAAACAGGAACACAGTGATTAAGGGGCTGGGGGAGTGGCTCACGGGATGAAGGGCTTGCTGTAGAAGCCTCGCGTCTGTGTCCCATCTCTGGAACTCACAGACCTGACAGTTGTCCCCTAAGCACACACACTATGGCACACACCCGGCACCCACACGCATATTTTATCCAAACAGTAATAATAAATAAAAGAAACTTAAAAGAATCTAGTGATATGGTCAGATTTCAAACGTGAATCTGCGAATATTCCAGCCAGAGAACAAGAGCGACAGTGTAGTAAGATGAGTGGTTTTGCATCCTTGAGTAAAGTTACTCCTGTGACTTAGCAGAAGCAATCACAGGCTTGCACACTTAGGGCTTTCAGTGTTCTCCTGGCTTACCTCTTGCCAATGAGCCAACTGTACTTGCACTTGTTCATATGTTACCAGATGCCTTCATGCTGGACCACTTGCGTGTTGAGTGACTAGGGACTGGTGTGGTGAAAGGTTAAGAACAGGCCTGTGTGGTCCCAGTGTGGTGACTGAGCTGGTTAACACTTGTAGGCGCCTCCTGAGACATACACAGCTCTAAATTACATTGTTCTGTCGTGAGATGTCCACCACATTTATGCTATTAACCCTGCACTAAGGTAAATTGCGTTAAGCTTCCTAAGTAATTAACATATTAGACAAGCTGTCTGCTACTGAATCATAAATAAGATTAAACATTTTACAATAATGATAATGAATTGCATTTTTATGTCTCAAAATGTGTAAGTTTTAGGTTTTAGCTTTGCTTTTTGGTGTTCCTAGGAATGTAAATGGGGTCTTATATGAGGCAAATACTCTCTGAGGAACCTCTACCCCAGAATCTATGGTATAACCATGGGGATGATGGTGCCCCTACCAGATGTTTTTGTCCTTCAAAGTCACTTAATTTCCTTCAGAATGAGTAACTGTTAAATTGTTTGACTTATTGTGTCCATGGAAAATGTTCTATGTGTATAGAGTTAATCAGTCTGCGCTCCACTGTTGTTTAATGTCTTTGGGAATTTTAGGTTGCCTTGGTTTACCCCAACAATGATCCAGTCATGTTTATGGTGGCTTTTTATGGATGTCTTCTGGCAGAAGTGATTCCAGTACCTATAGAAGTACCACTGACCAGAAAGGTAACATCTTTGTGCTAAATGTCTTTCGCTGTGATACAGGAGGCACTGGACTGACTCAGTGACACTAGAAGCAATGTAATCGCTAGGCATAGTGGCCTCTGCCGTTAATCCCAGCACTTGAGAAGCAGAGGCAGGTGAATTTCTTGTGAGTTTGAGGCCAGCCTGGTCTATATAGTGAGTTCTAGGACAACTATACAGAGAGATACTGTCAAGAAAGAAAGAAGGAAGGAAGGAAAGAAAGAAAGTCATGGGAGGCATATATTTGAGTGTGCAGTGGTTGCCATTCATAGAGTACCATTCCTTCAGACTTACTTCATCAAGTGGAGGAGGCCAGGGAGGTGATGATGCAGTGGAGGAGGCGAGGGAGGTCATGATTCAGTGGAGGAGGCCAGGGAGGTCATGATGCAGTAGAGGAGGCGAGGGAGGTGATGATGATGCAGTGGAGGAGGCCAGGGAGGTGATGATGCGGTGGAGGAGGTGACTGCTCCACAATGGAGATTGTGTTCAGACCATGTCAGCCCTGATAGTAAAGATGACAGGGCAGATTTCCATTCTAGTTTGAATGGTTTCTCCCTGAGCTTTTCACACTGGCCATTTCATGCTGTTTATTTCTGAGAATTGATGTTAGAGACTAATATAGTAGAGAATGTTGATTCATAATAAAGAGCTTTTTAAGTAATAATAAACAGATTGGTGACATTGCTAAAGTTTTAGTTGATGGGTAGATCATAAGGCTCCCCTTAAGCTGACAGTCCTTGTGCGTTTCCCTAGTGATACTTCGAAGACGGCAGGTAAATACTTTAGACTTTGCCTTTGGTTGCTTTTGCTGCTATTTAAGGTTAAAATCTATTTCCTCTAAAGTAGAAGAATAAAGGAAGATAAGATTTGGTGTAATTGAATGGAAATATGGGCTTTGATATCCGTGTTATTTATGTTGTTCTGGCCTGGGTAGCTGCTACTCTTGATTTGGGGATAGGGCTGGGAGAAGAAAACTGTTAGAATTTGTTCCACTGGCCTCAAGAGTCACAGAAGGTTACACTGGCTTAGGGTGCATACTTTGTAATGTCAGGTTGAAACAGTGTTTGGTTGTACTTAGGGAACAACCACAGAAATTGCTTGAGCCATGTTGTCTCGAGCTGCGACATTTGAAAGCTGTCTGGGCTCCATGGCACAGTGGGTAGTGATGGGTGTCTCTGGGTGCCATTGCCAAGCGTGGTGTACTCATGCTCACTCATGCTCACACCCTCACTGTGTTCATTATTTTTTTCTCCACAGGATGCTGGAGGTCAGCAGATTGGCTTCTTGCTAGGGAGCTGTGGGATTGCCTTAGCTCTCACCAGTGAAATTTGTCTGAAGGGCCTGCCAAAAACCCAGAATGGAGAAATTGTACAGTTTAAAGGTGAGTAATATTCATGCCCAAATTACCCATTGAAAGTCAGGTCTGGGGCCTGGAGAGATGGCTCAGAGGTTAAGAGCATTGCCTACTCTTCCAAAGGTCCGGAGTTCAATTCCCAGCAACCACATGGTGGCTCACAACCATCTGTAATGGGGTCTGGTGCCCTCTTCTGGCCTGCAGGCATACAGACAAACAGAATATTGTATACATAGTAAATAAATATTAAAAAAAAAAAAAAAGAAAGTCAGGTCTGAGTCTTTTAGATTTTTGTTTGTTTTTTGCTTTTTTCAAGACAGATTTTCTCTGTGTAGCTCAAGCTGTCCTTGAACCCACAGAGATACAAGCTGCCTCTGCTGCCTGAGTCCTGGCTAGTTAGAATTTTAGTAGAGTAACAACTAAGGACTTCATGTGTATGTTTTTGTTTGTTTGTTTTTTATTCTTAGTCACAAGATCGGTATAGTAATTATCCCTATTTTTCAGGTAGGAAATTGAGAAACAGAATCCTTAAATTCCAGCTAATAAAGGCAGAGTGGTGATTTGAACCCAATCTGTCAGGTTCTGTAGTCACACTCTTAACCTGTGTACGTTAAGGCTGGGTGATGGTAGGACACACGGCTCTGCAGGCTCCCCTGACGGATGAGTCTCCCGTTGTGGAGGAGTCCAGCCCGCATTTCTCATATGGACAAATGCTCTTTTGAAAGAAGTTATAATTAACGACTTTTCACTAAACCTAGTAAAAATTAAGTATTTTATTGATGATGAAATGATCTTAATATCCTCATTTGACATTTAAGATGACTAGTTCAGTGTGAAGTCCTTCACTGGTGGCTTAAGCAGTTCAATTTTCACTCTGGGTTGACAGGTTGGCCTCGGCTCAAGTGGGTTGTAACAGATTCCAAGTACCTTTCAAAGCCTCCCAAAGACTGGCAGCCCCACATCTCACCCGCTGGTACAGAACCAGCATACATCGAGGTAAGTCTGGAGACAGTGTGTGTTTCTTGGCTTTTTTTTTTTTACGCTTTAGATGCATGTTAGTGACTGCTAAGAGGTAATTTTTTTGTAATAACAAGGATAGGTAAAACTTGAAGTAGCTTTGGCCACGAAAGAAGAGGGTGGGCATACTGCTGACGCAAAGACAGAGAGTGGGGCCTGTTTGAAGCCGTCCCCTCCTGGGAACTGCTGCTGGGGCTGGCCCTTATCATGCAGCCCTCCTCAGCACCCTGGCCTCAGGGGAAATGTCCTTGCTCTGTACTGCGAGGCCCTGCTCCTAGAACCCCTTTGTTTGAGAGCCTCACATTACCCACAGGTTCTCTACTGAGGGGAGAACTTTTAAAGGGTTGTTAGTAGGTGAGAAATAAGATTGTCCTTATTGTGTAAAAAGATTTGTTTAGGCCAGCTGGGTGCTCAGCAGGCCCGCACTCACCACTTAAGCATGACAGGTTTGACCACAAAACCTCACGTAAAGGTGGAAGGAGAGAATCAGCTCCACCGCCTCCACACATGTGCTATGGCATGTGCACCATACATGCAAATAATAATGAAGTTTTTGAAAAGATTTATCTAGATTGGCTGGGCTAGAAAGGAAACACTGGGTTTTAGGGTTGGGTTTGTTGGTTTTTTTTGTTTGTTTGGTTGGTTGGTTGGTTGGTTGGTTTTGTTTTTTTCCCCTAAATTTTATATGTATGAGTGTTTTGCCTGTGTGTCCATAAGTGGACCATGTACATGCAGTTCCCATAGAGGCCAGAAGATGGCATTAGCTTTCCTAGAACTGAAGTTCTAGACAGTTGTGAGCTGCTATGTGGGTACTGGGAACTGAACTGAGTCCTCTGAAAGAGCAGCCAGTGCTCTTAGCTTCTGATCTATCTCTCCAGCCCTAGCCTGCATTTTTTTTTTTTTTTTTGGTTTTTCGAGACAGGGTTTCTCTGTAGCTTTGGAGCCTGTCCTAGAACTAGCTCTGTAGACCAGGCTGGTCTCGAACTCACAGAGATCCGCCTGCCTCTGCCTCCCGAGTGCTGGGATTAAAGGTGTGTGCCACCATCGCCCGGCCCCTAGCCTGCATTTAAAAAAAGCTTTTGAGCTGGAGAGGTGGCACTGGCTGCTCTTCCAGAGGAAGAGTTCAATTCCCAGCATTCACATGGCAGTTTACAGTTGGAACACCAGCTCTAGGGGATCTGGCACCCTCACACAGACATACATTCAGGCAAAACACCAGTGCAAAGAAAATAAAAATAAGTATTTTTTTTTTTAAGTTACTGAAGTGAGCCAAAGCTCGTATAGATGGCTAAGAGAAGTGGATAGGGTTGAGAGACAGTAGGGAGTAGAGCCAGCCAGAGTGACTGGTCCTGAAGGGATAAAAGGCATCTGAATGGATGGCAGAATCCTTCAGTTAAATAGAAAATATAGAAAGAGTCAGGCAGTATGTGGTACCCACCTTTAATCTCAGCACTCAGGAGGAAGAGGAAAGTAGATCTCTGTGAGTTCAAGGCTAGCCTGGTCACATAGTGAGTTCCAGGACAACCTGATCTACCTAGTGAGTTCCAGAACAGCCGGGACTTCGTAGTGAGACCATGCCTCAGAAAAACAAGAAAACATGGAGAGAGTTCTCATGGGTGGAGGTGGGGATGGGACGGAAACTTGGTAGCGTGCTTTCCCGTGACAAGCGGGATCCTGTGAGTCTAGGCCTCTGAAGGAGAGGCTAGTGGACACAGAGCCAGCAGTCAAGCAAAGATACCACACCCTGATGGCATAGGGTAGGAAGGAGGGGGATTCTCAGGTGTGCCAGCATTTAAGGCATAGTCAGAGATAGAGCAATGAGAGGGAGAAACCAGGAGACACAAAAGCTAAACAAGGAACTCAGATGGGCAGAGATCTGTTGGGTAAATTGTGGAAAATATCTTTGATCTGACACAGAGGAAGGCTGCACCCTGCATGAAACACTGACGATGAATGCGAAGACGCCGCCTGCAGGAGTGGATGGCCGCTACCGGCTGAGGCCCTGCTACCAGCTGAGGCCCTGCTACCAGCTGAGGCCTGCTACCAGCTGAGGCCCTGCTACCAGCTGAGGCCCTGCTACCAGCTGAGGCCCTGCTACCAGCTGAGGCCCTGCTACCAGCTGAGGCCCTGCTGCTTCTTGCCTTTAGTGTTTCTGTGGTATTAGGGAATCAAACCAGTGTCTCACACAGCTCGGCAAGCATTCTACCATTGAGCAGCTACTGAGGAATGGCTATATTTGGCATTTTGCTTCTGTTCATACAGCTCAAATCTCTTGGCATTAGTCTTTTTGGTGACCACATCACGTCAACGAGCGACTAAACTTTGAGGTCATTTTTACATGCTCCAGTTGGGCTTCATTGTCATCCGGGCTGGGCTCTGTTTGACTAGAGTTCGGGATCCAACTGCAAATAATAAATAAAAAATGGTTTATCTGGGTTTAGGTTTGGGCTCTGAATTTTGTCATTTATAATAACCCATCTTATTGTGCTTCTTACAGTTTTGTTTTTGTTTTATTTTTCTAGTATAAAACAAGCAAAGAAGGGAGTGTAATGGGAGTCACAGTGTCCCGACTTGCAATGCTGTCCCACTGCCAAGCTCTGTCACAGGCCTGCAATTATTCTGAAGGTCAGACCTCATCCCGTGACTGCTCTCATTGTTAACTTCAGATACTTGTGGCTATGAGCGCCCACTTGGTGATTGGACTCCATTTAATGACCAAATTCAGAGGGAAACGTTCCAGGGCACATTCTTGGCTTGCTTTTGCCTTCTTTTTCTTTAAAAAAAAAAAAAAAATCCTGTAATTTAAATAAACTTCTAAACAAACCAGGTATGTAAAATCTGATTTCTAGAGTACAGAGATAGAAAACTGTATTTTTAGGCTGAGGTGGGGGGGTGGGTCTCAGGTGTCTCCATCTTCCCATGGAAAACTTCCAACTAAGTAGGAGCTATGCTGCTCCAAAGGTTCAGATTAAAACAGAAAGCACTATGAGGCAGGTACTGTGGCCCACAGCTGTAGTGCTGGCGTACTAACACAGTGAGGAGCAGGGTCAGTTTGAGGCCAGCCTGTAATACATAGCTACAATATGAGATGAGAACCTCTCTCAAAAAAATAAACAGAAACAAAAATGCACGGACACAAATTTAAATCTTTTGCTTATAGAAATATATATAGCATAATTACAGTTCAGACTGGCCTCTACCTCAAGCCCCTTTGTGCCAAAATCCCAGGTATGGCCTCCAGACCTGACTAAAGTTTTACTTCCCAGTGTTCCATTTTCTTTGCTTTCAGAGCAACATGTTTGTCTGATTTTAAATACAGGCATAGGCATGTGTGAGAACAATCATAGGATTTAATACGTGCACAGGCATGTGTGAGAACAATCATAGGATTTAATACGTGCACAGGCATGTGTGAGAACAATCATATGCTACACCTGGGTCCTGTTAAGTTCCAGGGCTTCATTCAAAGATTCTGACCTAGGGAGCTGAAACTCAAGCTCTTGAATATTAGAAACATAGAGAAATCTGTCATTGAGTGAAAACAATTAGATGCAGGCTTACGTATGCCTGTTTTATCTTGTTGATAATCTGTCTATGGATATACCTAGAAATGGGCATCTGTATACACAGGGTTTTATGTAGAATAATATTTCATGCTTTTCAAAGAAATATAATTTTTACATATATTTGTGAAAATTCCAGAGTTTCTTTTTTTTTTAAAAAAGACTTATTTATTAATTATATATACAGGATTCTTCCTACATGTTACCAGAAGAGGTAACCAGATCTCATTACTGATGGTTGTGAGCCACCATGTGGTTGCTGGGAATTGAACTCAGAACCTCTGGAAGAGCAGGCAGTGCTCTTAACCTCTGAGCCATCTCTCCAGCCCCAGAGTTTCTAAAACAAATAGATGTTCCTAATTTTACTAAGAAAAAACTTTTGAATAATACCTCTAAATACTACCCAGTTTCTACCTTAGTGTCCCTGCAGTGACCATATCCCTGTCACTCTCCTCCAGCCAATTTGTAGGGGTCTCAGTGACCAGAGACTCTGATCCCCTAGTGCTTTTCCAGAAGCACAAAATGCTTGGTAGGGGCATGCATGCGACTGTCACTTTCTGCTTACCATGACCTCTTCCTGTTTCCCTCCATCTTTTCTAGGAGAAGCCGTAGTAAATGTTTTAGACTTTAAGAAGGACGCTGGACTGTGGCATGGCATGTTTGCGGTAAGCTGTCAGAGTTGGTGCCTTTGTATAAGATATGTCTGAGGCTGGGGCTTTGTAACAAGTGTATCTTTTGGGACTTGAAACTGGAGCTCTCAAAATAACATTTTTTAGAGGACACACAAACTTGAGGACCTGAGTTTAGATCCTCAGGATCCATAGAAAGCCAGGTGCAGTAGTGCACATCTGTAATTCCAGTGTGAGATTGGAGGCAGAGACAAGAGAATCCCCTAAAGTGTGCCCAGCTACCTTGGTGTAGCAGCAATGAACTGTGAGCCATCTCTGCCTTGGGCTGCATAGATGGCTCAGTGTTAAAACTCTTACTGCTTTTGCAGAAGATCCAAGTTCAGTTTCTAGTGCCTATGTCAGGTACATTACAGCTACCTGTAATTTCAGAGAAGGAGGGGAGGACGGTAAATTAATTTAAGTAAAAGAGGCCCTGTCTTAAAGCAGGATGCAAGGACCAACACCCAAGGTTGTCATCTGACCTTTACACTCACACCATGGCACCATGGTCCACAGTCATACATGAACATTCAGGGACACACATCATGTATACATACAGTAAGAAAAAGACAAAACTACATGCTTGGAGCACAGAATAGAGTAACAAGGAAAAGAGGACTTCCTGTAGTAGGATGGGGAGCACAAGGAAGAGGACTTCCTGTAATAGGATGGGGAACACAAGCAAGAGGGGGCTTCCTGTAATAGGATGGGGAGTACAAGGAAGAGGACTTCCTGTAGTAGGATGGGGAGCACAAGGAAGAGGACTTCCTGTAATAGGATGGGGAGCACAAGCAAGAGGGGGCTTCCTGTAATAGGATGGGGAGTACAAGGAAAAGGACTTCCTGTAGTAGGATGGGGAGCACAAGGAAGAGGACTTCCTGTAGTAGGATGGGGAGCTTGCCGTGGGTGCCAGAGAAGGGTGACTTCTCACTCATCCAGTCACCTGGGAATTTCTATGAGAGATGACAGCCAAGTTGGACTTTAGAAATAACTAAGTTTATCTAGGTAGAGATTTTTGGTGGGCAGAGTTGGAAAGGGTTTGTTTCTTTGGGAAAACTATGTATAACCTGAAGTTAAATGGAAAGAAAACATATGGGATCATGAAGTTGGAAAGGCCTTTAGAGAGCTAAGCATCCAGTCCAGGATCTAGAGAGATGGCTCAGCTCTTCTAGGAGCACTTGCTGTCTTCAGGGAACCCGAATTCTATTCCCAGCACCCATAGCAGGCAGCTCATGAACACCTAGGGATCACACACACACACACACACACACATACACACATGCACACACACATGCACACTCTCCCCTCTGTCTCTCTCTGTCTTTCTCAGCAAATAAATTAATAAAGGAGAGGGCATCTAGTCCCAGCTCACCAGGGAAACCCTTCCACCCAGGACCACTCCACCCCCATTTTGGAAGAGCTGTATCTCTTGCAAATCTATTTCCTTTTTTTAAAACCAGAAGTTAATGAATGAACGCTGTGTGAGGAGGGTCTTCCAGCATGGACAGAACATTTTTCCTGAAGCTCACTTAGCACCAGCACTAGAACTTGATGGCGCGGGGATGGTACCTTGTATATAAGGCCGTGTAAATGGTGAGGAGTGTAGCCAATCTCAGGTTTAATTGGGGATTGTGGCTGATAATTAAAATTCTAGTACTTAGGAGTCTGAGGCAGAAGAATCACCATGAGTTCAAGGCTAGCTTGACACACACATGCTAGCTTGAATATCAAATTCCAAACGAGGTAGGATGATCTCTCTCTCTCTCTCTCTCTCTCTCTCTCTCTCTCTCTCTCACACACACACACACACACACACACACACACACACCAACAGAATCACCACAGGCTTGATTACTTTGCCTCACTAAGTCTCTGGGGATTGCACATCCTTGATAGGGATGGCAGAAGGGACAACAAGCTACCTGACCCTCGGTTCTCTCAGCTGTATTATCTTTACAAACACTTAACCTAGGGAACGGGAAAATGAGTCTCTTCCTTTGTAGTGCTGTCCCATTTCCATTCCTTTCCCCTCAGCCTGTAGTGTGTGGCAAGCAGGAGCACCATGGAGCACTGGGTAGGCTGGGAACAGTTTAGTAGTACCTACTGACTCTGTAAAAGCAGCAACTCAATGACTCAGCAGGGCTTCTCTTCTCTATCTACCCTAAAGAAACAGCCGTGTGCGTGCCAGGGGATGTGAGGGTGGATGCATTGCATCCACACTTGCTATGACAAAGGGGACTAGAGCCCTCTGATTCTAAGGTGCCTAGATTTATCTATGAAACAGTCAAAGTGAAAAGCAGCAAGTGGGAGGTACATGTATACTGTGATGGCTTTCATTTAAAGACTCTGTGTTTCTAAAGTCACATATATATGTATGTGCGTGGACAAAGGGCCGGAGGGATAGATATTCATTGCTGTGACGCCTGGGAGAGAGGAGCAAACCAGGGTTTGAGCAGCTCTCAGAGGTGCTGCAGTGCTCCTGCTAGAACTCCAGTATTTTTCGAAAGGGTGGGCTTGAGTAACGCCTGTCACATCGTTAGAAGAGTGTCAGCACCACTCTAAGGTGCTGAGTGCATGCTGTATTGACTGCTTTATGTTTCTTTGCTTTTCAGAATGTCATGAATAAGATGCATACAATTAGCGTACCCTACTCTGTTATGAAGACCTGTCCTCTCTCGTGGGTCCAGAGAGTCCATGCCCACAAAGGTAATCACACACATCGACATGCTAGTTATGAGCCTGGTGCGGTGTGCCCTGGAGAGAACAGTCTGGCTGTGGTGGCTTCCCACAGTCTGGAGTTATAATGTGGGTATGCTGTCTGTGTTAGCTCACTTTGCTCTTCCTTACAAACTGGACTCTGGAATTTGAGCTGTTGTTAGCTCTACTGAATGCTGTGTTGTCAGAATTCCTGTGACTATGACCTGTGAACTGAATAGGGTCACACAGGCTTTCTTAAACTCTTAAAATTGTTCTTCAAGTGAGAACTTTTACAAACTAAGTAAAAATATTGTTATTGTAATACATTGAATCTGGACCCAAATTTAGCATGTGTGTGTCATGACTCTTTCCCTTTGCATTTGTAGCCAAAGTAGCTCTTGTGAAGTGTCGAGACTTACACTGGGCCATGATGGCACACCGGGACCAAAGGGACGTAAGCCTGAATTCTCTGAGGATGCTGATTGTCACTGACGGCGCCAATCCCTGTGAGTGCGGGGTAGCGATCCCAGAACATCTGACAGCTCCCGACATCTATACTGAGGGTCACTTATGAGCCGTGCTTGTCCGTTTCAAGGGTCTGACTCGGTGTTGTGGTGTTTGTATCTGCGCATCTGTCACCATGACTCAAGTTTTAAAACACCTGTTAGCCTAAGAGAAACCACACGCTGACTCTGTCACTCTTGATCCTCTCCAGTGTCCCTCACTTCAGACTCTCATGAATTTCCTTCCTCTAGAACAAAACAAAACAAAAAACAACAACAAAGAAACTGATTTAAAAAATTTGTGTGTGTGTGTGTGTCTGTATGAGTATATGTGTGCAGGTTCCCCAAGTGCCCAGAAGAGGGTGTCCGGCCCTCTGGAACTATGAACTGCCTGGCATTGGGGCTGGCAGCAGAACTTGGGTCCTGTGGAGGAGCAGCAGGCTCTCCTCAGCTGCTCTCACTCTGCAGTGTCCCCACCCCGATTCTGTCTGTAGATTGGCCTGCTCTGCACACTTGGTGTGAAGCTGCCGTGTGTTTAGTAATAGGCTTCTCTCAGCTGGCATGTTTTGCACTTCTCTGTAGCCTTTTCGTTGGCATGTTGTAGTCCATCATAGATACATCACATTTGTTCATCCGTTCACCTCTTGATGGACTTAAAGGCTCCAGGAAACCATGCCTTGCTCATTTAAATCCTCCATGTGAGACTCTTGAATGAAAGGAGAGGTTTGGATGTAACTTAATATGTATCTTATGAACTTGGTGTGAATTCTTCCAAGCAGCAAATAGAGGGAATTTGTGAAGAAACTTCTAGAGATCTTACTGTGCTGTCTGCTTTTCTGGGTGAGCACAACAGTGCTGGTCCTCCTCTCTGGGGACTCAGTGAAGCATTGGCAGCTGTGCTCTGTTTCTTATGTGAACTTCCTCATCATCCTGCCTTAATACACACATGGAGAACTTAGGAAGGGTCAGAGACCATCACTGAGAGCAGGTGGGACTGCCATGGCCGCGCTGCCATGGCTACGGTAGATACTTCAGGGGCTGCTCGAGTCCCACCTGGCTACATATTACCTGCATTGTTGTCTCTGAGCTTGCTCTGTCTCCTTGGCAGGTGTAACCTTTCCAGATTGTAACTCTAAGTACTGTCAGGATCTTTCATGGGTCGGATGAGCACGTGTGCAGCCCTCACAAGCACAGTAAGCTGCACGGAATGACTGATGTAGAGTGGAAGTTCTGACAGACAACTATGTCACACACACCCGTTAGTTCCCACAGTGAGGAAATGCTCGTTTCAGCTTTCAAGTTGATCTGTTCCCACTCCTTAGGGTCTGTGTCGTCCTGTGATGCTTTCCTGAGTCTATTCCAAAGCCACGGACTGAAGCCTGAAGCCATCTGTCCATGTGCCACGTCTGCTGAGGCCATGACTGTAGCCATCCGCAGGTACCGCTTAGGATGCCAGATTCTCTTGATGGCTGTCACAGCCTGGATGAGATATGTGGGTTTTTTTCCCAGTGATGATAATAGAATTTTAAGTGATTATCTGCTTCATAAACCTAAAAGTTAGGGCTGGATATGGCTTAGCAGTCAAGAGTACTGGCTGCTCTTCTAGAAGACCCAGCACCCACATGGCAGCTCACAACTGTCTGTAACTCCAATTCCAGGGCTTCGGACAGACTCACACAGACTTATACAGGCAAAACACCAATGCACATAAAATAAAAAATAAATTATTTTTAAAAATGCTAAAAGTAAAATTTACTTAGTAAAGTCATTTCAGGCATCTCATTATTTTTCTTCTTGTCAGAGTATACCTTGAAACTGAAATTGAACTTTAATTATTCTTATTTTGTGAGTTATTTTTCTATGTTGCTTACACCTCAGAATCCTTTGCATCTTAAATTAGAAGTAGGCTGTTCTTTTTGTTTTCTGTTTTTCTTTTATTATATACATATGTTTATATATATATATATATATAATTTATTTTTATTTTATGTGCATTGATGTTTTGCCTGCATATATGTCTGTGTGAGGGTATCAGATACCCTGGAATTGAAGTTACAGACAAGTGTGAGCTTGTAGGTGCTGGGAATTGAACCCAGGTCCTCTGTATTTGTATAGATCTGGTTTGATGGTTTGTTTTTTGTTTTTTCACATTTTAGGCCTGGGGTTCCAGGGGCTCCCTTACCAGGAAGAGCCATTCTCTCAATGAATGGATTGAGCTATGGGGTAATACGGGTCAATACTGAAGATAAAAATTCAGCCCTGACAGTCCAGGATGTGGGACACGTGATGCCTGGAGGTGAGTTGTGAGGCTGTCATTGGGATTTCATGAGACATAGGCAGGCATGCCCAGAGCCCCGGCTTCCATCCCTAGTACCTCGTAAAGAGGGGAATGCTAGAGGAGGTGTAACATGAAGGGCCTGCTTTTTGGGGTTTATGTCTTGCCCAGTTCCCACAGCCAGTAAGTCCCAAAGAAAACACACAGAGGTTCTGCATTAGTTATAACTGATTGGCCCATTAGCTCAGGCTTCTTATTAGCTCTTGTAGCTTATATTAACCCATTATTCTTATCTATGTTAGCCACATGGCTCAGTACCTTTTTCAGCGGGGCAGATCATATCCTGCTTCTTCGGTGCTCTGGGCAGGACTGGGGAGGAAAGGGCTTCCTCCTTCTCAGCATTCTACTGTTCTTATTGCCCAACCTTGACTTCCTGTCTGGGTATCCCACCTATACTTCCTGCCTGGCCAATCAGCATTTATTTAAAACATGATTGACAGAATACAGACAATTCTCCAGCACCAGGAGGAACAGAAGACTGGTAAACCAGAGGGTTAAACTCGGACATCCAGTTTCACTGCTTAGTCACATCATTCTGTGAGCCACTCCAGTGACGAGTGGGTGTCGTCATGCTGGCCCTGTGCTTGCTGTATGAGGTCAGAATCTCAAAGGCACGTGTAATTACACTCTTTACGTGGGTGCCAGCCATTGTTTTCACTGGAGTTACCAACCCAGGAAGGCAGAGAGTGCTGCTCTCGTGGGTGCTGTCCTGACCCTGCAGAAGGCCAACACCCGCTTCATCGGGAGACTGATACAGTCCTTCCTCGGTGCACCCATGTCTAAGAGCTGTAGGTGCCAAGTAAACTTCGCAGGTTCACAGCTCTCTGTGGCACTTCTGTTGGCTGTTCTTTTGTTAGTTTTTGTTTTTGGTTTTTCAAGACAGGGTTTCTCTGTAGCTTTGGAGCCTGTCCTGGAACTCTCTCTGTAGAACACGCTGGCTCATGTTCACAGAAATCCACCTGCCTCTGCTTCCCGAGTGCTGGGGTTACAGCTGTTGGCTGTTCTTAATGCTACTTCAATAAGTGTGCAGCTCTCTGGGTTTGTAAGCGAGGTTGTTGCTTTGCAGTTTTCTAGACTGTCTTGTTGTTTTCTGTGCATTAGGCATGATGTGCATTGTGAAACCAGACGGACCTCCTCAGCTCTGCAAGACAGATGAAATCGGAGAGATCTGTGTTAGCTCCAGAACTGGAGGGATGACATACTTTGGACTTGCTGGTGTGACCAAAAATACATTTGAGGTACATGATGTTATTTCTCAGGGACATGTTGGGTGAAGTCATATGTTATATGGAGACCTATTGGCTTCACATCACAGCACAGCGTAGTGGTTGAGCTCAGGGCTTCAGGAGCCCGGTGCCTAGCATCAGATTCTACTCCTACACTCACTGGCTGCTGTGGGAGCCGCTTTGCCTTACTGAATGCCCAGTTCCTTTATCTTAAGATGTGAGTGGTAGGCAGACATGGTGGCCAGTGCTTGCAGTCACAGCACTTGGGAGCCTGGGGGCGGTGGACTACACTTGGGCTGCAAAACGGGACCTTGTCTCCAGAAACGCAAAAGCAGAACAAAAAGTGAATGGTAACAGTGCCTATCTTACCTCGTGGGCTGTTTTGAACACTATGTCAATTAATGTTTCCTCATGGACTCGGTCAGCCTCTGGCATAGGACGTGGTGTGGAATCTGTTGAATATTAAAGGAATGAGGCCTCACGAAGGTTTACTCCAGCAGATTTGCCACTGGTAGAGCTTTCTGGGTTGAAGATTTTGACTTTGAGAGCCCTGTGCTTGCTGCATTAGATCGCCGATAAAGGCGTGGGACTGGGAGATGTGCAGTGCTTGCTGTGTGAGCATGAAAGCCCGAGTTGAAATTCCCCAGAGCTAGGTGTGCATCACAGCTGCCCTGGGCCCAGGCAAACCACTCAGCCGCACTAACGGACTTGGCAGGCTCTGCATTCAGCAGACAGTGCACCTCAGTGAAGAAGACCCCAGCATCAGATTTGAGCTTCGCACATGTGCATTCTCGTGCACACACACACATGTACACGTATAAAAAGACTCAACCTGTTGTAGGGGTCAGATTGCTCCTCATGCAAGTACTCACTGACTCCTCTCTCTCTACCTGTTCTGTTCTGGGTGCTGGGGACACCTGAATCAGGGCACGTGGAGCTTCTGGTAAAGCTGTCGTTCTAGAGGAGGCCACATTTTCTAAGAAGACAATGTATGGCCTTCCTGTAGGCATTCTCCTTGCAAAGCTGAATTGTAATGAGAAGTTGCCCTGCTGAGCCTGCACATTGGAATAGGTGGTTAACTGTCTGGGTTACCTTTTAGGGGCCAGAGAAATTTTGTTGATGGATTGTGACTCCCTTACACTACTTGATGGGACTAGCAAGAATGCTGCTGACTTTCAGCGCTGTGAATTGGTTTTTCTGCAACAGCTTCACTCAGGTTTCTCAAGAAGATAGGACAGTGTAGAGTAAGTCTACAAACATCGGAAGCTACATTTCAAGCACTGTTTGGAAATGCGATTGTACAGTAGCTGTCAATGGTGACAGCATGGCTTCTGTGTGACAGTGCATCTATGTTATCTGTCATGTGCTCCCGGAAGGGGACTAAGAACAGGGATGAAGCAGCATGGTATGAACCTGTCCTGTCATCAGCACCATCGCTTCAGTGCCCTCAGTGCTGTTCCCCTTCACTGCGGGAGTGGAACATACAGGTGCCCAGGGTGTGCTCAACACCAGGCTCTCGGTTGCCACGCGGCTATGTTTCAGTCTGTGCACATTTTGTTGTCCTACGTCTGTCCCTCTGCCCATGGACAGTCAGCACAAGTCCTTGTGCACGCTAAGCATACACTCCACTACCGAGCCGCCTTCCCGGTCCTTATTTTTCCTTCTTTAAAATTTGTTTTTAGACAGTATCTCCCCTGTAGCCCAGATTAGCCCCAAATTCTTTGTAATTCTTCTGCCGCAGCCTTCTGAGTTGCTGGGATTATAGGGGTGAACCACCATACCCAGTTTCTGTTTCTAAAGAGATTTTTAAACATTTGTTTGTTTATTGTGTGTCTGTCTGTGTGGGTGCATGAGCACATGCGTGTGGAGGTCAGAGAACAGCTTGCAGGAGTTTATTCTTTTCTACCATGTTGTTTCTGGTGATTAAACTCAGGTCATTAGACGTGGTAGCAAGTGCTACAACCCCTGAATCCCTTGATGGGCCCCAACTTGTTTTTAAGTACTTGAAATATATATATCCAGTGCTTGTCATTGAGTCTTTCTTACTGAAAATAAGGTTCTCACTGTTGGAGACTGTCTCACTGAGTAGTCTGACTAGCCTCAGGTTTATCATCCTCATTCCTCAGTCTCTTGAGAAGCTGGCGTTATAGGCACACACGACTGCACCTAGCTTCAAGCGGAATTGTATTATCACGTGTGTATATGATAGGAAGGAAGAGAAATGAGTGTGAGAGAGAGGAAAGGTGGGGAAGGGGAGGGGATAAGAGATTGTTACAGCTGCAAGTATGTAGAGGTCAGAGGACAACTTGGGAATCAGTTCTCCCCTTCCACTTTGTTTTTAATTAAAAAAATTATTTATATGTATAGGCAGTTTGCCTGCATGTATGTCCATGTACCAAGTACATGCCTGGTACCCTTGGAGGCCAGACGAGAGAGTTGGAACCCCAGGATTGGAGTTAGAGATTATTGTGAGCCACCTTGTAGGTGCTGAGAATCAAACCAGGTCCTCTGGAAGATGAACCGGTGCTCTTAACCATTGAGCCATCTCTCCAGACCCTGTTCCCACTTGGTTTAGCAGGGCCTCTCTTGTTCTGCTGCAATGTGTATTTCAGGCTAGTTGGCCGTGTGGACTGTGTGGTCCCGTCTCTATTTCCTAGCAGCAGTGCTGGGAGTATAGATGTGTGAGGCTGCGTCTAGCTTGTTATCTAGGGTCCAGAGATGACTCAGGTCCTCAGGCTTGCAGAGCAAGCTCTTTCGCCTACTGAGCTATCTGCAGGCCTTCAAGCAGTATTTGCAGATAATGGCGGGAGCTGCATGCTTTTTTGGTGGTGCTTGCAGTAGTGGCCAAGCGCAGTACTGCTGAGCTGCATCCCCAGCCCACAGGAGCATTTCTGATCTCCAGTATACACAATTAGAGCAAAGTGGAATGGATCCTCACCTAAGAAAGGAGAAACAGCCAGGCAGTGGTGGCCCACGCCGTTAATCCCAGCACTTGGAAGACAGAAGCAGGAGAATCTGTGAATTTGAGGTCAGCCTGGTCTATAGAGTGAGTTCCAGGACAGCCAGGGCTGCACAGAGAAACTGTTTTGACGAAAATAAAGAGGGGGAGGAGTAACCAGGTGAGATGGCTCAGCAAATCTCTGTGAGTATGAAGTCAGCCTGGTCTACAGAGTGAGTTCTAGGACAGCCAGGGCTGCACAGAGAAGCCCGGTGGTGGTGGTGGGAGCTGAAGATGGCTTGGTGGTTAAGAACACTGCTGCATTTGCAGAGGACCTGAGGTCCAGGAGATTTTGTACTCTCTTGACTTCTGTGGTGTGGTGCACATAGTGCATGCCAGTACACAATACCTAAGACGTCAAATAAAAATAAAATTTAAATTTAATTTAAAAATTAAAAACAAAATAGCTACTCAGAGAAAAGAGGAAAAACAGCTATAAACAGCTATACAGACCCCAATAAGTGAACACATGAATAAATGATTGAAGCACGCTACCGGGGATGTAGTTAAGTGGGAGAGTATGTATGTGCCCTGGGTTTTGTGCAAGACCCTGGGCTCCATCCCCACACCATAACACCCGAGGGAAAAAGTGAACAAGAACAGCTGGAGAGAGACCTCTAGCGTGCATGGAAACAAAGTTCCCATCACTGCTCTGGGTTACCTGTTTGATTTTAAACAAACTTAAGTCTGTCCCTCACCTTCTCATCTGTAAAATGGATATAATCCCATTTTGAGGACTTGACATTATGATTAACTGTAAAGCAAATTAACTGGTTAACAAATATTAACTCCTGTTACAAATATCTTAAAAATTAAAGGAAGGAGGCTGGCAAGAAAGCTTAGCTGGTAAAGACGCTCACTGCTCAGTCAGACAATTTGCTGACCTGAGTTCAGCCTCAGGTACACATGGTACAAGAGGAGAATTGACTTCTGCATGCTGTCCTCTGGTCTCTATATGAGTACTGTGACATGCAGATAGATAGATAGATAGATAGATAGATAGATAGATAGATAGATAGATAGAGTGTAAAAATATAAAGGGAGGTAGGAATGGAGAAATGAGTTAAGTTTCAGGCTGTTCTTCCAGAGGACTCAGGTTCAGTTCCTACCACCCACATGGCAGCTCCCAACCATCTAAAACTCTGGTTCCAGGAGATCCTGTGCCCTCTTCTGGCTTCTAAATGCACCAGGTATGCATATTGTACGCAGGCATACATATAGGCAAAACACCTGTACACATAAATTTTTTTAAAAAAAAATTAAAAGTTAAAGGGAGGAAAAAAATCAAGTAGGAGTAAAGAAACTCAAGAGACACGTGTGAACCAGCTCTTTCCTATGCATGCTCATATAAATGCACACACAGGCGGACAGTAAATAGCCATCACTAATAAAGAAAAACATTCCCCCCCCCCTTTTCCCCCTTTTTTTCAAGACAATGTTTCCCTGTGTAGCTTTTAAGCCTTTCTTGGAACTTGCTCTTGTAGACCAAGTTGGCCTCAAATCTACAGAGATCCACCTGCCTCTGCCATCTGAGTGCTGGGTGCACCACCACTGCCTGGCAGGAAAAGTAGTTTTTGTTTTTTTAAAGAGAACAAACTATCTTTTTTCATTATGCATACAGGAAAAGTAGTTTTAATCATAATGGAATGTCTGCCCCCTCCATGAGATTAATTTAACATAGTGTTAGCTGTAACATGGGGAAAATGTATATTCAGTGTGACAGACGTTCTGTGTGACATTGGTGGAGTTGGTGTTGAAATAGCAGTTGTGTGGGAAACTATTACAGTTGAAGGAAGACTCATAGCTTTTACACAAATTATGTAAATATATATGATAGTATTCATCAAAGCTGTTTGACTTAGTAAGCTATCAGATCACCTGTGCAGACCACACCCTAACCAGTGTGTCCTTCACCTGTGCATGTACTGCACCCAAACCAGTATGTCCTTAAAACTGGCCCTGGGTGGGCTGGAGAGATAACTCACAGGTTAAGAACACTGGCTGCTCTTCCAAAGGTTCTAAGTTCAATTCCCAACAACCACATGGTGGCTCACAACCATCTGTAATGAAATCTGGTGCCCTCTTCTAGCCTGCAGGCATACATGCAGACAGAACACTGTATACATAGTAAATTAATAAATAAAAAGGTAAATAAATTAACAAGTAAATTTTTTTTTAAAAAAAAAGATAGTCATTAAAAAAAAAAAAAAAACTGGCCCTGGGACCTGGGCAGAGGTTGGCGTATATCTTTAATCCCAGCACTCAGGAGGCAGAGGTAGGTAGATCTTTGTGAATTTGAGGTCAGCCTGGTCTAGAGAACAAGGTCTAGGACAACCAAGGACTGTACATAGAAACCTGTCTTGCAAAATAAAAATTAATTATTAATTAAAATTAACTGGCCCTGCGTCAGGCACTGTACATGTTTCTCTAAATCTGTGTGTACTACTTTTATCTTTACACAAACTCAGAGGAGGATCTGAGAGCATTCTTTTCTAGCTGAGAAGAACGTGAGGCTCAGTGCTATCACGACTTGACCAAAGTCTACTTTACCAGTAAACTGACTCCCAAAGATTTGCTGTCTTATCCCTATGAAATGCTCTATTATACAACTGTCCTACACCATGGGCTAGATGAGTTACTACCAGATGGGAATATTTATCTCAGGTATATTGTGATAGTTCTGTTAGAAACACACACACACACACACACACGCACATATCCTTTTTATTTTTTTTTTTTTTTTTTTTTTTTTTTTTTTTTTTGGTTTTTCGAGACAGGGTTTCTCTGGAGCCTGTCCTGGAACTAGCTCTTGTAGACCAGGCTGGCCTGGCCTCGAACTCACAGCGATCCGCCTGCCTCTGCCTCCCGAGTGCTGGGATTAAAGGCGTGCGCCACCACCGCCCGGCTTCCTTTTTATTTTTTAATAGTTTTTTTTATTTGTGTATATGTTATATGGCTACTGGCCAGTCCGCGTTTTATTAAAATACAAGTAACATCTTTACAGGGTACAAGACCATTTTCCCACAGCAATTCTTTCCCTCCCTCCATTTTTTTAAACAAGAACTCTGAATCTGATCTTCCTTGTTTAACTTTCTTCCTGACCATTATCCATAACAACTTGTAACCAATACTCTAAACAAAGAAAAACATCCATAATCCAGTTTTTTTTTTGGTAATGTGGACATAATTTCTAGGCTACTTCCTACTGATCGGGGTGCTGATAATCTTATGGGCACCTAAAAATATTTAGAATTATGATCAAGTCTCGACTGGAATACTCTGTGAGGCTTTATCATCTCAGCCAGCAGTCTTGAATCTGTTCTAGATGTAGAACTCAGACATCTGGGCCATCCACTCCTACCAGAGATTTTTCAGGGGGATTCTTCCTTGATCAAACCTGATTTTTCTTAACCCACAGTCTCTTATTTCCTGTGGAAACAAAGCAAAACCTCTTCTCTAAAGTAACATATCTTTTGATTTCAGTTTTTAAGTCAAGGTATTTTCAAAGTACCTATCTTGGATTAATCCAGCAGCATTTATAATCAAATATCTTTTAGCAGCTGTTGTTTCTTCCTTAGTCATCCAACCATTCAAAAACAACACAATAACATACAGTATCCAGACTCTGTGTATTTTCCATCTTTATGTGGCTTTATTTTTATTTTATTTATTTATTTAAATTTTTTTTTTGAGGTTTCTCTGTATATCTGCCTGTCCTGGCACTCACTCTGTAGACCAGGTTGTCCTTGAACTGTTGGGATTAAAGGTGTGTGCCACACCCAACTACTCTCTTTCTTTTTTTTAAAGACTTTATCCTTTTTCTTTTTTCTTCCAAGCTTACATATATTTTTAAACACACTGTAAACCATTTAAATTTTTTTTATTTTGAATCTATCTTTACTATATATCTCTCTTTTTCTGACCACATGAGTCTTTAATTTGCTAAGCAATATGACTAAAATTAAAGCCGTGGCTTAATTCACCCCATTCCTTAGCTTTCTGAGAGTCTGGCATCATGACGGAGGTACTGGCCAGAGCCATGTTTATTGCCACAATTCTGTGGAGTTTCAGGGTCCCTGCCACCACCAAGAAGTATGCTGTTGGCTACTCATAAACACTACGTGTTTGACGGCAGGGCCTCTTAAAAGATTTGCAAGGTTTTTGCAGCTAAAGTTGAGTCAGGAAGCCTCACTTAAATGAGACATACTTGCCTATAGCAAACAGAGCCCACACTAGTAAATGCTGCTACCAAGAAGCTGTGTTTATCTCTGTTCTTTTGTGCCTAGAATTACTTCCCAAGCTCTCTCAGGTTTTAAGTGGATTCAGTTGTCCACGTTAGCGCCATTTGTTGACTGAGGTTTCTGTTCCACCAGGTCCCACAGGCGTTCAGTCCCAGAGAAACACATCATCTGCTGGTTGGCCTGTTAGCTCAGGATTTCTTATTAACTAATTCTTATATCTTACATTAACCCATAATTCTTGTCTGTGTTAGCCATGTGGCTTGGTACCTTTTATGGGTGAGGTATTCCCATCTTGCTTTCTCCTCATCTGGGTGACGACTGGAGACTCAGCCTTTTCTCTTCCCAGAATTCTCCTGTTCTCGTTGTCCCGCCTATACTTCCTGCCTAGCTACTGGCCAATCCGCGTTTTATTAAAATACAAGTAACAGATCTTTTCAGGGTACAAGATCTTTGTCCCATAGCATGTGTGTGTGTGTTCATGTGCTCTGTATATGCGTGTGCATGTGAAACAGTTCACATGGGGTGTCCTCCATTGGCCATACTTTACCTTGTTTATGTTTGTTTGTCATTTAGGTTTTAGTAGCTGCCCTGGAAACCTCTAGCTTCTGCAGTTTACACCTTCCCCCAACTTCCTCCACGGGCGTTGAGATCAGAACTGTGGTCCTCATGTTTGTACAGCATGTACTTTACCCACTGAACTGTCTCCCCAACCCTGCAGCCCCTGTTTTGACATATTTGGTTGTTATGTCAATCTGTGTATCTTGTGTGCTCGTGAGGTGACGCATTTGTTAAGGTATTTCACATACAGCCTGATGTGTTATGCCCACAGTCCACGTGGTGAAAGGAGAGACTTCACTCCCCACAGTTATCCTCTGCCACACATGTGTGCAGTGGCACGTGGGTATGAGCACAGACATAAAAAATAATAAGGTAGTAAAACATGCATGTACATGTATCTTTTTATAAGTACAGGGGAGAATAACAAACATTGAAATGGTTGAGAGTCCTGGATTTGTTGCAGAATTTGGCTTCTAATAAGCATGGTGTACACACACACACAAACACACACACTAGGCGTGTTCTTTGTTTTTAGAGATGGGGGGTCTTATTATGCAGCCTTGGCAGCCTGAAGATTGCTCACTGAGACCCATCCATCTGTCTCCAGGTGCAGGGTTACTAAAGGCGTGCACTGACCATGCCCTGCTCAGTTAGCATGTGTTACTTGCAGCTTTTCTTTTGTAAGACTTTTTTAAAAATCCGGTGAATTTTCAGAAAAACTAACCAAGCTTTTCACCCTTTCCTTTTGTCTTTTAGGTGATTCCTGTGGCCTCTTCAGGCTCTCCTGTGGGAGATGTGCCCTTCATCCGGTCGGGACTGCTCGGCTTCGTAGGACCGGTAGGTGACGGTTTCCTGTTGATTTTGCTACATACGATCTAAACATTTGAACCTTAATTCACAGAACTACACAATTCTGTGTAACTGAAGGTGCCACAGTACCTCTTATAAGCAGTCACAAGTTGTCCCTCTCCTGTCTTCAGCCGGTCTTGCTCCATGGTCCTGGCTGGCTTGCAGAGACCCTGCCTCCGCCACCACACCAGGCACTTGAGTTCTATTTAGATGATTGCTTAAGGCTGTCATAGAAACTGGACAGTGTCCACTTTTTGTCCCAGCACTCGGGAGGAGAGGCAGGAGGGTCTCTGAGCTTGAGACCAGCCTGGTCTACAGAGTGGGTTCCAGGACAGCTAGGGCTACATAGGAAACCATGTCTTGAAAAACCAGAGAGAGAGAGAGAGAGAGAGAGAGAGAGAGAGAGAGAGAGAGAGACAGAAAATAATTTGTTACTTGGTAAATGGTATTTACAGGTACTGGATCTAGAGCTGACTAGGACCCGAAGTCTTTCTCAAAGGGTACATGATGAGCCCAAGGAATTCATGAGGATGGCAGAGGGCCAGACCACGGGAAGTGATGGGTGGTCACTATCTTATAAACTCATCTGTTGTTGTCTCCCTCCTACCTGCTTTCCTGCTCTCAACTGTTCAACTCCTCTGAGAATGTGTAGAATTGACTTTTGCTTCTCTTTCCACCTGGGATTTGGGTGCCAAGAGTCGCCCTCTTAGAAACTGTATACACTGAGTGTAACCTCAGCTGTCCTGACCTCCAGCCAGCACCAGAATAGTCTCAGATGCCCAGCTCTTTAGCTTGCGACACTGTTGGGGTCTGGGACGGAGCTTCAGCCATCTCTGAAATAGACAGACTCTAGTCCTGCTCTCTAGGATGACCCCCTAAACCCTGACCTAGCTGCCAGAAAGCTGTGCCAGCTGAACAACCTCACTGGAAAAGATTTGGAGAAACAGGCATCTCTATTTTAAGATTGTTTTTATTATTTAATTGTACATGTGTGTACTTGCATAGAGGAGTTTAATGCCGTGGAGTTGGAGTTACAGAACTTGTGAGCCACATGACATGGATGCTGGAAACCACACTCAGCTCCTTCATAAGGCCAGTGTATTCCTAACCACCAGCCTAATCTCTAGCTCCTCTTCTCTGACTGACACCAGCTCTTAACACAGTTGGAAGTGACTGGCTCCCCACTGGCATTGTAGGTGGACCAAAGCTTCATATGCATAGAGATTCTGCCTTTCTGTTGTAGCCCAGTCACTCTGGGCCACTGCACTGTGCTTAGAAAGTTAATGAGTGACATCCACGTGGAGATAATACTGGCTCATTGAGTACATGTCAATAGTCCAAGTCTTCAGACTAACTAGGAGGGAGGCCATGGAATGTTCCCACAGTAATGCTGCTCTGTTGTCCTGGGAAGAAGACCTGCAGCAGTCTTGGGCCTTTTTCTCCATCTACTCCTGCTCTTGCCTGATGGAAACAGTGGCACCCTTCCATGCTCGACGCAACTTTTTACAGATTACAATTGCTTGACTTCCCTCTAATTCCAGTAGTCAGTGAACATGAACTAACCCATATACCCATGGCTAGAAAAGTAAATGACACATGGTTGTAGTTTCTTCCCTGTGAAATTCCCCTCTAAGAATATAAATGAGTTCATCACAGACTGTAAGACCTCAGTGCGTACTAACTAGTGGCTCAGCTAAACCTGATGACTTGAGTTCAATCCCTAGGATATTGACAGAAGTTTCTGTCCCTCCAGGTCCCACAGCCATTTGGTCCCATATAAACACACAGAGGTCTACATTAATCATAAACTAGTTGTCCTAGTAGCTCAGGCTTCTTATTAATTAATTCTTGCATCTTACATTAATCCATTATTCTTGTCTGTGTCAGCCACATGGCTTGGTACCTTTCATCAGCAAGGCATTCTCATCTTGCTTCCTCTGTGTCTGGGTGACAACTGCAGACTGAGCTCTCCTCTTCCCAGAGTTCTCCTGTTCTCATTGCCCGACCTCTACTTCCTGTCTGGCTACTGGCCAATCAGCATTTTATTAAACAAGTATAAGAAACATATCTTTACAGGTTAAATCCATTGTCCCACATCAAGGACACACATGGTGGAGGAGAGACCTGGCGCCTTTGAGTTGTCTTCTGACTCCATGAGCATGCCGGTGCCCACTCACACATGCACACACAAGAGAAATGGTGTGACTTTTAAACAGACTTCATTGACTCAAAAATGCCACTTCCTCACTGATTCCAGAGGGTTTCTTTTAAAAAAATCCAATTGAGGTGGATTTAATCCACATTCAATTCCACATACCTTTAATCCCATCATTCAGATGGCAGAGGTAGGCAGATCTCAGTGAGTTTGAGGCCAGCCTGATCCATCTAGTGATTTACAGGACAGCCATGACTACACAGTGAGACCCTGTCTTGGGGGAATATAAATAAATGAATAAGGATTTGCTGAAGGAGGCAGAGGTAGGAGGATCACGAGTTCAAGGCCACAGTCTGGGCTACGCATTTTATATATATCATGACATTGTTTTCTTTGATGTAAACACACAGGGTTTTTTTGTAGTGTTGGGGATTGAACTGTGTACATGCCTTACAGGTATTTTTCTTAGCCGTGTTTTTTTTTTTTTTAATGAGATTTACTTCAAAGCTGGAAATGTAAAGTGTCTTACCCATTAACCATGGAAATGAAAGTAAACAAATCATTGTTAACTTTCAGGGTAGCTTGGTGTTTGTGGTTGGGAAGATGGATGGACTGCTCATGGTTAGTGGTCGGAGACACAACGCTGACGACATTGTTGCTACGGGACTTGCTGTCGAGTCCATCAAGACCGTCTATCGAGGGAGGTAGGTGCTGCATGAGATGACGTCATCACTTTGGGGTCGTCTGCAGTGCTTTCTCTAGACGCTTCTTCCAGTTTCTTAGGTTGGCTTGGGTTCAAACGACAGAAGCCTGACTTTCAATATCTGGCCTACAGTGTTTGGCTCTTTGAGTGACTGAGAAGAATAAGATGGGTATCAGAGTCTGTTACTCTTTGAGTTCTGAAGATGGGGGAGCATTAAAGAAGAAACATTGCCCCTCCCATACTCTGTAGAAATGCAGGCCTAAGAATTCTTCCTCTCACTTCTTACCCAGTTGCTGTATTGTCCATGTGCAGATTGACATGTCAGCTTAGTGTTGAGAATCCAGATTCTGTGGACAAGGCCAGGCCTTTCCTTCTGCTTACTAATGCAAGAAGAGGTATTCCAGCAGTTCAGTCTCCTCCAGGGGTCTGGTAGGGTTATTTTTGTTTTGTTTTTGCACAAGAACATTTTGATACACATGTATGATGTGCTTGGAGCATGTGTCTCCTTATCCCTCCTTTCCTGACCTGAGTTGCATAAGAAGTAAGAAAATATGAAGATATCACAAAGAACCAGTTCCTGAATTATGTGGTTTTCTGAAACTGTGTGGCTCTTAGGAATGGAGGAGCTCCTGGGCCCTAGACCCACTGTGTGTGGTCACAGTTGTGTCCTTGGGCACAACACAGTGGCAGGCAGGTAGTTAATATCCCATAACTGCTGTGGAGGGAGGGCGGGACTCAGGCTGTCAAGCAGCATCTTTGCTCCCCTGTCCTTTCCCAGCCTTCCTGCATTCACTCAGCAAACACTCCCTGGCGGCAGCTATACGCTGCTTTTCTGGGTGCTCTGACAGGGAAGGAAACAGGTTATGTGTGTACCCTCATGTTCTCATGACAAACACAGGAGCCAGGCAAATGGCCACATAGACAGCACCGAGAGGGTCATGAGTGCTGTGGGGTGACCACCTGCAGTGGCCTGGGGACGCCTCACTAGTAAGGGGACATTTGAGCGCAGACCTCCCCTAGATCCGACTCCATCCACCCCCTCTTGGCCTCAGTCTTCCTCACTCCCTTGCCCGTGTCTGACTTCCGCTCCACTCTCTGCTTCACCACTCTGCTCCAGGCACACTGGCCTTCTTGCTGTTCCTCAAACCTGCCAAGCTCGTCCCTACCTCAGAACCTTTCCGCTTTCCGTTCCTTCTGCCCGGAATCCTCTTCCTCCAGATCTCCGCGTGGCTCGCGTCCTCACCTCATTCAGGTCTCTGCTCCAGTGTCCCCTCCCCAGGGAGGCGCTCCCCCAAGCATCCATATCCCACTCTGCTGAGCACCCCACTCCACTGGCCCTGCCCCAGGTGCTTCCTGGTGCACATCACAACATGGCTTCATTATCTGTGTGTCGATTGGTTCTGTCTGTGACACGTGAGCATCACAAAGACAGGAACTGTGTCTTCTTTACCATTCTGTGGGGCTTAATTCGTGTTGTCTTCATTTTTGTTTCAAGTGAACCATTCGATCCTGGTTTGGTGATGATGGCACCTTTCTTTCTACTGCTCATGTGTGGGTGGTATGTCGGGACGGCTCCTCTTCACTTCCAACTCAGGAAAGCAAACAGGATGGTTTTGAAGGGAGACTGATGTGTCTGATCTGTCTCTCTTAGAATTGCTGTGTTTTCTGTGTCTGTATTTTATGACGAGCGCATTGTGGTGGTGGCAGAGCAAAGGCCCGATGCGTCTGAGGAAGACAGCTTCCAGTGGATGAGCCGTGTGCTGCAGGTGAGCACTGGGTCTGTGCCGGTCACAGGTGGCTGTGACTGCCGCCTACCAGATATTCTTTCTTTCAAAATTATGTTTGAGGGCTAGAGAGATGGCTCAGTCGATAACAGTTGCTTTTCCAGAGGACCTGAGTTCAAATCCCAGCACCCATACAATGATTTACTGGGTGGTGGTGGCACACACCTTTAATCCCAGCACTGGGGAGGCTGAGGCAGGCGGATCTCTGTGAGTTTGAGGCCAGTCTTACGTACACAGTAAGTTCCAGGATAGCCAGTGCTACACAGAGAAACCCTGTCTCAAAAAAAAAAAAAAAACAGAATAAAACAAAAAGACCAAAAATAAAAGTTGTGTTTCAGACTTTGATGTGCAGGCAGTGAAATGTGTTCATACCCACTCTCCTTCCTGCCTCTCCCACTTTCTCCGTATCTCCCAAACACCTTATTTCTTTCATGCCCACGTGTTTACTACCCATGAAGCTTTTGGCTGCCCTCTGTGGCATGCATCTCTGAAAGTAATTGTTGTAAGTAGGTAATCTCAGTCTTGCTATACCATGTGTGTAGAAGGTTCAAGCACATGTAAGTGAGAGAGCTTTTTGTGGAGTTGGCGGAGGTGGGTAGATGGACCAGTGTTGTGCCTGTCTTGCGAGACTCCCTAACAAGACCACCACAGAGCTGGTATCTGAGGTAGGGGTTTACTGAATACAAGCTCAAGCCAGGACTTTCATCCCGCACTCAGAGTGGAGGAAAATGGCCCTGAGCCTCTGGGTTTGTTTTTGTTTGTTTGTTTTTTCAAGACAGGGTTTTGCAGCTTTGGAGCCTGTCCTGGAACCAGTAGACCAGGCTGACCTCAAACTCACAGAGATCCATCCACCTGTCTCTGCCTCCCTAGTGCTGGGATTAAAGGCGTGCACACCACTACCCAGCTGGGTTTGGGGGTTTTTAAAGGGAAAAACTGCAAGCAGGGTAGCCCAGCCTTGGCAGTTCAGGATTGGTAAGGGTATGCAATGAACCTTTGAGTTTATTGGCTGGGGTCTTGGGGAATTTCAAACAATGGTTATCAACAAAATCACAAGGACATCTGTAGCCTGGCGAGTGTTGTTTACCCAAATTTCTTGCTGGCTGTCTTACCCAGGTGGGGTCGCCCTGACCAGGATCCTGGCAGTTAGTAGCCTTTTTTGGAATGTTTATGCCTTTGTTGGAGCTGAGTTCTTTCCCTGGTTAGGTCCTGAGTTCTTCCTCAAAATGGAGTTTGTTCTGCTCCTTCACCTTCAGGGTAGGAAGAAGACTTGTGCTCAGTGTTGAGAACGTGTTTTTAGTGGAAACTGGCTATGAGAGTGTAAGGAGCCAAGTCTCCATCTGTCAGCACTGTGGGTGGAGGCTGGTGACTTCAGAACTCGTCTCCTGACCTGTAGAGATGGAGCAGGGTCTCTTTCAGGACGAGTGGATTGAGTGAGGTCACCAATGGAAGTGCCTGGTCTGCCCTCACTAGACAGTGGTGATCTTATTAATATAAAATGCTGATAATATTACCCACTGTGAGTCCCATGCAGGCTGAGACTTCTCTGTCTTTTTTGTTCTCCACTCAGCCCCCGGAGCTTGAGAGCGATGCTAGCATGCAGCATAGTACCATTCAAAAGTATTTGTTGGCTAAATGTACAGTCCAGAGCAAGCTGGCCTGCCCTCCCAATGAACTCTGATGTGCTGGACGTGTTTCCAGGGCTGTGACTTCTCTGCCTAGGGCCCTTAGCCTTCTGAACAGTCCCTTAATAACATAGAAATGATGCAGACACAAAATGAGAATGAGCACTGGACAATTTCAGATTTCTTTCTCTTCTCAGAATACATTATTCTGAATTATTAGCTAGTCTACAGGCAGGCTGTTTGTAGTACAGAAATGAAAAGAACTGCTGGGTACGGCGCACGCCTTTAATCTCAGCACTCAGGAAGCAGAGGCGAGCAGATCTCTGTGAGTTCAAGGCCAGCCTGGTCTACAAAGTTCCAGAACAGCCAGGGCTGTTAAAACAGGGAAACCCTGTCTCAAAAAACAGAAGACAACAAAACAGAAAGAAAGGAACTAGGTATGGTGCACATGTCTTTATCCCAGCACTTTGGAGGCAGAGACAGGTGGAGCTCTGAGAGCTGAGTTCCAGGACAGCAAGGGCTACATAAAGAGACCCTGTCTCAGAAACAAGCAAACAAATCAGAGGACATAATCTGAGTATAAACCAGGCTAAAATACTGTGAAGACTGTAGGATTGGGCTGATACCTGGTTATCTGAAAGGTGGTGGCAGACGTGCAAAGATTGATTTTAGTCAGGTGTGACAGTATGTCCTGTAACCCAGCACTTGGAAGGTGAGGTGAGAATTTAGAGTTTAAAGCCACATTAAACACTGTCACCAAGGAACAATAGTAAGGCCTAGAGAGAGGGCTTATGGGGTCTTCCAGAGGACCTGGGTTGGAGTCTGAGCCCCCAGGCTGACAACCATCTGTGACTCCGGTGTGGCCATGGGCACCATTCATACACGTGGTACACACGCATACATATAGGCAAACATTCACATACATAAAATAAAGAATTAATTAAATGAAAAAGAGTGAGAAGGGCTCTGCTGGTAAAGGCAGTTGCAGTGCAAGCCTGATGACCTCAGGTCAGTCCTGGGGACCCATTTAAAGGGGGGAAGAGAAAATGGACTCCTCTAAGCTGCCCTCTGCCCTCCTCAGAAACGCTGCGCTGCGTCATTCTCATGTGCATGCACGCACACACACCATCACAGTGGCACCACCACACCCATCCACACACCATCACAGTGGCACCACCATACCCATACACACACACACACACACACACACACACACACACACACCATCACAGTGGCACCACCACACCCATCCACACACCATCACAGTGGCACCACCATACCCATCCACACACACACACACACACACACACACACACCATCACAGTGGCACCACCATACCCATCCACACACACACACACACACACACCATCACAGTGGCACCACCATACCCACACACACACACACACACACACACCATCACAGTGGCACCACCATACCCACACACACACACACACACACACACCATCACAGTGGCACCACCACACCCATCCACACACCATCACAGTGGCACCACCATACCCATACACACACACACACACACACACACACACACCATCACAGTGGCACCACCACACCCATCCACACACCATCACAGTGGCACCACCACACCCATCCACACACCATCACAGTGGCACCACCATACCCACACACACACACACACACACACACACACACACCATCACAGTGGCACCACCATACCCATCCACACACACACACACACACACACACCATCACAGTGGCACCACCATACCCACACACACACACACACACACACACCATCACAGTGGCACCACCATACCCACACACACACACACACCATCACAGTGGCACCACCACACCCATCTACACAGGAGATTTTTTTCTAGTCCTGTAACTTTATTTGATATTCATTGAGTTAGTTCTCATCCCAGGTCACTGTAGAGGTTTTAATGTGGTCGTAGGATACAAGTTGCTGACATAAAGAGCTTGTCTGGTGAGTCCTCATCCTCATTTTGTTTTTCTGGACAAACATACGGGATACAGTGTGGACCATTTCTTATTCTTTGAGACCAGATGAGCCTGGTGTCAGCGTGCACCCCTGAAGTTCCCTTTGCTTCATCGCACATTTCTGGATTTCTTGGAGGGCCTGAGGGGCGTGCTTCTTGAAGCCCCACCGTGGGTGTGCTCATGGATGTTGATGGTGTATTCTCGGGTTCTTGCTGCCCTCCTGCCAGACCCGAGTTGGAAAGGAAGGGCTCGAAGGATGTAGGAAGGAAAACCGGGTGGCTGGTATCACTTCCAGATCACAGGGAGGTGGAGAGTGGAGGTGTAAACAGGCATATTTGGGGACTTAGTGATCTACCAGACTCCCGTCCTGGGATGGATAGAGAGGCACCCTGCCGAAAAATTATGGGCTCTGTCAGGATATATCAGATGTTCTCAAAGTAATCTCCCTGTTTTTCTTTGTGTTTTTCCAGGCAATTGATAGCATCCATCAAGTAGGCGTTTACTGCCTTGCTCTGGTGCCTGCCAACACATTACCAAAAACTCCACTAGGAGGAATCCATATATCTCAGACAAAACAGCTCTTTCTGGAGGGATCTCTGCACCCGTGTAATATCCTCATGTGTCCACATACATGTGTGACGAACTTGCCCAAACCCCGACAAAAGCAGCCAGGTAATAATCTAGCTTCTAGCTGTGACATTACGATGCAGTTTTTTTTTTTTTTTTTTTTTTTTTTTTTTTTTTTTTTTTTTAGTTTTTCGAGACAGGGTTTCTCTGTGGCTTTGGAGCCTGTCCTGGAACTAGCTCTGTAGACCAGACTGGTCTCGAACTCACAGAGATCCGCCTGCCTCTGCCTCCCGAGTGCTGGGATTAAAGGCGTGCGCCACCATCGCCCGGCTCGATGCAGCTTTTTGAAGGCAGACTCTTTCAGCACGTGGTGCGTCGGTTTAGGCTCTATGCAGAGATAACAAGAACAGCATACGCTGCCCAGCAGCCAGGAAGACGGCTGCCTGTGGGAACGCTGCCCTGGCTGAACGTTTCTCCTCTTCTGAGTTTGCCACGATGGTCAGCGTCCCCCTAGGAGAAAGGGGTAAAGCGCGTCCTCTGGTGACAAGAGCAGCTGGTTTTCCATGGGTGCTCACTAAATGCCATGCACTGGCTATGCATGTTACGTGTGTGATCCTGAGTGTGAGCCGTGTGCTCTCTCTCAGTATCATTGTATCATACTGGCCTTCTGCGGGAATCTCATGCCTAGACCTACTCCTTCTCTCATAGCTGCTGAGGTGTGGTGTGGGCCTGTCTTACCTCTGGGGAATAGGCATCTTCCGAGTTATAACCAGAACATAAACAGCATGCTTTGTGTTGGCCATTTTCAAGGTACAAACCAAAAGAATATGAATTGCCACATGGAAAAGAGAAGAAACACAAATCAGTTTCACCTTCTTGCTTGATTTCTCAGCAGACAAATGTCACGGGGCTGGGTGGAAAGCTAAGGTACTGATGTGACCCATTGATAGGCAGTCCTCTTTAAACATATGTCAAATCGAGTTGATGTCCTGTCTCAAAAAATTAAGAAGTCATGGCGTGGTGGCATACACCAAGACAGTGGGATCTCTGAGTTCAAAACCAGTCTGGTCTACATAGTAAGTTCCAGGCCATCCAGGGCTACACAGTGAGGCCTTGTCTCAATGAAAGAGATGAGGAGGGGACTTAAAACTGGCATGGCTTTGCTGGATGTGCTGACACCTTTTAGCTTCCTGTCTGCTTAGAAACATCAAAGCCCAAACCAGGCCTCTCCAGTGCCCCCTCCACCCCCGGCCCATACCCTGCATGGTGAGTAGAGGAAAAGCAGACAGTGGGAGGACTGGAAAGGAAGGTGTGGCATTTGAGTCTATTTTATGAGGTGGCTGTTACTGACAGGTGAGCAGCATGTGCGGTGATGAGGTATGGGATGCTTGCATGACCCTGCACTGCTCTAAAGTGGAGAAGTTGGTCACCGTGCTCGCTGTGGTCCACCGTCCCAAAGTCCTATCCCGCCCTCGGCCAGACCGTTAGAACTACCCTATCTTAGAGACAGTGGGCTCTGCTAGTGGAAATGAAGGGGTTATGGAGGCTAGCATTCTAGTTCTTGTGTTTGTTCATTGGTCTTATGTTGGTTGGGACTACTGTTGTAATACAAGAAAGTCTGGATCAAGAAGGTTGTGTGGTTAATTAAGAAATGTAATAGGAGCTGGAGAGATGCCTGAATGCTAAGAGTCTTTGCTGCTTCTCTAGAAGATCTGTGTTCAGATTGGAGCGTCCGTACAGGCGACTCACAACTGCCTGTAACTCCAGCCTCTAGGATTAGACACCGTCTTCTGGCCTCTATTAGGTACCCACACATATGACACATGTGTGCACTCACACACATGAAAATGAAACAACAGAAATGGAGTATCTTGACACACATTTCCTGCGTAGGCATATAGTAACCACATAAAATGTACCTCCTGCAGCAATGTGGCTTACTGGCAGAGTGTGTTCAACATGTGCAAGCTCCTGGATTCGATTCCCAGCACTGAAGAAACACAGACCTGTGCAATCCCTTCTTCATCTTAAATCTTATTGCTTTATTATGAATAGAATCCTATTTTAAGTAGCAGTATAAGATGATTTATTTATTTATTTATTTGTTTGTTTATTTATTTATTTATTTTTGAGATAGAATTTAGATGTGGTAGGGCTTAAATTCACGGTCATTATGCCTCAGCCTCCCAAGTGCTGGATTACATGTATGCTCACCCTGATAAACATATGATTTTTTAATGAAAACAATCATGTTTGAGTAGATGCTTTTAAAATGTTCTTAGAGGTACAGTAGACTTTAAATTTTTCTTTTCTTTTCTTTTTTCTTTTTGGTTTTTTTGTGTGTTTTGAGACAGGGTTTCTCTGTGTAACAGCTCTGGCTGTCCTGGAACTCATTCTGTAGACCAGGCTGGCCTCAAACTCAGAGAGATCCACCTGCCTCTGCCTCCCGAGTGCTGGGATTAAAGATGTGCACTAACACTGCCCAATCCTATAAATTTATTTTTATGTGTATTGGTATTCTGTCTGCATTTATGCCTATGCAGCATGTGAGTGCAGTGCCCAAAGCAGCCAGAAGAGGGTGTAGGATCCCCTGAAACTGGGTTACAGATGGTTGTGAGCCATCTTGTGGGTACTGGGAATTGATCACAGGTTCTCTGTAAGAGGATCCAGGTTCAATTTCCACCACTACATGACAGCTCAAATCTGTCTGTAACTCTGGTTTTAGGGGATCTGCCACCCTCTTCTGACCTCCTCAGCCAATGCATGCACATGACATACAAACAGGCAAGAAACCCATATCTAAATAAATAACTGAATTCATAAGTGTTTTTAATTCAGAAGAGCAGAGAGTTAGGAAGACAAAGATAATGAGTGTCGAGTCAGCCTCACTCAGATGCTGTTGGCTCCAGTCATGGAAAAACCAGAAGCAGAGCCAAGTCTGTTTCTCTTCAGGTGAAAGGTTCAGAGCAAGGCAAGCCTGGTGAGGATTGATCAGTCCTCAGCTGTCCTGTGCCACTTCCTCGCCTTTTTGTTGTTGTTGTTTAGTTTTTATCCCTTATTTTGGTTTTTTTGAGACAGGTTTCTCTGTGTAGCTCTAGCTGTCCTGGAACTCCCTCTGTAAACTTGGCTAGCCTCAAACTCAAAGGAATCTGCCTGCCTCTGCCTCCCAAGTGCTGGGATTAAAGCCATACACCACCACCACCCAGCTAAATACTTATTTATTTTTATTTTGTGTGTATGGGTGTTTTGCCTCCATTTATGCCTGTGTACCATGTGTGTTCAGAGGCCAGAAGAGGGCATCAGATTCCCTGGAACTGGAGTTAAATGTGGTGGTTAGTTGCTGTATAGGTACTGGGAACTGAACCTGGTCCCCTGAAGTAGCCGCCAGGTGATCTTAATGACTAAGCCATTCCTCCAGAATCTTTTTGTTCTGGTGACTTGTTACTGAACTGTTGTTATAGGTGTGCTGCATGACAGTAGCCTTTGAAAGAGCAGGCACTTGCTTTTCCCTCATGGAGTCTTCATAAGCTGCAGGTCATACTCAGAATTTGCCCATGTTCTCCTCTTTGGAATGGGCTGTGGCCTGAAGTTCCAGTAACCTTGCCTCAACCTCCTTACTACTGGATTTGCTAGTATAAGCCACATGCCCAGTATGGGCAGTACTTTCCACAGGAAACATGACTGAAACGGGATGTCCAGCCAACCCACACAAATGTGGTTAGGGTGTCTATTTCTGTCACCACCTCCTACTGTTTCTTGTCTAGAGCAAGTCAGACCATGTCCAACAAGTCAGTGTAGCCAAGTAGCGTCCAGTGTGAGTGCAGCTAAGAAAAGAAGGAAGGTTCTGACAGAAACAACTGTGGCCATGAGTCTCCTTAGCAGCCTGCCTGACCTCTAGCAGTGTTCTGCATCCTGACCAGCAGAGACGAGAAAGCTGTAGAGAGAATTCCTTCTCCAAACAGATCTCACAGAAGTCAGAAGTCAGGGGTGACCTTTTCTCCCTTGTCTCAAACTAAAGAAGATAGTCTATTTCAGGGTGTGTACAGACAATCTGGGTTATCAGCAACTCTGAGGTCAAGACCAATGTGGTCTACTGAGAGTTCTGGGTTGTCACTGTAAGAACTTGTTTAGGAAAAAGAAGCAGAAAAGAAACCTGTGTTGTGTTATGGGGGGGGGGGGGGTTGTAGGTAAAGTACGGTGTTGGCCTCAGGGAACTTTGAAAGCTTTGTGGGAAAGGTGAGGGAATGTTCCAGGTGGGGCAGTGTGCAGTGTCCTGGGAACTGCCTCCTGCTTCTCCATTTTCACTCTGACCCGTGTGCTCAAGAACTGCACCCAGAAGACCCTGTTCATGTGCTGCTGCTGTGAAGAGACACGTGACTACGGCAACTCTTATAAAGGGAAACCTTTAATTGGGCTCACTTACAGTTCAGAGGTTTAGTGCATTATCATTGTGGCAGGAAACATGGTGGCACGTGACAGACATGGTGCTGGAGAAGGAGCTGAGAGTTCTACATCTTGATCTCAGGCAACAGGAAGTGAACTGTGTACCACACTGGGTGTAGCTTGAGCAAATGAGACCTCAAACCCACCCCCACAGTGACACACCTTCTCCAACAAGGTCACACCTCCTGATAGTGACACTCCCTATGGGCTAAGCATTCAAACACTTGAGTCTGTGTGTCCAAACCTATTCATACCACCACAGTCTTATACCACAGTCTTTCAGGTGTTACTGCTTAGTGTCCACTTTTTAAATGTCACTCCTGGGGCTGGAGAGGCACTGAGAGGCTGAGGGCAGTTTGTGCTCTTACAGAGAACCCGAGTTCAAATCTCTGCGCCCACATTGGGTAGCTCACAACTACCTAGTTCCAGGGGGATCTGATCCCCTCTTCTGGCTTCTGCAAACATGTGCATACATATACATACACATAAATAATAAAATAAATCTTTAGAAACAGAAACAGCAGTTCTGTTTATTTCACACTGTAAAGTTAGTTCAGATCATTTTCACAGGTATATGCTGGGTCCTTAATATGGAAAGGACTGTTTGGAGAGTGGCATATCTCATTTATTATGCAATTTCATAAGAAAGGTTGGTGTCTCAAGATTATTTTGAACACTTTGCAGGCAAGCTGTTCTCCCATCAGAGTGTGGAAACAATCTCCCATCCTCAACATTTTTATCTTTTATGGCAAACAGTTTAAAATTGCATTTTGTGTGTGTGTGTGTGTGTGTGTGTGTGTGTGTGTATCAAAGGACAATTTGTGAATTTGTGCAAGTAAATTTTTTCTTTCATTAATCCTTAAGCTGCTGAAAAATAAATTTTTCCTTCAACCATATTGATCCTGGAGATTAAACTTAGGTCATTAGGCTTATTGAATCTTCTTGCTGGTCCCTTTTCTTTGCTTTTCTTTTCTTCTCCTCTTCTCTTCCTTCTCCTCCCCCCCTCTCCCCTCCCTTCCCTCTCTCTCTGTCTGGTTTTTTGAGACGTGGTTTCTCTGTAGCTTTGAGGCCTGTCCTGGAACTAGCTCTTGTAGACCAGGCTGGCCTCAAACTCAAAGAGATCCACCTGCCTCTGCCTCCCGAGTACTGGGATTAAAGGCGTGCGCCACCACCGCCCAGCTTTATTTTTATTTATTTATTATGTATTCAGTGTTCTGCCATTATAGATGGTTGTGACCACATGTGGTTGCTGGGAATTGAACTCAGGACCTTTGGAAGAGCAGACAAAGCTCTTAACCACTGAGCCATCTCTAGCCCCTTATTTTTTTTTTAATTCATTTTGAAGGAATTGCAGACTTATAAAAAATTGTCTACTACTATGAAGTTATGGCATATTCTTTATTCAGTTTCCCTAAATATTCACACACATATATACTTTTTTTTTGAGTTCTCACTGTATAATATACAAGTGCTGAGAATAAAAGACATTGCATATTAAGCATCATTGTTCAGAACCTAATGGCAATGATGGTTTTGTGGTTTGTTCTCCATTGACTCTAGATTGCAAACATCATGACCTTTTACCTGTACTGTTTGAACACTTTTTCCAAAGAAGCACAGAACTTTCTCTACTTGTTTTATTTAAGTAGTGTGTAAACGTAGATGAGGCTGGCTGCTTGTTTGTTTTCCAATCACTCAGACCCGAATAATCACGCAGAAATTATTATATTAATTACTACACTGTTCGGTCTGTTAGCTCAGGCTTCTTGTTAACTGACATATCTCAACCCATTTCTATTAATCTGTGTGTCGCCATGAGGCTGTGGCTTACCGGGTAAGGTTCTGTTCTGGCATCTGTCTCCTTTGGCAGCTTCATGGTGCCACTGACTCTGCCTACTCTCTCTATTTTTCCAGCCTGGCTGTATTCTGCCCTGCCATAGGCCGAAGCAGCTACTTTATTAAGCAGTGTTAATAAAAGGCACTCATAGCATACAAGGGGAATCCCACATCATGTCAAGGTTATGTGTTGCATTTGGCTGTCTTATTTTATCTTTAATACATAGACGCTTCTAGGTGTGCTGGTGCCGGTGACAGGAAGCTAAGAGATGTCTGTGAGTTTGAGGCTTGCGATTTGGATTTCCTCATTTACTTTTAATAAAAAACTTCTCATTCCCTCTTTTAAAAAATTATATATGCATGTGTGTGTATGTAGAGTATGTGCACATGCATGCATTATGGCACACATGTGGAAGTCAAAGGACATATGGTTCTAGAGATGGAACTGCTATCAGACCTGGTGGCAAACACCTTTACCCACTAAGCCATCTCACTGGTCTAGCACTACTCAGATTTCTAATGATCTCGGGCCACATCCTGATAGGTGATCAGTTTCTTGCAGACCAGATATCAGTTACTGTAAGCACTCTTTTTTAGGGTTGTGGTGGTCATAGCAAATAAAGCTGTTTGTAGGAACCGGTAGAACTGTGGACTCTGGAGTACAATTGTCCCCATAGAACCAAGCTCAGTGGCCACCTGTGCCCCTTTTTCCCTCACCCTGAGTCTCCTGCGTCTGTTCTGTTTGTCTCCAGCACTTCCCAGCTTTGTTCACAGCATCTTTTGTATACCTTTTGGTTGCCTTTGCACTGGAATACAGGCTCTTCGTCCCATGTCTGAAAGACCACATAATCCCTGACATTGCTGAATGAACTTCTGAACCAGTTTGGGCCAGTCCAGAAACGCTTGGAAGTGTGTAACTTGAGTCTTCACAGGCTTGGTGTCTGCTTCTGTTCACAGGTGTCGGCCCTGCTTCTGTGATGGTTGGGAATCTGGTTGCAGGTAAACGCATAGCACAAGCTGCAGGAAGGGACCTGGGGCAAATTGAAGAGAATGATCTTGTGAGGAAGGTAAGTTCCAGACATGCCAAGTGTCTGCCAGTGAGCTCAGGATAGAGTGCAGATCTGGGTTCATTCCATGAGTCTTTGAGACTTGCTGACCTCAAGTCCTTCTCTCTGCTTTGTGATTTTAGCACCAGTTCCTGGCAGAGATTTTGCAGTGGCGAGCTCAGGCAACTCCTGACCATGTACTCTTCATGCTGCTAAATGCCAAGGTATTGCACTTGCAGGACTGGGGAGAGTTTGCATAGCATGGACAAGGCCCTGGGTTCAGTGGTGATGCATGCCTATAATCCCAGCACTGGAGTTAAACTCATCATCCTCAAACTACGTATATAGGTTACAAGAGACACTGTCTCAATGCAAGCAAACACATGAATAGAATAATTCATGTGTACTAAGAAAGTAAGAAAACATTAAGAAAGAAAGACTCTAAATATGTTTGGTTTAAGTCAATGCTAACATACCCTAAGTACCTGGAACACTGGGAGAGAAAAAGAAATCCATACCTGTCTTTAGTTACCAGGGGAGTTTTCTCAAGAGAATCCTTGGCCTGAGGTGATGTTCCAGAGGCCAAGCCTGTGGAGTGTGATGTCCGCTTGACTGTGCTTATTTGTGCTTGTTTCTCTCTGAATGTCAGCCCACTTATCCTTCTTCTCTTGAAAGGGAACTACTGTGTGCACAGCCAGCTGCCTTCAGCTTCATAAGCGAGCTGAGAGGATTGCATCAGTACTTGGTGACAAGGGACATCTAAATGCAGGGGACAATGTGGTATTGCTCTATCCACCTGGTAAGTGTTGGACTGGTAAACTGGACTCTGCACTGTTCTGAGGTGACACATACCAGGAGAGGAGAGGATGGGAACTTGGGGCCACTATCTGCTACCACAGAGGCCTGGTGCTTTGCACCACCACAGCTCTGCGTGTGCACTTGTTAGAACTGAGCAGTGGGACGGCTCGGCTGAGAATGTCTAGTTTGCAGTCCCTCTGTTTTCATCAGTGCCTGCTTCATACAAGGTCCTCAGGCCACTTGTGGTAGCACACTGCTGTGATTCCAGGCCTAAGGCAGTAGCAGGGGAATTAGTTCCATAACAAGTTATAGACATATCTAGCCTGAGGTGATTAACAAGACTTACAAGTAGCCAACATTGTCCTAGCCCTCAGGAGGCTGAAGTAAGTAGACCTCTGTGAGTTTATATGATAAGTTCCAGGCCAGCCAGAGCTACGTGGTGAGACCTGTCTCAAAACAAACAACAAATAGCCAGGCAAGGAAGCACACACCTAATAATCCCACCCTTGGGAAGTAGAGGTGAAAGGATAAGGTTCATGGCCAGCCTCAGCTACACAGCAAGGAGAAAGCTCAGTAGGTTAAGTGATTGCTACAAAAACATAAGGGCCTGGGTTTAGAGCCCCAGCATCCATATCCAAAGCCAGGCTTGGGTCAGTGAAGGAGCTCGGTGGGTAAAAGTGCTTGTCATGCCTGATGACCTGATGTTGATCCCAGGAACTCAAGGTAGTAAGAGAGAACCAATTCCCAAAGTTGGCCTCTGACCTCCACATGTACACATACATATCACACATACACATACACTAAATAAGTAAGTTTATATTTAAAAAAAATCTGACATGGGGGTATGCACCAGCAGTCCTAACCTTGCAGAGGTAGAGACAGGTGGGTCCCTCAAGCTCCGTGACCATCTCATCTAGGCAAATTGGTGAGTTCCAGGTCCGGTGAAAGAACTTATCTCAAAATAGATGATAAAGAAGCCAGAGAGATGGATCATCAGTTGAGTTCTTGCTACTTTTCCAGGGGACCAGAGTCAGTTCCCAACTTAGTGCCTCACAACCACCTGTAATTCCAGGATCGATGCTCTGTTTTGGCTTCTACAGACATACACACATATAGGTACCTGCTTAGACACAGACACACACATGCACAGGTACATGCTTAGACACAGACACACACATGCACAGGTACATGCTTAGACACAGACACACACATGCACAGGTACATGCTTAGACATACACACACATGCACAGGTACATGCTTAGACACAGACACACACATGCACAGGTACATGCTTAGGCACAGACACACATGCACAGGTACATGCTTAGACACAGACACACACATGCACAGGTACATGCTTAGACACAGACACTCACATGCACAGGTACATGCTTAGACATACACACACATGCACAGGTACATGCTTAGACACAGACATCCACATACACAGGTACATGCTTAGACACAGACACACATACACAGGTACATGCTTAGACACAGACACACACGCACAAGCACATGCTTAGACATAGACACTCACATACACAGGCACATGCTTAGACACAGACACATATGCACAAGTACATGCTTAGACACAGACATCCACATACACAGGCACATGCTTAGACACAGACACACACGCACAAGTACATGCTTAGACACAGACATCCACATCCACAGGTACATGCTTAGACACAGACACACACAGGCACAAGTACATGCTTAGACACAGACACACATCTTGTGAATAATCATTTTGTACAATGTGAAGATGTGTCTTTTCCAAGACACCTTCTGTTTGGTTTAATAAATAGCCAAATTGTTGGATGGTAGTGGTATACTCCTTTAATCTCAGCACTCGGGAGGCAGAGGCAGGTGGATCTCTGTGAGTTCGAGGTCAGCCTGGTCTACAAGAGCTAGTTCCAGGACAGGCTCCAAAGCTACAGAGAAACCCTGTCTCAAAAAATTAAAAAAGAAAGAAGAAATAGCTGAATGGCCGATAGCTAGACAGGAGAGAATAGGCGGGACTTGTGGGCAGAGAGAGGAAGAGAAGGTGAATTGAAGTGTGGGAGAGACACGAGAACCCCGAGTGGAAAGTAAAAGTCACGAGCCACAGGGCAGCACGTAGATTAGTAGACATGGGTTAATTTAAGTTATAAGAGCTAGTTAGAAACAAGCCTAAGCTAAGGCTGAGTTTTCATAATTAATAATAAGTCTCTGGGTCATGATTTTGGGGCTGGCAGTCCAAGAAAGCCTGCTACATATGGTGCAACATGGAATGCCAGATGTTGTGATTCTTTTTATCGTTTTATTAAAAAATAAAACTTGGGGGTGAATATTAGGGACTAAACGAGATCTACGGAACAACTGAAGCACTATTTTCCTCCTCTCCGCTTCCCACTCCTATTCCTCCCCTTGTGCCCTTCTATCTCCCTCTGAGTCTTCCAGGAAACTCTTTGGTCCATCTCAGCCAGCTGAATGTGGACTCCGCTCTCTGAACCGAGGTCGGACTCTATTGGTCATCTCTGAGCATTCAACACAAACAGCTCTCCCCAACACACATGCACACACAAAAGTTTTGAAAAGGTAGAGCACAATGGAGGAGGACAGCCATCTCCAGTCTCTGACCTCTACCTGCGTGTGCACATACTAGTGTCAGCTCAGGACAGAGGTGTGCATAGCATGCGCTCTTGCCCGCTGAGCCGTCTCACTAGCCCAAATAGTCAGAATCCTAAGGGAAAAAAATTTGGGTGGGGGTGGGGTGGGGTTTGTTCACAGACTGAGGTTCTCTCTGTAGCTCTGGAGTCTCCTGGAACTGTAGACCACGCTGGCCTTGAACTCACAGAGATCCGCCTTTCTCTAACTCCTGACTGCTGAGAAAGGCTCCACCACTGCCGGGCTCTAAGTGAAATATTTGAATTGAAAGATTAACACAAGAAAAACAAAGATATTTGCATTCCCTTTCTGTGTCCCTTCTGTCCCCTCACCTAGGCTTCATCGGTACTCTGTTCCCAGTGCTCCATTTCACCGTGTCCTGGTCTTTTCTCCCTCTCCTCCACTTTTTCTGTTCTTTCTACGCTGTTCATTTGTGTGAACACTAATAAGAATGCCTAGAAGACCGTCTGCTCTAGGAGGGATGTGTCCTGTGTGTTTGCATGAAGTTCTCTTCCATCCATCTGTCCGTAATGAGGTGGCAGGTCCCCAGCACTTCCTGAGGCCCCCAGGCTGCACTCGTTGACCCACAGTGTCTAAGAAATCCAGTTTCGCCGGGCGGTGGTGGCGCACGCCTTTAATCCCAGCACTTAGGAGGCAGAGGAAGGCGGATCTCTGTGAGTTCGAGGCCAGCCTGGTCTACAAGCGGTAGTTCCAGAACAGGCTCCAAAGCTACAGAGAAACCCTGTCTCGAGAAAATAAAAAAAAAAAAAAGGCCTTCCAGTTGCTTTTCTTGCAACAGCCTTTGTGCAAGGAAAGCTTGACAGTTCCTCCCTGTCCTTATTTCCTTAGTTAAAATCCTTGATTTCTGCAACCATTTTTCCCAAGTAATAGAAAATAAACATCTTCTAAGAGCTCACGTCTCACCTTGAGGATGTACTCAGAGGCATGACACTTGCTAGCCCTGTCACAGCTCTGGGTTCCATTGCTGGACCACCCAAATATATTTGTGTATATATATATATATATATTCCTTCCTTGTTTCCTGGGCCTCTTTATATAGTTTAAATTGTTTCCTATGCTTCTTTCTTTCTTTCTTTCTTTCTTGTTGTGTTGTTGTTGTTGTTTTAAAGATGATCAGGCTGGCCTTTAACTATCACTATGTAGTCCAGGCTGATCTTGAACCCTTGGCAATATGCCTGCCTCAACCTCTCAAATACCAAGTGTGAGCCACCATGCCAGACTTTTTGGTTTTTGATAGAGTTCCTCTTGTGTATTTCCGACTGTCCTGAAACTCACTCTGTAGACCAGGCTGGCTTTGAACTCACAGAGATCTACCTGCCTCTATCTCCAGGAGTGCTGGCATTAAAGGTGTGCGCCATCGCCCAGCAATGCCGACTTACTATTTTTCTTAATTATTGGAATTTATTCTGTCAGGGTTTTGTTTGAATTGTGGTCAAATAATGCACATGAGCCAGGTATGGTGATGCTCGCCTGTAATTTCAGTGCTTGAGAGACTGTGTCAACACCAAATGAAGCTGAGTAGCGGTGGCCTTTAATCCCACTACTTGTGAGGCAGAGGCAGGCGGATCTCTGTGAATTCAAAGCCAGCCTGATCTACAGAGAGAGTTCTAGAACATTCAGGACTGTTATACAAAGAAACCCTGTCTTGAAAAAACAAAAACAAAACAAACTCAACACCAGATGAATAACTAGCTCTCACACCTGTCACATGACTGGAGACTCTGGATTCAGTTTCTTGCGGTAGCAGTGGCTAAATGATCCCCCTGACAGTGCCCTCTGTCTTGCAGGCATCGAGTTAATCGCTGCATTCTATGGCTGCCTGTACGCGGGGTGTGTACCTGTGACTGTGCGCCCCCCCCATGCTCAGAACCTCACCGCCACATTGCCCACGGTGCGCATGATCGTTGACGTAAGTTCCTTCTGTTTCTGTGTCTGCCCCATTTCATAGAGTCACATTCAGACAGCTAATAACCCCGGTAACTTCTTGCTATGTAGTGCCAAGTTGTCACGTTTTTCTCCTAAGAAGTCTCCCAGCTTGGTGTGGTGTGGTGTGGTGTGGTGTGTGTCTGTGGTCCCAGCACTCAGGAGGTAGATGTACAAATGAGAGTTGTAGGCTAACCTGGGCTTTGTAGAGAGTCTATGTCCAAAACAAAGAAATAAACAGGCAAACAAAACCAGACTAACAGCTGTTCCCTTTTCTGGCCAAAGTGGCGATGATCGTTCAGTGAATGGGAGAGCGATGGGCGAGGGTTGGGATGGGGCGAGGGTTGGGATGGTGCCTATTGGTAGAGTAGAGCAGGGCTGAGTGATTTCCCATAAAGCTCGCCCTCCTCCCTTCTCAAAACAAGGGATGATCTGGCTGACTTGTTTTTACTGCACAAGAACCAGTGTAATTTTGCATGTCAAGTCCTCCCAGTCAGGTCACTTTGGGTTAATTTTGTATATTTAGCCTTAAAAGGTATGTCGGGGGAAGGGCTCCCTGGGCTCCACCCCAGCTGAGAAGTTGAGGGCTGCCAGAGGAATGGAAGTTGCTTTTCCTTAGGAGTGTGGCCACCGATAGGTTCCCGCGTCCCAGGGGTTTTCCTTAGGAGTGTGGCCACCGATAGGTTCCCGAGTCCCAGGGGTTTTCCTTAGGAGCGTGGCCACCGATAGGTTCCCGCGTCCCAGGGGTTGACCCATGCTGTGTGCAGACGGGCAGCGCTAGCTGGACTCAGTAGCTTAGAAGGAGGTTAATCAGCCGGGCGGTGGTGGCGCACGCCTTTAATCCCAGCATTCGGGAGGCAGAGGAAGGCGGGTCTCTGTGAGATCGAGGCCAGCTACAAGAGCTAATTGCAGGACAGGCTCCAAAGCTGTAGAGAAACCCTGTCTTGGGGGGGGGGGGATAATTAATTAATGAGAAATTATAGAAAGGGCATGAAACTGGGAGGGAGATTAGATACAGGGACTTGGAGGAGATGGTGAGGTGAACATAATCAAGACAGTGCATTTGCTTATCGAGTTTCAAGAAAAAAATAAAGATGGAACTTTTAAAAAGCTGTGCAGGGCCAGGATATGGCTCAGTGGTTGAGAGCTTGTTAAGCCTTAGCAACACCAGAACAAACAAAATGCCCTGAATTTTGTCCTAGGGTTGATAGAAAGTTTTAGAATATATGAGAATTGAAATTGACTAAATCTCTTTTGTGTCGTACTCTGAGGCCTTTCACAGAAGGCGGCCTGGGCCAGCGCACTGACTGGCATTTGTTCTCCAAGAGCTGCTGCTGTGTCGGCAGCTTCAGCCACAGCATAGAGCCACGCCCGTCACAGATGATTCCATTACATTTTAATTCAGCAGAAATGTCCTTATTAGCTCATACAGAGAGGCCCGGGGAAGCGCTGGGAGTTTCTTTCTGTTGATGCACTTTGTGGGTGAAAGTAGGTCGTTTTGCTCTTCCTGCATAGCTGAACAAAGCCCGTTTGTGTGGGCACTTCAGTCTGGATCCATGGCCAGATTGGTGTGCACCGTAGGTCTAGATGGCACACACCAGTTCCGGGTGTGCCCACTATCTCCTCCCATTCCCTAAGCACCACAGAGTCCACGTCTTGGTTTATTAGGTCTTTACGAAGATTAGGATTGCAGCGTCCTTCCTGAGAGTATGGCTGGTGTAGGCAGCAGCCCCAGTTAAAAATGCCTGGGAGAATTAAGCATGCCACATTTTCAGAAATAAAAACACAAGAGGAAAAGAATGAAACAACCCTGGCTGATATGGTGAGCAAGCTACTTCTAGCAGCGGCCAGCGCTAAGCCTTCTGGTATTTACTGCTGTCCCTTTGTTTCTAGGTCAGCAAAGCAGCGTGTATTCTCACCACTCAGACTCTGATGAGGTTGCTGAAGTCTCGAGAGGCAGCCGCAGCTGTGGATGTGAAAACCTGGCCAACTATCATTGACACAGGTGAAAGGAGTGTCCCAAGCTGCTACCATTCACTACCAGAGGTTTCCTAGAATCTCACACGTTTGCACAGCTTTGATGTTGTGATACCTTCATTGTCTGCTCACGGAGCAAAGCCAGATACCCCGTGTGTACTACCAACATGGTGGACACAGTAAAGCCACGTCCAAGAACCAGCCCATCATATGCTAAGTGCTCTCCAAACAAAGTATCTTGCTGAATGTGATTGCTGTATCTATAATCTCAGGACTCTACAGACTGAGGCAGGGGGATTATTAATTCAAGCCCAGGCCTTGCCACAGCATAAGACCCTGTCTCGGGGTGGGTAGGGGGAAGGCAAATGGTGTTTCGGCATTGCATTGGCACCCTCCGAAGATATCTGTATCTGGTTATATTTTCTCGCCAGATACATGAGACGGGCTGGAGAGGTAGTTCAGTTGGTAGCTATGGAAGAGTGATGAGCTCCCTTTGATCTCCAGGAACCACATAAACAGCTGGGCACAGAGGTCTGGAGACAGGACTCTAGAGCTTGCTGGCCAGTCTAGCCTAAGTGGGAAGCCCCAGGTCATAGTGAGAGAGAGAGACCCTGTCTCAGAAAAACAAGGGAGATGACTCCTGAGAAATGACACCCAAGGTTGACCTCTGGCCTCCAGTGGCACATAGACAGACAGACAGACACACACATACACACACACACACACACACACACACACACACACACACACAAAGACAGTCTGACCCTTGACTTGTAGATGTGTTGTAATTTAAACAAGGGACTAGAAGTTAGAAGACCTGGGCTCTATCTTGAGCTTCATAAATTTCTATGTAACCCCATTCTAAAATACTGTTGCTGTACCCCAAAATATCAAATTATCCAATGTGTTATGATATGAAAACCAGAATGTTAGCGTGGCATTGGTGGCACATGCCTTTAATCCCAGCACTTGGGAGGCAGTGGCAGGCAGATCTCTGTGAGTTCAAGGCCAGCCTGGTCTACAAGAACTAGTTCCAGGACAACCAGGACTATTACACACAGAGACTTTATTTAATTGGGCAGTGGTGGCAGATGCCTTTAATCCAAGCACTTGGGAGGCGGAGACAGGAAGATTTCTGTGAGTTTGAGGCCAACAAGTGAGTTCCAGGACAGCCAGGGCTGTTATACAGAGAAACTCTGTCTTGAAAAATGGGGGAAAAAATGATTGTACATGAATTTTAGTGATATTCAATCAGATTCAGATATGGGAATAGCTGGAGGACTGGTGGAACAGGAAGAGTGGGGATTCTACACTTAGACAGGGCTTAAATACTGCTGCTGCTCTTGAGAGTCCTCTCCAGGTTGGACAATAATATAAAGTGAGGCACGTAGAGCTTGGTATAATGTCCAGCTGTAGTGTGGGGCCCTAGTGGTAACACATAACCAGAGATAGCCACCCAGTGACATGGAGATTTAAAATTCACGATGGTTTCTTAATCCAGAAACCAAAGGACCACCAAGGGGCATCGTTGAGCTAGGGACATCTTGATATTCTTGGTTTTGACTTGAAAATCTGGGATAAGGGCAAGCTATCCTACCATATCTAGTTTTCTGGAGTCCCGGAAGTGAAGCCCTGCTCGGGGCTCTGTGCATGTCAGGCAATTGTAGGTGTTTTAAATGAGTGGAAGAAAAGAATTCCAAATTCTAGAGGAGGGAGCTGTCTGACTTCTTAAGTAGCTGTGGTAAAATATTATGCAGAAACAGCGTAAGAAATGAAAGGGTGGTTCTGCTCACAGCTCAAGGTGCAGTGTGTCTTGGTGGGGAGTCCAGGCAGCAGGGGCTTGGGAGGAAGAGAGCAACAAATGATCGCCTATGCCTAGCCTTTTCCTTTTTATGTGGTTCAGGAACCAAACTCACATACGGTGTCATTCTCCAATAGGCACCATATCTGAGCTCAGTTACCCTAATCAAGATTATCCTATGCCCAGCAGTGGTGGCCACACACACCTTTAATCACAGCACTTGGGATGCAGAGACTGGCAGAACTCTGTGAGTTCGAGGCCAAGGTTAACCTGATACAAATAATGCCCCCATGTATGTGCCTAGAGGCTGTCTCCAGGTGATTCCAGCTCCTGTCAGGTTAACAGTCAACACCGTCACACCGTGCATGACTAATGTGACACACTAATCTGTGATACGCTTTAATGGGAAAAAGCATAAGAATAATGAATGCATCTTGAGTATATACACAATTGTTATTTTACTGCTTCATGTGGGAGTTAGATGGCTCAGAGGTTAGAGTACTGGCTGCTCTTGCAGAGGTCCCAGGTTCAGTTCCCAGCTGACGTGGCAGCTCACAGCCACCTGTTCCGGTGGGATCCTTGTCTCTTCTGACTTCTTCAAGAGGCTCCTGCATGCATATGTTACTCCTACATACACTTAGGGTCACACACATACACATAAAATAAATAAACATAAAATTTAAAGGCTGGAGAGATGGCTCAGTGGTTAAAAGCACTGACTGCTTTTCCTGAGTTCAATTCCCAGCAACCACTTGGTAGCTCACAACTGTCTGTAATGAGGTCTAGTGCCCTCTCCTGGCCTGCGGAAATACATGCAGGCAGAACACTGTATACATAAACAAATCTTTAAAAAAAAATTTTACGTGGTTGATGTGAGTTAAATTTCCAGTAACCATTAAAGGTAGATATTTGGAGATCTGTTTTAAAGAAAAGGAAAAAGAGATGTCAGGTAAGCCCAGGGACACAGAGCTGGTGACATAGTTGACCTCTGGGATGGAACACCAGCACTCTGCCTTTTCCAAGATGTTACCATTGGGACATCTGCAAATGAATTTGATGGCTGTGGCATTGCAGGTAACCTTTACCTAGTGGCATCATGGCTCCTGCTTGCATTTGAGGGTGACAATAGTGAGCTGCTGGGTTAGACACAGGAGGTTGAGACCTTCACACGTCTTAGAAGCAGTGAAAGAGCAATGGTTTCTGTGTTCAGGCACGTCTGCTGTACATCAGCTTTCTTCTTTGCATTGCAGATGACTTACCCAGGAAACGGTTACCTCAGCTGTATAAACCACCCACTCCTGAGATGTTGGCATATCTTGATTTTAGTGTCTCCACAACTGGCATGCTTACAGGAGTAAAGGTAAAGAAAGCGGTCTCACTCTGCTGGTGAGATGCCAGGCCACAGTGGGCTGACCTCTGCTGTGGAGGCCAGCCGGCTGCACCAGAGGCCAGTGGGTGGAGGGTCAAGTGTCCCGGCTATATTTACATCTGAGCACTGGCTCTTCCAGAGAAAGTTATCTCAAAGGATTTGCACTGTAAAGTGTTGTGGCGGAGTACATGTGCTATAGATAGTAAGAGCTCTAGGTAAAGTCTATGTGCAGTCATCGGTTCAGGTCCCGTGAGGCTGTGCCAGCTGCAGAGTAGAAACCCATCTTCTTAGTTTGTACTTAGGCTAGGCTATGAAGCAGTGGAATCCATACGTCACATGGAGAGTTTGGGGGCTAAAGCTGGTCAGGGCAGTTCCTGTGCCTGTGGGGTGCCAGCTGCATCCCGTGTGTGTCCCTTGCTTTGCAGATGTCCCACTCTGCTGTCAATGCTCTCTGTAGAGCCATCAAACTCCAGTGTGAGCTGTACTCCTCTCGGCAGATCGCCATCTGTCTTGACCCGTACTGTGGACTTGGCTTTGCACTCTGGTGTCTCTGCAGGTAGGATGGAGAAGCCCGCCTGTGGGTTTGGGGCTGTGGCCATCTCCTCCTCCCTTTCCTTTTCTCGGTTTAGTTAACTTTAGTAAAATGCTGCTGTTTCTGAAATATGAGCACCTTTTGTATTTCTGGTGTTTGTTTAGTTTTGTGTGATTGCTTGTTTATTCTCCCTACCTATTTTTCTGCCTCCTGGAACATGGCACTGTTCTGTCGCCTGCTTTCTGTCCCATCCTGTAATCCTAGTTGTAGAAGCCATGCCAGATAGAAGGATGATTTCCAGGTGACGTCTGACATTTGACAGCAGGATGTGCTCTAGGCTGGGCAGGAGAACATGGTGGGATGCAGTGACAACAGCAGGACATGCCCTAGGCTGGGCAGGAGGACATGGTGGGATGAGTGACGGCAGCAGGACGTGCCCTAGGCTGGGCAGGAGGACATGGTGGGATGCAGTGACAACAGCAGGACATGCCCTAGGCTGGGCAGGAAGAGCATAGAGGGATGCAGTGACATCATGTGGCTGGAACGCAGCAGTTTGCCTTGACCAGATTACTTCCTGAGGACTGGCAAGTCTCTGCTCTTTTCACTGCCTGCCAGAAAACCGTATCTCAGGCCTGAATTTTCACTTCCTGTAGAGATGCCAAGAATGTTTCCAAGTGCCTGTCTCTCCTGTGTCCCTGTCTTCATTGGGGTGTGGCTGTCCACGGGGCCAGAGTAGAATGTAGGTGTCATCTTCAGCTTCCTCTGCCAGTTACATGTCTTCATTGGGGTGTGGCTGTCTGCGGGGCCAGAGTAGAATGTGGGTGTCATCTTCAGCTTCCTCTGCCAGTTACATGCAATGCTCATTGGTTCAGTTGTCCTATTACCCAGCTATGCCGTAAAGTCACTGTTGGGTCTTGGAACATTTCAACAAGACCAAGAATGTCTACCTGTATTTCTAGGGGCTAAGGCAGGAGAATCATAAGGCAAGCATGGTTTATAACAAGACCACACCTCTAAAAGGAAAAGAAGTGGCTGGGGAGGATGGCTCCATGGCTAAAAGCCCTTGCTACTCTTGTAAAAGACTCTGTGGCTCCAGTTCTCAGAGAGCTGCACCACTTCTGACTCCCACAGCACACACATGATACACTTATGTACATTCAAACAAAGTACTCATGCACATAAAATAAAATAGCCAGGTAGTGGTGGCACACACCTTTAATCCTGGCACTCAGGAGGCAGATGTAGGTAGATCTCTGTGAGTTTGAGAGTAGCCTAGTCTACAAGAGCTAGTTCCAGGACAGCCAGGGCTACCCAGAGAAACTGTCCTGAAAAACTAAAATAAATAAATACAAGTCTCCTTTAAAAAGGAAAAGAAGCAAAACAACAACAGAACGAGGTATGATGGCTTGATCCTGTGAGTCTAGCAGGAGACTAAAATGGAAGGTTGACCATGAGATCAAGGTCTCTTCTTGTGGGCTAGAGGGATTATTGTATTTTTATACCCTGGCAAATTACCCATTGTACATGGAAGAAAAAGCTGATGAGGTCTTCTAGACTGGATTGATCCAGACCCCAATTCTGGTGTTGCTGGACTCTTGGTGGTACTGAGTTTAGAGGTTAGAGGTCGTGGCTGTAGATCTTCTCGGCGACTCCACATTCCTTTCGTTTTCTCTTGCTGCACTGTTGGGATTCATCTGTCGCCATCCCTTGCCCAGACTCCGCAGCCCGTCTAACTGTCTCCCAGTCTTCAGTAGCTCCAGCTCCAAAACCTATGCCATGGTGGTTTTATAGCAGCTTAAAGCTGCACTTGGTGTGAGACCTTTCACGACTGCTTCAGCCTTCCTGGCCTCATCCTGTGCGTCTGTTCCAGGAATGTTACGCACACCCTACACGCTTTTCCTCTGCCTTCCCACTTGTAGACACTCATCTGGAGTGCTCCCCACTTTCTCAGTTTGAGTGGTTGTCTTTATCCTGTGCTCTTGGATCGTCCTACCGTAGCATACTTTGTTTTTGTGGTCACATGTCTTGTAAGTCGTGCAGAAACGGGATGAATGGTCAGCCTTGTCCCTAACGTGGCCCTCTGCTGCCTCTGCCCTGCTGGTGCAGAGAGTAAGCGCAAGTCAGCTCTCCACTTATTCTTTGCAGTGTCTACTCCGGGCACCAGTCCGTCTTGATTCCTCCTCTGGAGCTGGAAAACAACCTTTTCCTCTGGCTCGCCACCGTCAACCAGTACAAGATAAGGGACACTTTCTGCTCCTACTCCGTGATGGAGCTCTGCACTAAAGGGCTGGGGAACCAAGTGGAGGTGCTAAAGGTGAGGAGCAGCCCCAGCAAGTGATGCCCTAAGAGGCTTGATGAAGGCCAGGGCTTATAATGCTGGCGCAGAGGGAGGTAGACAGACCAGCTTGTCTGCCCTTTGTCTTCTTTCTAGCCAGATGACTGGGAGGCTATTTTGTAAAGATCAGAGAGTTTAACTTTACTTTTCCTTAATTTAATGCATTCTTACAAAGCCTAATTTTATTCTTTGTGGAGGGGTGGGGATTGATTTATATAATAGTATGGGAAACTTACCTCTGATAGTTTTTTTTTCTTCCTAGTAAAATGAAAACCTCAGAATACTGAGGTTGGGTACTCCCTAAAGAAAAGGGCTTATGTGTGTTTCCAGTGACCATATGTGAGGAAGTCAAGTACTAAATTCTCTTTAACAGAGAAATAGGACCCCAAGAACTAAAACAAGAGGTAGAAAGTTAGTGTCCAAGGTCCTAATAAATGAGGAGAAACGTGAGGGAAAGTGGGCAGGACCAGAAACACACTACCACAGAAAGAAAAACTTGAGTTTGGGGTTTTGGCAATGACTAGTGCTTTTCTACCCAACCCTGGCCCTATCACAGCAGGCACAGAGCACATCAGATGTCCCGGGGGTAATTGACTGTGGAAGGTGTTTTAGCATTTCCTTTCAGAAGCTGCCTTTCTCCATTTCTGGGCTAAGAAAGTAGCTCTTGACTTTTCCTGAGCAAAAAGGAATCTTCTTAACCATGTTTCTTCCAGACCAGAGGGATCAACCTCTCCTGCATCAGGACCTGTGTGGTGGTCGCAGAGGAGCGACCACGCATCACCCTGCAGCAGTCCTTCTCCAAGCTCTTTAAAGACGTTGGTCTGTCCCCTCGAGCTGTCAGCACCACGTTCGGCTCCAGAGTCAACGTAGCAATATGTTTACAGGTAACTCCGTGAGCTCATTCTTGCTGTTAGTAAAGCAGGCCAGCAGGCTCCAGAGTGATGCTTTCTTCTGGAGTGAAGAGCTCCAGGACTTCTCCAAGTCCTGCCTGCATTTTAGTAATTAAGATACAGTATACATACAGAATACAGACTCTTTTTTTTTTTTTTTCCCGAGACAGGGTTTCTCTGTATAGCCCTGGCTGCCCTGGAACTCTCTGTGTAGGCCAGGCCAGCCTTGAACTCAGCGATCCAGTTCCACGTGTCTCTGCCTCTTGAGTGCAGATTAAAGGTGTATGCCACCAAGCCCAGCTAATACATAGCAGCCTTCTTTTTTTTCCTGTCTCCTACATGTTTTGCCTTTTAAAAATCAACCTGCATCTATTCTTTTGCCCTGTTGTTCTTGGTGGGTCTAGAGCAGTCTGATTTCATGCTGCTTGGAGGCTCCTGAGGTCGGTGAGTGCAAGGATAAGAGAGAAAGAAGGCGGCCAAGACTTGGAGCGCTCCTGTGACCATGGTCAAGTGACTTGCAGGAAGTGTCACGATACTTTGCTGTGGAATCTCATTGTGTCCCTTGCTCCCATCTCTTTTGGCATGGTGGCTTCTCTCGTCCCTACTCTGAGCCCTGCACCTGCGCAGGAAAGCCCCCTGCATTTGCTATTGTTCCATTGCTTCAGAGACATCTAAGGATGCCAGGGCCAAGATTCCCCATCTTCTGGCTTTGCCAGAGTGAAGGTTTCAGGGGCCTCCATGCTTCTGTGAGATGTGGTACAGAGCCACTCACTTAGCCTTAAATAAACATGTGCTGGTTTGTTCTTCTTTAGGGAACCTCGGGGCCTGATCCGACGACTGTGTATGTAGACCTGAAGTCGCTGAGACATGATAGGTACGGTGAGCAAAGGGCTCGGCCTCAGGGTCAGCACCCCGTCCTCTTCGTGTCTGGATTTCCAGGGCTGGTGGAGGAAGGGAAAGGATTCATGTCTATTATTAATAAATGATAGAATTTTTTCTTATAAAATGAAAGCTTCATTGGCATTTGGTGGGTTTTTGTTTTCATTTTTATTTTGTTTGTTTCCATTCAAAGGGGTAGGATAGGGTTTGAAATGCCAGTTTCTTAGGTAGCCTAAGATGGCCTCAGATTTACAGTCATCTTCCTGCCTCTCATTCTGCTAGATTTTTACAGACGTGTGGACCAGGCATGGCTTGTTGCTTTGTTCTGTAATTAAAATGTAATCTTCGTTCCTAGCTATATAAAAATACTTTTGTGGAACTGGGCATGGTGGTGCATGCCTTTAATCAGAGGCAGGCAGATCTCTGAGAGTTTCATGCCAGCCTGGTCTACATAGAGAGTTCCAGGACAGCCAGAGCTATACAGAAAGTCTCTGTCTACATTAAAAAAAAAATGTCTTTGCTCTGCAGTTTAAAAATAAAAATGAGAGCGATGATAAATGTAGCAGGACAGGGTCTCTGAAACAGCACCGCGTCTAACTCCAGGGTTGTAAAGCCAGCTCCTCTCTAGCTCAGAAGATTTTAACTCTGTCTCACAGTGCACACTGCTAAGATACTGAGTCCACTGCACTCCAGGCTGGTGGCTGGTCCCTAGTGTACCCAGGTATACATTAGGCTGCACCATGGTGATTAGGCATGTGTGTCTGTATGTCCCTGTGTCTGTATGTCTGTGCAGGCCAGAAGACAACCCCAGGTCTTGTTACTCATTTACTCAAGGAACATGCACCTTGTTTTGTGAGACAAGGCTCTCTCTCTGAGACCTGTGGCTTACCAATCCTGCTAAGCGGGCTAGCCCCATGGAGACACTGGTCTCCACTTCCCAGCACACTTGGCTTCTTACATGATGCTGAGGCTGATACTCATGTTCTCATGCTTATGCAGCATTCTTGCACTGGAGAGATTTGCCCCTCTTCTCCAAAGACTTCACCATGCCTGAAACACTTGTGTAGCAAATAGGGCCAGGATGTTGTTAACACCCTCACCAAAATCTGTCTGACATAGCATCAAGAATGCAGAGTGAGTCGGGCGGTGGTGGCGCACACCTTTAATTCTAAAACTCGGGAGGCAGGGGCAGGTGGATCTCAGTGAGTTCGAGGCCAGCCTGGTCTACAGAACTAGTTCCAGGCAGGACTGTTACACAGAGAAGCCTTGTCTCAAAAAAACAAAAAACAAAAACAAAACAACAACACCACCAAAAAAAAAAAAAAAAAAAACCAAAACCAACAACAAAAAAGTGCAGAGTGTAAGCAAGCCCTGCTCTGCTGGGAACAGATGGTACCACTTAGAGGCCTTGCAGAGGCAACCATAGTGATGAACCCAGTTTTAGAAAGACTGCATACATTAACTGCTATTTCTCTGCAGGGTCCGACTTGTGGAACGGGGTGCCCCCCAGAGCCTCCTGCTCTCCGAGTCTGGAAAGGTACTCTATTCTGCCAGCTGCTTGCGGGGGGGGGTGGGGGGTGGGGGGTGGGGGGTGGGTAGGCTGAAGCTTGAGGGAGAGCCTGAGGTTAATTCCACAGTCTCATCTAAGTGGATGGCTTCATTCAGCGTACATGGTCATGAAGACAGACGTGCTCTCATCTCCATATTGTTTAGACCCATGGCCTGCCATTCTCACTGATAAACCAGCGAAATGTGTTCGTTGTGTACAAGTGCATAGATAAGCAGCACCTAAAAAAAGTCAGTTCTATATCAACATCAAAGTTGAAAGGCAAGTCAGGAGGTGCCAACTGTGGGGGAGCAGAGCAGCTGTGCCTGTGCAGGGAACATACTTCATCACTTCATCCCTGTCCTCTCCATCCTCACCACTTCATCCCCATCCTCTCCGTCCTCATCTTCTCTGTCCTCACCACTTCATCCCCGTCCTCTCTGTCCTCACCACTTCATCCCCATCCTCTCCATCCTCATCCTCTCTGTCCTCATCACTTCATCCCTGTCCTCTCCGTCCTCATCCTCTCCATCCTCACCACTTCATCCCCATCCTCTCCATCCTCATCCTCTCTGTCCTCACCACTTTATCCCCGTCCTCTCCATCCTCACCACTTCATCCCCGTCCTCTCCATCCTCACCACTTCATCCCCATCCTCTCCGTCCTCATCACTTCATCCCCGTCCTCTCCATCCTCATCCTCTCCATCCTCACCACTTCATCCCCATCCTCTCCGTCCTCACCACTTCATCCCCATCCTCTTCATCCCCATCCTCTCCATCCTCACCACTTCATCCCCATCCTCTCCATCCCCATCCTCTCCATCCTCACCACTTCATCCCCATCCTCTCTGTCCTCACCACTTCATCCCCGTCCTCTTCATCCCCATCCTCTCCATCCTCACCACTTCATCCCATCCTCTCCGTCCTCATCACTTCATCCCCGTCCTCTCCATCCTCACCACTTCATCCCCATCCTCTCTGTCCTCACCACTTCATCCCTACCCTCAGCATCTCCACCACCCACATGTCCCTCTGCCCTACACTGTCCAGACAGAGAACAGGATTGTGATAACCTCTCAAGCTTCCTCCTAGACATTGTGAGGCACAGATAGAAGAAAAAGTCAAAGGAGATCTTACTTAATCTATCCAGCAGATGTCACCCCAGAGGAAGCCGACGTTAGTTTTTCTGCTGTGTGAACTGCTTGTGTGGACTGTGCCATTAACTGCCTCATGTCGGCAGTTGGGTGCACAGTCTTCAGGAATGTCATGTCATGAGGGCAGGCTGAGGCTCAGGGAACTGTCCTTTCATTCCCTTCCTCCCGGCTTTAGATATTTACGCCCTGGTAGCCAGTCTCAGACTTTAGAGACCCAACCCAACAATTTCAACAAGGTGAGACGGGTGACCAGAACGGCTGGCCAGCCCACCTGTCTTTTTGCCCAGCTACGTCCTTGTACATACTAAGCAAGCAGCTCACTGCTGAGCCACAGTCCTGACCCCAGATAAACCTTCTGGAAAGCCTGAGCCATTTGCTCATCAGCACTTAGTTTCTTTTCCTTCCTGAAGATAGAAGTATGACGTCTCTTGAGATGCGAGGGCATGGGGTCCTTCTCTGTGTTCTCGCTTCTGCAGCTCCCCAGCCTGTAGCCCCCATTGACTATGGTGTGGTCTCCAATTGGGCTCCCCTGCTGTTTTAACTTTGGAGAAGATTTACCCAGAAGGGTACCAGTCTCACTGTTGTGACCCTGGGCAGAAGTTTTTCATCCTCTGAAGAGATGGCAGTCTGCGTCTGCTTAAGTTGGAGAGTGGAACTTATTGGTCCTTAGGTCTCAACCAAAATGAGGAATATTGACCAGGGACAAACAGAAAAGCACATCAGGGCACCTTGAGTAATGGCGGCTCCTGCCATTTTAGTCCCAGAGGTAAAGGCTCAGGTCCTAGAGGTCATTGGTTATTTTGCGGGGCTGGTGGTTGAAGCCAGTCCTCAGGCATGCTAGATAGGCTTTTGACAGTAAGTGAAGGCACAGTCAGAGCTGGGAGCTTTGACTGAACTGAGCATTTGTCTTTCTCCTTTGATTCTTAGATCTTACCTGGAGTAAAAGTTGTTATTGTTAATCCTGAGACCAAAGGACCTGTGGGAGACTCTCACCTGGGGGAGGTAGGTGTGAATCTCATGTTCACTCTGAAGTCAGGACTCTCACCTGTGGGAGGGAGGTGTGAATCTCATGTTCACTCTGAAGTCAGGACTCTCACCTGGGGGAGGTAGGTGTGAATCTCATGTTCACTCTGAAGTCAGGACTCTCACCTGTGGGAGGGAGGTGTGAATCTCATGTTCACTCTGAAGTCAGGACTCTCACCTGTGGGAGGGAGGTGTGAATCTCATGTTCACTCTGAAGTTAGGACTCTCACCTGTGGGAGGGAGGTGTGAATCTCATGTTCACTCTGAAGTCAGGCCTCTCACCTGGGGGAGGGAGGTGTGAATCTCATGTTCACTCTGAAGTTAGGACTCTCACCTGGGGGAGGGAGGTGTGAATCTCATGTTCACTCTGAAGTCAGGACTCTCACCTGTGGGAGGGAGGTGTGAATCTCATGTTCACTCTGAAGTCAGGCCTCTCACCTGGGGGAGGGAGGTGTGAATCTCATGTTCACTCTGAAGTTAGGACTCTCACCTGTGGGAGGGAGGTGTGAATCTCATGTTCACTCTGAAGTCAGGCCTCTCACCTGGGGGAGGGAGGTGTGAATCTCATGTTCACTCTGAAGTCAGGCCTCTCACCTGTGGGAGGGAGGTGTGAATCTCATGTTCACTCTCATATCGGTAGCCAAGATTTTAAAGATTTTAGGAACCACACTACAAGCAAACAGAACTAGATTGAATGAACTCTACTCCCTCCATTGGGAATATCTATTTTTTCTGGAAGGGGCAAAAGGAAGAGGCTGATGATCAAGACTGGGTAGAAATAGTCTCAGGTTTGTTCACTACCATCCCCTTAGCTAAAAGCAAACCAGCCAAATGCTACCTGTTCCCACCTGTGAAGGGTTGGAACCAACAGGAGCCATGTTTATACATTTTTTTTATAATTTATTTATTATGTATACAATGTTTTGTCTGAAGACCAGAAGAGGGCACCAGATCTGTTACAGATGGTTGTGAGCCACCATGTGGTTGCTGGGAATTGAACTCAGGACCTCTGGAAGAGCAGTCAGTGCTCTTAACCTCTGAGCCATCACTCCAGCCCTGTATACATTTTGTTGTTGTTGTTGTTTTGTTTTTTTGAGACAGGGTTTCTCTGTAGCTTTTGCGCCTGTCCTGCAATTAGCTCTTGTAGACCAGGCTGGCCTTGAACTCACAGAGATCCACCTGCCTCAGCCTCCCAAGTGCTGGGATTAAAGGCATGTGCCACCACCGCCCAGCAACGTGTATACATTTTTAAATTCACATAAATGTTAAGAGTCCACCCCCCAGTGTCATACTTCTTCTAACAAAGCCACACCTCCTAATCCTTCTAATCCTTTTAAATGGTGCCACAGATATCTGAGCCTATGGGGGACATTCTGACTCACACCAGCACAGCCAGTGACTAGCCTGTCAAAGCTGGGCAGGCTGCTTTCTTCCCTAGACTTGTTTGCTGAGCTTTAATAATGATGACATGCACCTCACAGAAGGAATAAATGCTGTCATATTTGAACGCATTATCCCTGTATCTGCAAAGCACAGAAACAGTCTCTCAAGTTTTCAAGAAACCTAGTGGTAGCTGGTACTATCCTAGATGACAGCTGCTGGCCTGTTAACACTGTGAGCTCAAGTGCCCTGGCATCCCCAGAGCATGGTGCCATGGTTACACCACACGTGTAGTAGTTGTGCTTTAGTGTCTTTGTGGGACTCTGAGCTGGTGAGAATGAACCCAGGGGAGCAGTGCAGCCTAGTGGTTAAGAGTCCGGCCTCTGGTGCTAGCCACTGGTCTTGGGGCTCCTTTGTAGTCCTGCATCTTAGAGGAGTTTTTGTTGTTGTTTTGGGGAAGGGGAACAGTTTTAAGACAGGGTTTCTCTGTGTAGCTTTGGAACCTGTCCTGGAACTCACTTTGTAGACCAGACTGGCTTCGAACTCACAGAGATCCACCTGCCTCTGCCTCTCGAGTGCTGGGATTAAAGACATGCGCCACCACTGCTCATCTTGGTTTTTTTTTTTGGGGGGGGGGTTTGTTTTGTTTTGTTATTTCGATTACAGACGTTTTTTAGACTTTTCTTTCTCCCTGTATGGTGAGAAAGATAACGATGTGACTGTCTCAGAGCTGACAGAGTCTGGCAGGAAGTACATGCTGGCAGATATCAGCTACTTACTGTTGTGCTTGCATTGTTAATATGAAAATGAGATTTAAAAAGAAAATCTGAGGCCTGGAGAGATGGTTCAGAGGTTAAAAGCACTAACTGTTCTTCCAGAGGTCCTGAGTTCAATTCCCAGCAACCACATTGTGGCTCAAAACCATCTGTAAGGAGATCTGCCCTTCAGCATACAGGTAGACAGAACACTGTATACATAATTAATAAATAAACCTTTTTTAAAAAAAAAGCATGCTGGTTGCTGTTTCAGAGGACCCGGATTCAATTCCCAGCACCCACATGGCAGCTCACAACTGTCTATAATTCCAGTTTAGGTCCAGGGGACCTGACACCCGTGGCAAAACACCAATGCTTATAAAATAAAAAATTTAAAAAATAAGTCCCACAAGAATTGAACTGACGTCATCATCTTTCCTCTTCTTGTAGATCTGGGTGAATAGCCCCCATACAGCTAGTGGCTACTATACCATCTACGATAGTGAGACTCTTCAAGCTGACCATTTCAACACCCGCCTGAGCTTCGGTGATGCTGCGCAGACCCTCTGGGCCCGGACAGGATACCTTGGGTTTGTCCGCAGGACGGAGCTTACAGCAGCCACTGGAGGTAACTTCCACCCCTGTTCTCTTCCCAACTTCCTTGTTTGCGTAACACTGGCCAGGCTGTTCCACCCACCTGTGGAGTATAGAGTCCCCCTCTGCGCCCTGAGCACATAATGGAGTCACATAGCCCTCTGAGGACTGTCAGGAAGAGAAGCCCTCTAGACTGTGGCAGGAGCGCCCTAGAACAGGATACTGGAGCAGCTTGTAACTCCAGTCACAGCGGAACTCTCTCAGGGCTGACACCAGTGCTGAGCAAGCCTGGGATAACTAGCTCTTCCTCGTCTCTTCTCCCCTGGCACGCCATTGAGTCCTGGAGAAACAGAAACATCCTTTATCACTGAGAGCGAGTTGGTTTTGTTTTTTTTTTTTTAATGGTCTTACTACATAGCATGACTGGCCTCCAACTCACAGAGCTCCGCCTGCCTCTGCCTCTAGAGTGCTGGGATTAAAGGCGTGCATTACCCTGCTTGGCCTGGGAATTGTTTTGGAAGTGGGTCAAACCTGCTTTTTGGCAACACTCAGAGGAGTACCTAATGTCGTCCTCTGCCCACCCAATCATCCTGGCTCCTCCTCACTGGCACTGGGAGCCACTGCAGAATTCTCAACACTAGCTGTATTTGTACACTGAAAACACCATGAGCTGTAAGGCCTCAGCCAGACCACACCATTTCTCCTGATCTGAGCAGTGTGTATCGTTTCTTCGTAGTTCTTGGGGAGATGAGGGCTGTAGTCCTTGACCAGGTGACAGTGAGCGGCCACTCCACTCTAGTAAATGTCAACATGGTGTCCTCTGCCTCACGGAAATGATGTGCAATTCAGTGCTGTGTGTGGTGCATTCAGTGCTGTGTGTGGTGCATTCATTCAGTGCTGTGTGTGGTGCATTCATTCAGTGCTGTGTGTGGTGCATTCGGTGCTGTGTGTGGTGCATTCGGTGCTGTGTGTGGTGCATTCGGTGCTGTGTGTGGTGCATTCGGTGCTGTGTGTGGTGCATTCGGTGCTGTGTGTGGTGCATTCGGTGCTGTGTGTGGTGCATTCGGTGCTGTGTGTGGTGCATTCGGTGCTGTGTGTGGTGCATTCAGTGCTGTGGTGCATTCAGTGCTGTGGTGCATTCAGTGCCAGCACGGAGGGCAGATCATTCCTCAACGGGTTGCCTTGTTTCTGCTGTTATTTCATCATCAGAAATCTACTCTCATCAGGAAAGTATTGCAAACGCTACCTTCCTTCTGTGTGCTTGCTGGGTTGGACCTGGCTGGTCTCTGTGCCCTGCAGTCTAGAAACTGTGGTGCATGACCACTGCCCCTTTGTCTCAGGCCCTCTACTTCCCCTCCTCTTCCCCTCCCCTCTCTCATATCTGGCTAATTCTTGTTCATTTGTCAAAACTCAACCATGGCATCAACATTCTAGAAGCTCTCTTTAAATCCTTGATTAGATTAGGACTAATGGGTCTCCCCAGTTCCTCAGATTTTATGCCTACGCCTGCCTTTGTTGTTGTTGTTTGTTTTTCAAGACAGGGTTTCTTTATAGCTTTGGAGCCTGTCCTGAAACTCACTCTGTAGACCAGGCTGTACTCCAACTCACAGAGATCCACCTGTCTCTGCCTCCCAAGTGCTGGAATTAAAGGTGAACACCACCACCATCTGGCTATACCTCTGCCCTTCTTACCCTTAACTTGCTATAGGGATATTCCTGTTTGTATCTCCCCCAGTTAGGTCTTTTCAAAAAATATTTTTAGTTGCTAAGCTAATTATTGTATGTATATATGCTTGAGCATGAGACGGGAGGGGTGAGAGAATATGTGTGTGATTGGAGGACAGTTTGCAGGGTTGGGTATTCCTTCCCCGTGTGTATCCTGTTGACAGGTACCTCCATCTGCTGAGCCGTCTCACTGGCCCCTATTTAGGTCTTCAGAGCAAGACCCATGTTTTGTCATTTGTGTCTCCCTAGCACTTAGCACAATTGCCATCACATAATAGTATTAACAATGGCTATTTTTAGCACCTAACAATTACCACACACCATATCAACTACCTTGCAAAATCATTTAATTTTTTTTTTTAGTTTTTATACTAGTGAAATGGCTCCGCTGTTAGAGGATTTGCAGCTCTTCCAGAGGACCCAGGTTCAGTTCCCAGCACCCACATCAAGTGGTTTTCAACCACCTGTAATTCCACCTCTTCTTCTGGACTCTTAGGGCACATAAACACACAGAGACACCTATTCACACAATAGGAAACTAAAATCATGCTGGGTAGTGGTGGCACACGACTTTAATCCCAAGGGTGGCAGAGGCAGGTGGATCTCATGAGTTTGGGGCCAGCTGGATCTACAAAGCAAGTTCTAGGACAGCCGTGTCTGTTACATAGAGAAATCCTGTCTCAAAAACCAAAAAAACTTAAAAAAATTGTGTGTTCACGCATACTACCACACAGATGTGGAGGTCAGAGGCCGACTCTGTGGAGTCAGCTCTTTCCTTGCACCGCTGTGTGGAACGTGCTTACCAAGCCGACTCCATTCCAGACTAAACAGTATATCCCTTATAGCAGCTATTTAACCTCATCTCTGTCCATGGAGGCCCAGAATCATAGCCAGCTGACTGGCAACATCAACCCTGTGCTCTTAAGGCCGACACTTTATGGTATTTAGTGGGCGTCTGAAGCATGTTCTCTTCTTTCTTTCAGAGCGCCATGATGCCTTGTATGTTGTGGGTGCACTGGATGAGACACTGGAACTGAGAGGATTGCGGTACCACCCAATTGACATCGAGACCTCCGTGTCCCGAGTCCACAGGAGCATTGCTGAATGGTAATCCCACACCTTTTTCTCACTGTGACTTTAGTTAATCAGCCATTTAGTCCAGTTCTACCTAACCAGAGTAGGGAAACATGTGAACCACTTTCCATCGTGCTTCCACGTTCCACTGTGGCCACCAGAGCCTGTTCACCAGAACCCAAAAGAACATGGAGGGAAGCTGTGGGCTGAGTTTGTTTGTAAGGGTAGACTCTCATAGGTAGAAGAATTAGCAGGTCTCCTGCCTCCAGGAAGTCAGTATAATGTGGAAGGAAATAACTTTAGGCTCAAAAGACCCAGTTTAGAGACTCACCTTGAAATTGCTAGGTGGCCCAGAAGGTCAGGTGTTTAGCACTAAGTCTGGTGACTTGAGTATAGTTTCCAGAACCCCCACTAGTTGTCCTCTGACCTCTACATGTGAGCTGTAGTAAACACATATGCTTCCTCTCTCATGAATTATAATGATAAAAATGACTGATAATAAAGGCTCACCTTCCCATACTTCCTTGTTCTTCCCAATCACCAAAAGGCTCAAATCAGCCTGTGCTTTTTAAACCATCAGTGGGAAGCAGGTGAAATCGCTGGGGTTGCCATCTCAGCTGGTTTTCTCATTGCAGGAACATACCTGCATTTCCCTTATCAGGGATTAGCCGACCTCATACTGACAGAAAATTCATTAGAATTAACACTGAGTTTCACCTACTAGTTGTCATTCTGGGTTTTTGTTTATTTTTGTTTTTAACTTGGGTGTCTGTGTGAGTATATGCCACATGTACAAAGGTACCCATGAAGTCCAGAAAAGATGTTGGATGGCCTGCAGCTGGCCTCGCAGGTGATTATGAGTCACCCAAAATAGGCTCTGGAGTCAGAGCTCTCATCTTTTCAAGCAGCAGCTAGTACGCTTAGCCACTGAGCCATCTCTCTAGCATCTCATTTTTGGTTTTATTTATTTGTTTTGAAACAGGGTCTCTCTCTATAGCCCTAGATATCCTGGAATTATCTTTGTTCTCTTTGTAGACCAGGCTAGCCTCAAAATTAGGTGATCCACCTGCCTTTGCCTCCCAAGTATTATTCTGAGTTACTCTTTTTTTGGGGGAGGGTGGTTTCGAGACAAGGTTTCTTTCTCTGTGTAGTCCTGGCTGTCCTGGAACTCGCTCTGTAGACCAGGCTAACCTTGAACTCACAAAGATCCACCTGCCTCTTGCCTCCCAAGTACTGGAATTAAAGGCATGCACCACCATGGGCCGGCTTATTCTGTGTTTTTAATGTGTGGTGTTTCTTCCCTGTTTAACTCCTTTGTCCTTGTCCGGCTTGTCCCTTGTTGCGTAACCACATTTTCTATGATAGCGGCTCATACTTTCCAAATACTCCTTTGTCTAAAGATGTCCTTGCTGGGCATGCCAGCCTGTATTTGTATGCCAGCACTAAGGAGGGTGACACAGGAACATTTGGAGCTGTTCTGTGCTACCCAAGGAAGAGATCCTGCCTCAAAACAAACACACAAAAAAAGGGTCTTCATGTTGCCTGGGTCAGAATCTTTCTCTAGACCTAAACCAGACTGATCAAGGCAAGAACGTCTTTAAATGAAAGGACTTCTGTAAAACATGTAGAGAAGCTGGTGTCAGAACTGATTTTATATATTTGACTTTATTACAATTAATTATTACTTCTAGCTATCTTTACTATGGGATTGTTTAAAAAATCTGTTTAGCATTGTAAATGGAAAGCCAGCCCATCCCTTCTGACTGAGTCGTCTGCTCAGTGGGAAGTGTGTCCCTCACAGTACTTTCACACAGTGGTGACGTTGCAAGCCACAGAAACTGTGTTCAAGAAGGTTTAAGTAAACCAGGCCTTGGCAGTGCACACTTTTAATCCCAGCACTCGGGAGGCAGAGGCAGGCGGATCTCTGTGAGTTTGAGGCCAGCAAGGTCTACAAGAGCTAGTTCCAAGACAGCCAGAGCTACACAGAGAAAGTCTATCTTATGGGGCAGTAATGTCAGACATACTGGCTCACGTTCGCTAGAGAGACCCTGTCCCAAACAGAGAAACCACACTTAAGCTCAAGAGTAAATGGGAGGGACACCTGGCTCTTTTTACCTCTGTAAAGATTGCGTCGGGACAAGGGACAGGTGGACAACGAGGGACCGCTGCCTCCTCTCTCTGAAGCTGTAAGCACCTGTATTGATTCCTTCTTTCCTGAACAGCTGCTGTGACACCCTTCTACCCAGTCCCAAACTCTCAGACATGTGTGTTCTCAGTTCAGGCAGTGCTACACTTAGAAACTGCTGGAAGGCTCGGCTAGTCGGCTGTTCACATACATGGCTGCTGGCCTCTGACATTCAGGAGAAAAGATAGTTCATGGGGGATGGGCATCAATCTCCAAAGACCAGGCAGGGCTGGCTAGCGGTAAAGGCACTTGCCAAGCCCGATGACCTGAGCGGGATCCTCAGAACCCGGGAAGGAGCCAACTGAGCTCTCCACCTCCATGCGCATGTGCACTGCCCACACTGAATGCCGAAGAAGTGTTTTAAAGATGAAGAGGCTGGATTGATGGCCCATCAGTTAGGAGCACTTCTGCTCTTGCAGGGGATGTGGGTTCTCTTCTCAGCACCCGTGTGGTAGCTCACATGGAACCAGCTGGAACTCTACTTCCAGGGGATCAGACAGTCTCTTCTGACTGCCTCGGGCTCTGTATGTATGTGTATGTAGGCCAGCAGCCATACTTGTAAAATCAAGATCCTAAGGATTTTTAAAGGATGAATGTTAACTGGGTGTCATTGGATTTCAGTGCTGTGTTCACGTGGACCAACTTGCTCGTGGTGGTGGTGGAACTGTGTGGCTCTGAGCAGGAAGCACTGGACCTGGTTCCTCTGGTGACCAATGTGGTTCTAGAAGAACATTACCTCATCGTTGGAGTTGTGGTTGTGGTGGACCCTGGGGTCATCCCCATCAACTCCAGAGGAGAGAAGCAGAGGATGCACCTCCGAGACAGCTTCCTGGCTGACCAGTTAGACCCTATATATGTGGCTTATAACATGTAGCCAGCCCGTAGGGGCCGTCCTGAGTGTCAGACAGACTGAAGACCCGTGGCTGGGGGAAGGCTTGCCGCTAACATGAAGATGGCTCCAGTGTAGCCTTCATCTCATCTTGTGGGATTCTGCAGTCACAGAACACCCAGGAAAGGGGAATTCTGTGGTTGCAACGAAAACATGTTAGCAGTGCGTCAGACCTGACTCTGGCATCTGCGACAGCACGTTACTAAAGCAGTTACATGCATGTTGCATTTTCCTCAACTGGTATACATACCTGTATTTTTACCTAATGTTTTAGACTTTTATAAGGGAGTTTAATGAATTCATATGAAGGGGTAATCTGTGTGCACAGTTCCCCACTCTGTACTGTATTTTGCCATTTTCCTGTAGTCAGGTGTTCTGCGAGGTTTCTTCAATCGAAACCGCCAAGCTTGAGTCAGCCCATAGCAAATCAGACGATCACGTGAGAGCTGCTCTGTACGGCTAGTTGTCAGTCACGAGCATCTGACCCGTGTTTAAACGTGTAAATAAGAGTGTGCATAACTCGGCTAAGGAGCTGAGCAGTCGGCTCGCCTAACTGCAGCTGGTGTAGCCCGAGCTTCCACCGCCCGGTGTGGTAGGACTGCCTGGCCCAGCAGGGCAGCGCCTCCTGTCTGCACGAGAGCTACCTGCATTGGTTTTCAAAACTTGTATTCCCAGAATTAGCTTAAGCTTCTAAGGATTCTTTAACCCATTCCTCTGAGCTGAGAAAAAAAAAAATCTCATTTCGGGATTTTAGAGGTAGCTAAGATTCATCAATTCCTAACCTACTCTACGGAACCATGGTAGTTCACTCGGGCCAGTGTTGAAACTCTCCGCGTTTAGAGTGACTGTGGATAACTGTGAGTTGTGCTCTTTCCATGCTCGGTATCTGCAGATTACATGTAGAGCTTCCCCTACCCAGGAAAACTGAGGAGCGAGCTCATGGACTGTAGGCCACATGTGCACATCTTAACACTAACCAGTCTGGGCTGCCAGGATAGCCAGCCGGCTCCTCGGAAACAGGGAAGTCTGATGTATGCAAGAAACTCTTTTGAAATAACTGGTGCCTGGGCCACACTCAGTGTGGGACTGAGTTTGACCTTAGGCTCAGTTCCCTTTCTTTGGTCTGAAACTTCATGTATTTGAATATAGTTAAATTTTATTATTTTTTTCTTACAGAAATATTTTTAAAAATTAAAGAAAACTTCAAGTAAAAGAATTAACCTGTTAAGTCAGAACGGTTCTCTTTGACCCGTTCCGGTCTATTGTGTAAATATTTATTTAGACTATTTTGATAATACATGTTATTTACCCCACTGTAACATCCTGTAAACTAAATGTGTTTTTAAGCAATTTGTAAGACTTGTAATTACCCTAAAAATAAGGTTTATTAAGCAAAGACCAGATTCTTCATCAGGGCAGTACTCCTGGGTTGCCTTCAAGCTCATGACTCAGCCGCTATGGCCCCTTCTCCATATCCTCATCCTCCCGGCTCCTGCTCCACAGAAGGAGGACCTCCAGAGAGAGCTTCTACTTCAGGACCTTTGCATTCTGGGTAGGACTGGTTTGCATGTGATGAGGGAGGTTTTGGGGTGTACAGGAAAGGGGTGTCTCCTGGGAAGGGTGATGTCCCATCCAGAGACCCCTTCATCTACAAAGGAAACAGCCTGCTTAATTTAGAAGTCTTAAACTGTTTTGCTTTGTTTATTTTTTTTGAGACAGGTCTTTCTACATAGCCCAGGCTAACCCTGAACACCGTCCCCGTGCTGGGATTGCAGTCATAAGTAAACTCTTAAACCAGTTTGTGATGATTTATTAAGCAAAGCAGGGGCCTGGTCAACAGTTCTATGTCAATAATCTGCAAATTCTAAGTTATCATCTTGAATGATAACTTTTTTTTTAATTTTGATTTTTTTGAGACAGGGTTTCTATGTGTAACAGTCCTAGCTGGCCTGGAACTGGCTCTGTAGAGCAGGCTGGCCTTGAACTCATGGAGATCCACCTGTTTCCCAAGTGCTGGGTTTAAGGGTGTGAACCACCACAGGCGGCTCTTGAATGGTAACTCTTACAAATGCACATTATTAACTTGGTATCACCAGTCAGGAACACATTGCAGTAAATGTAATGTGAGCCACATCTCTAATTTCAACTTCCCTAATAACCACGCTTTAAAAAGAGCTTTCATTGTGTAACGCTAGCTGCCTCCTCCCTCTGTGGACCAGGTTGGTGACAAATTCACAAAGATCTTCCTGCCTCTGCTTCCTGAGTGCTGGGATTAAATATGTGCGCCACTGTACTACCCATCTGAACACATCTTCTAAACATTTCTTAAAGAATATGGCATTGATTTTAATATATTTACTAAAAGTACTATTTCATTGATATAAAATTATTGAATTTTTTTTAATTTTGGAAATCTTATGTGTAGTAAACATGTTTTAGTTCAGACTAGCCACTTCAGGCCTCAGTGACCAAATGTGACTAGTGGCTGTCATCATTCCTTCACACACAGGACTGTAGCCTGGTCATCTCACTGTGACCAGCTCTCAGTACTTAGGGTGATTGTCAAGTTGTCATTGCCAGGTCGTCTTTTTAAAAACGATGCTGGGGTGGAACATAGGACCCATGGTGAGCTCACCCTTCCTAGCCCAGGCTGGCCTGGAACCCCTGCTCTTCTTTCCTGTCCAGAGTGCTAAGATTGCAGCAGACCCTTTCTGACCATGACTAGTCTCCCCCGCCCTCCCTTGCTTTGGGCCCATCCCCTGAACCCAGATTGTACTAGCAGAGAACAACTGAGCGCTTCCCCTGGGAGCCTCATCACTGCTCCCTCCTCGATGGGCTCTGCTAGACCCTGCAGTAGACCTTAACAAGAGTTTCTCCTTACACAGCACTGGAAACTTCCTGGCTGAACTGACAGTGAAAGCAGCCTTGAAATGAAGTCTGTCATTAACAAATCAAAACAGCCTGCAGCCCTGCCTAACCGCTGGACATGGGGGCTAGGCTGAGCCTAGTTACACAAAGGAAAACTCTTTTTTTTTAGTTTTTATTTTGTGTTTATGTGTGTATAATAGGATTTTACTGTATAGCCCCTGCTGGCCTCAAACTTGAGGCTCTTGCCTCAGCCTTCCAGTGGCGAAATTACAGGCTTGTGCAACCGACCACACTTGGCAAGAGCAATCTTCTCATCTGGAAATCTGTGAGCTTTTGTCTGGCCCTCAGGAGAGTGACTGAGATGGAGCAGCTGCACACATGCCATCCTGTGCATCTGAGCTTTCAGAATGCCCACCATGCCCACAGAGACCCTGTTCTCCCCAGTACAAGTCCTTCAGTGTGCGGTCGTACAGATTCAGCTGCTGAGAACCAAGCCTGTCTCCTCACTGTAGTTCTTTGGCAGTGCTTGCTTAACGCTCTCCTGGAATCCCAAGGGCCTGAGGCCTTAGGCTCCTGTTAAGGTCTTTGCCCCAAGCATGGTGCTCAGTATCTTGGCCAAATAAGTTACTTTCCTTGAATATCCGAGAATTTTAAAGTAAAGCAATGGGGACTTATTCCTCTTACCCTGGAACTCCAGTATAACTAACTGCCTTAGAGTGGTCCATGTCATGTTTTCATGTGAAACCCAGAGTGTCTGGAGCCGGCGGCTGCAGTCCTCCATATGCACAGTAGGCCTTGGCTTTCACTCAACAGTTCTGACTTAGACGTGTGTAGGATGGGCAGTAAGATTTGTCCTGAGGAAGAGACTGCAAAGACATGAAGTTTTTAGTCATAAATGCTGTTTTGTTTACTTTCTGTCAAGGTGATATTTACCCCTGTCAAATTCAAACTATAGTACTGTGTAATTATGTATAAAGGTTTTTTTTTATTTATTTGAAATTAGATTAGATATACATTTTTAAATTTAACATCTGGCTGGACAGTGTTCTATTAACTCATTGAATGTGTTTCCTTTGTCTTGTGTTAATAAATATTGATGCTTGATTGTGTTTAATCCTTCACACATTTTGCTTATGTGTGTGTGGTGTGGGGACTGAACCCAGGTCTCCTGAAGGCTACACATTCGCATTCACTCTAGCGCTTAGCCACACCCCTTTGGGGGACCTACAGAAGGTGACTGCGGTGGCCCAGCAGAGAGCTCCAGAGCTGTGCCCTGAAGGCAGCTGGGGCAGGGCACAGTAGTGCTGCTTTGTAAACCAGTTGGGTTTCTTTTTCTTTCTCTCTCTCCTCTTACTTCATTTTGTCTTTCTTGGTTTTCTTAAGAAAGGGTTTCTTTGTTTAACAGTTCTGGCAGTCCTGGAACTCGCTTTGTATTCTAGGCTGGCCTCGAACTCAAAGAGATTCGCCTGCCTCTGCCTCCTGAGTGCTGGGTTCAGACGTGTGTGCCACCACTGCCCAGCTTGGGTTTTGTTCTTAAATATTATTTTACTATTTTTGATCTTTGTATAAGTGTTTTGCCTGGTTTATGTATGTGCACTGAGTGCATGCCTGGGAAGGCCAGAAGGTACTGAGTCCCATGAAACTGGAGTTAAAGATGATTGTGAGCCGCCATGTGGGTGCTGGGAACCAAACCTGAGTCCTCTCTGCAAGAGCAATAGTGCTCTTAACTGACAAGCTGTCTGTCTGCAGCCCCTTGCTTTTTTTTCCCCCTTAGGGTTATTACATTTTAACTTATTTTGTTGGGATGAGGGGAGCTCGCTGTGGTGCCTGTGTGGATAGCAGGAGTCAATTCTCTTTGTACCGTGGGATCCCAGGTACCCAACACAGGTCCTCAGGCTTGGCTGTAAACATCCTTAACCACTTGACCCAGTTCTCAGGATTTCTCAGAGTAAAATGTTTAGTTTCTGCCTTCTGAGCCTGTGGCACGTCTCGGTTGCAGGCCGTTCTTCTTCCGTTCTTCTTCCTTGAGCTGGGCTGAGTTCCGGTCTTCCTGGATGTGAGGATTCCTTTGCTCTAGCATTTCCTGGTCTCAGGAAACCTGAAGGGAGTTCTTTCAGTATGGACCAAGCTGTTTTGGCATTGAGGCCCTGCCTCCCCAGCTTGACAAACTGTTACCAAGTGATGCCCACCAAGAACAGTGTGTTTGAGAAAACACAAGGTGTGCCTTTAGGGCGATGCAGGAACCAGTCATGATGTATAGGGCAGTTAGGAGCAGTGGGTGAGAGCAGGCACACAGACAAGGAGGACAATAAGGACCAGCTGGAGGCCATCATCTGAACTGAAGTTGGATTTTTACTTTTTTTAAGTCATGATCTCTAACCTAGGCTGGCCCCAAAACCCATCATGATCCTCCTGCCTCAGCCTTGGAAGTTCTGGGATTAGAGATGAGAGTTACTCTGTCTGACCTGAACTTAAGTTTTGAAAGATGACATAGGTAAGATAAAGCAAGTAGGAAAAGCAGGCATGGTGATGCACACTTGTAATCCCAGCCTAGGGAAGCAGAGCAGGAGGAGTTCAGACTTGTTCCCAGCTACATGGGCAGTTCAAAGCCAGCCTGGACCACATGAGACTCTGTTTCAACAAGCTATGAGTCATTAGAATTGCCATGATGTAGGACTGGAGATGGCTCAGCGGTTAAGAGCACTGGCTGTTTTTCCAGAGGACCTGGGTTCAGTTCCCAGCACCCACATGGCAGCTCACAACTGTCAGTAACTCCCTCCAGGGGTCTGATACCTTCACACAGACATACATGCAGGCAAAATACCAACACACATAAATGTAGCTCAGAATTGAGAATAATTGACGTCATTTATTTAGGGGTAGATTCACAAATCAGAATCCTCTGCTGGAACAGAGAACAGAAACCAAATCCTGCAGCCGGAAAAGAGACTAGACTCATACTTTACATTGGCATAAATAGTTTAAGAGTCTACGCCCCAGTGGGCTGGTAACTTAAAGGGCTGGCTGTAGGATTTCCTTTAGTACCTCCCCCTTTGTTTAAATAAGAGTGTTCTAAGCCTAATACAAAATTATATACAATAAGAACAAGTATCTTTTATCATAACTAAGGAAAACTATAATTATAAATTCTTCAACTTCATCAAAGACTGCAGAAGGATATAATATTACCGAAGTAAACAGGAAGTGCATTGTAAGCAACTTCCAAAACTCTAGAATTGACAGAGATATCTCGCTACCTGGACAGTCACCCAAAGTTCTTCTGTATCGTTGAGGCATCTATCTTCAGCCTACAGGCCCATAGTATCTGGCAGACTTTTCCATGAAGCAGGAAATTTCAAAGACAGTTCCACCTATATTGGCAGTTTATCAGTCACTTTCTTCTGTTTCCTGCAGAATGTCTCGCAGATTCTTTTATGAAGCAGGAACCCCGAAGGACCGTCTCACCTTTAGGCAAGTTCAGCAGTCATTTCTCTGTGGGTCTGCATGTCCAGTTCAGCAGTCCAGGCAGGAACAGTTTCTTGCCCACATGGCTAGCAAACTCCATAAGGAGCCTCTTCGGTGCCTATCTTCCTTTTGAAGTAATTGGTGCTGCCAGGATTGGCATGAAAAGTCTTAAGTTATTAAAATATTTTAAATGCCATATTCTGAAGGTCTCTGAAAGATTTGAAGAATACCCATCTAACTGAAATATATTTCTATACATCTAGAAAATCTAAGCAACATGACTACAAGCTTGACTATTATAGATGATTATCTATTAACCTATATTTTTAAATTATACATTACTTTTTTTTTTTTTGGGTTTTTTCGAGACAGGGTTTCTCTGTAGCTTTGGTGCCTGTCCCGGAACTAGCTCTTGTAGACCAGGCTGGCCTCGAACTCCCAGAGATCCGCCTGCCTCTGCCTCCCGAGTGCTGGGATTAAAGGCATGTGCCACCACCGCCTGGCTATACATTACATTTTTTTTTAAAATAATTTATTTAGATTCATTTTATGTGCATCAGTGTGAAGGTGTCAGATCCCCTGGAACTGGAGTGTCAGACAGTTGTGAGCTGCCATGTGGGTGCTGGGAATTGAACCCAGGTCCTCCGGAAGAGCAGTCAGTGCTCTTAACCACTGAGCCATCTCTCCAGCCCCTATACATTACATTTTTAAATGAGCTGCCTAAACACAATAATACCTTAATCAAGAGGAGAAATATACATATAACAAAATTCACCTTAAATTTGTATAAGTAAACCAAGATCCATACCAATGCAAATCTCCATAGCATATTCCCCTTTAAATGCATGCAGGCAAAATATCAACACACATAAATGTAGCACAATTAATAAAAACCCAGAGACACATTGGGGTTCAACCTGAAGGTCAGAAAAGCAAAACAACCAACCACTGGCTCTTACCTCTACCTCAGTCCAAAATGGTAATGGTGACCCTGCCTCCAGGAATCAGAATGAGACTGTGTATACTGTGTATAAGACTGTCTCCTCCCAACTGGGTTTTATTCCCCCCCCCTCTTTCTCTCTTTCTCTCTCTCTCTCTCTCTCTCTCTCTCGACAGGGTTTTGGAGCCTGTCCTGGAACTAGCCCTTGTAGATCCCCTGTCTCGAGTGCTGGGCCACTATGGGCCACTATCACCTGGCTCCTCCCATTTTATATTCATCTCTAGTGCTGGGATTAAAGGTGTGCACCACTACTGCCCAGTTTCTATGCAACTAGTGTAGCTACTAGGATCAAAGGTGTATGTCAGCTGGGTGGTGATGGCGCACGCCTTTAGTCCCAGCATTCAGGAGGCAGAGGCAGGCAGATCTCTGTGAGTTTGAGGCCAGCCTGGTCTACAGAGTGAGTTCCAGGACAGGCTCTAAAGTTACAGAGAAACCCTGTCTCGAATGCCCCCCCCCCAAAAAAAGTGTGTATCACCACTGTCTGATCTGTTAAAGCTGATCAGTGTGGCTGTTTTACTCTCTGATCTTCAGGCAAGGTTTATTTATTAAAATACAAATGAAATATCACTGCACATAAAAATAAATCATTTTTTTTAAAAATGCTATGATGTGGAGGATATGTGAACCTTTAAATTTTATATGTTGGCTGGTTGATGCCACCAGCTACTGACCATCTCAGAACTGTCACATGGACACATGGACTCCTACTTAGAGGTTGATTTTAGTCTGTGCTATTTCTGAATGGACATCTAAACATTGAAAGTTTCCAACAATAAGTTCCAGAGGTTGTGTTCCTCCAGAAGATTTTGTTCTGGTGGAAGCTCCATACCAGCCCCTGGTATCCATGCGTCCAAAATGCCTAGAATGTTCTGGTGAAAGCTCCACCTCAATCCCCCTCCCCCGCCTCATCTCAGAAAGCCTGCCAAACATGGCTCCTCCCCCAGAGGTACTCAAGACCACTCCCACAAGATATTTAAACTGCCCCCCCCCCCAGAAAACATGTGTTTGGGGGCCTGAAAATCATCCCGGAGCATTTTATTCATTAAATCTGGGCTTTTTCCAGTTTGGTTTGATGTGGTCTGATTTAGATTGATGCATGGCCAATAGACTTATTGGGGTGCAGAAACTTTTCAGATTTATCAGGCACTTGGTAGCCAGGTGACAATGGCTCTATAATGGCCAGCGATGTGTTCTCATGTAAATCCTCACATAAACAGGCTTACCTGTTCAGGACGTGAAGCTTCTTCTGTCCTCAGAGCTTCAGTCGTTATACCTGGGAGCTTCTGTGGGCATGTGACTCAATCACAAACACAGTAACCAATAGCTGTCTCCATTCGGTGATTAGTAGTAGAGGCAGAAAGTAAGCTACTAAGATTACAGTGTGAGAAAGGATGATGGCTTGCAGTATAGAAAAGGAGTCGGAGCAATGGCTGCTCTTCCAGAGGACCCGGGTTCAATTCCCAGCATCCACATGGCAGCTCACAACTGTCTGAAGATCCAGTTCCAGGGGATCTGACACCTTCACACCAATGCACATAAAATAAAGTTAAATAGAAGAAAAAAAGAAAAGAAGGAGTCAGAGAGATGGCTCAAAGGTTAAGAGCACTGGGTATTCCAGAGGTCCTGAGTTCAATTCCCAGCAACCACATGATGGTTCACAACCATCTGTAATGAGATCTGGTGCCCTCTTCTGGCCTGCAGGCAGTCTTACAGACAGAACACTGTATACATAATAAATAAATAACTTTATTATTTATGTTATGGAGCTGAAGAGATGGCTCAGTAGTTAAGAGCCCTGATTGCTCTTTCAAAGGACCCGGGTTCAATTCCCAGCACCCACATGGAGGCTAACAACTGTCTGTAACTTAAATGATATTCACACAGACATATGCAGGCAAAACACTAATGCCCATAAAGGGAGGGTGTCACAAGCAGAAAATTTCCCCCTCTATCCCAACAGCAGAAGTAAGCTAAGGAGGCTGGGCGATGGTGGCGCACGCCTTTAATCCCAGCACTCGGGAGGCAGAGGCAGGCGGATCTCTGGGAGTTCGAGACCAGCCTGGTCTACAGAGCTAGTTCCAGGACAGGCTCCAAAGCCACAGAGAAACCCTGTCTCGAAAAACAAAAAAAAACAAACAAAAAAAAAAAAAGTAAGCTAAGGAGCTAGCTACTCCAGCTGGGCATGGTAGTACATGGCTTTTATCCTTTGTAACCTGGAAGGCTGAAGCTAGACAGGAGTTCAAGGCTAGCCCGGGGTAACGTAGTGAAACCCTATTTAATAAAAGGCTGACAGTAGTGGTGCAGTGGGGACGTACTTATCACTAGAACAGGTGAGAGCAGTGTATGAAATGTTAGGCAACCGTGTTTAAAGCAGGATCCTAGTGTGTCACAGGGTCAAACTGGCTTGTTTTTTTTTTGCGGGGGGGGGGGTGATGCGGGTTGAGACAGGGTTTCTCTGCATAACAGCCCTAGCTGTCCTGGACTAGCTCTGTTGGCCACACTGGCCTTGAACTCAGAGACCCACCTGCTTCTGCTGGGATTAAAGGCCTGCGCTACCACCGGCCAACACCGCCTACTCTAAGGCAGTGTCGTATGAGGACAACTTTAAACTTTCCGTTAGGGAACCAAACCCAGGCCTTCATCTATACGAGGTAAGTGCTCTCCTATTGATCTTCCCTAGCCCAACCTTTACTTTCTGCTCCCTCTGCCTCCACCTCCTGGGATTGGAGGTAACACCCAGCTCGTGCGATGCTATCCCGAGGCCAGACACTGAAAAAAACGAATAAAAGCCTTCCAACATCCTTTCGCCTCGCAGCGCACAGAGCGGTACCGGTCAAGGTCAGGGACCTCAACGCTGCAGAACACTTAGAGCAAATAGCTCAGCCTGGCGTCGGAGAGCAGCCTGAGCGAGAGTTAGGAAGCGAACCCCGGGACTTGCCCAAAACGCGCGCACCCGGCTAGCCGCGGTGACGGCGTGCCACGTGAGCACGCGGTGACGCAGCACGCAGGCCCCGCCCCTCACGCTCCGTGCACTGTTTGGCCCCCGTCCCAGCCCCCGGCCTGCCGTGGATCATGCCGCCAAAGACGCCCCTCGCGGTCGGGAAACGGTAGCCCCGGACGGTTGGCTCTCGAGTTACACTGGTTCTCCCCGCCCCGCCGACCCCAGGGAGGAGCGCCATCCCGCCGCGGTGTGCGGCTGGGACGTGAGCGAGCGGCGAAGTCGGCGCCGCCTGGGACGGGGGAGTGGAAGTTCCCGCCCCGGGCAGCGGCCAGGCGGCTCTGCAGGTACGTGGGGGCGGCGGGGCGGCCCGGACGGGAACGCGGCGCCGGCGACGACGCAATGGCGGCCACGCGCCGCCGACTGGGGGTCGCGCGCGGCGTGCCGGTGGGGGAGGGGCGCGGGGGTGGGACCGGCCGCGCGCTTCCGGCCGCGCGCCTCCCGGGCGAGTGCACGGGCGTTGGGCTCCGGTCCGGTGGCCCCGCGCTCCCGACGCCGCGGTCCCGCGGCCCACGGGAGTCTCCATGCGTGGAGGCGGGAATAGCCGTGACGGCTCGCCCTCAGGCTGCAGGCAACCAGTCCTCGGGCTCTCACCTGCGCGACGGGGGAGAACCCCCGCCTTACGGCGGGGTGCGGTGCTTTGCTCTTCCGGGTGTCTCCCCGCTTAAGTTCCAGTAGAAAACTCAGTGTCTCGGTAGCCGCTCTTTCTTTCTGAGGCGGGATAGAGTTTCTGCTGCAGGGCGTCTAGATGTGGTCGCCTTTAGTTTTACGGTAGCCTTTTTAGTTTTGCCTGAGACAGGGCCTCCCAGGCTGATCTTTACAGTCTAGACTGACTTTTGTTGTTTTTTGTTTGTTTGGTTTGGTTTTTCTAGACAGGATTTCTCTGTATAGCCTTGGCTGTCCTGAAACTTTGTTAGTTTTTTGATAGTCCATTGCCATGCGGTGTGGTGGTGCACGCATTTGATCCCAGCTTTTGGGAGGCAGAGGCAGGTGGATCTCTGAATTCGAGGCCAGAGCTAGTTCTAGGACAGCCAAGCTAAGAGAAACCCGTCTCGAGGGGAGAGGGAAAAAAGAACAAAAAGTTTATTTATTGCGGGACATGGTAGCACAGGCCTTTAAGCCCAGCTACTCCCTCGGGAGGCAGAAACTGGTTCTATCTCTCTCTCTCTCTCTCTCTCTCTCTCTCTGTCTCCCTCTCTCTATCCTCTCTCTTTCTCTCTGTGGTCTACACAGCGAGTTCCAGGCCAGTAGGTCCCAATAGTAAGACGTTATTGTTTTTTGTATGTACGCGCCTGCCTGCATAAAATTATGTTCACCTCCTGTGTATCTATCTGGTCTGAAGAGGCCAGTGGGTGCCATGAACTGGCCTTCGGTTCTATGGGCTCTTAACCCCTCAGCCATCTCTCTAGCCTAGTGTTAGTTTTGGGGGGTGTTTGCTTGTTTGAGAAAGGTCTCATGCTGTATTCCCAACTGACCTTAAACTCTATGTGGCTCATTTTGGCCTAGAACTCACAGCCTTGAAAAGCATCGTGCCTAAAGTCTTCAAGGGCTTCTTGACACCTGCGGTCATTTCGGCATAGGTGTGGTAGGAACCTTTGTGAAAGTGGCGTCACCTGTGTTAAGAGTTTGTATCGTATTTATGTTGGCAAAATACATTTATCCCAAGATTTTGTTGCCAGTAGATATTTTGTTTAAAATTCTAGTTGTCCCCACCCCCACTTTACAGTGACCACTTAAGGTTTTATCTCCTATATAATGACGCTAAATGGGGGTGTTTGCCTAGCGTGCTTCGCACTCACTAGGAAACAAAACAGGAAACTGGACAGTCTAAAGTGGAATGAGACATCTCTTAAATAGTGTTTGTAGTTCTTGATTGTTGATCTGCAGAACTGTGATAGTACATATCACCAGTAGATGGTACTCAGGTCAAAAAAAACATGATCTCACTGAATTTCCTTTTTTGTTTGTTTGGGTTTTTTTTGTTTGTTTTTTGTTTTTTGAGACAGGGTTTCTCTGTGTAACAGTCCTAGCTGTCCTGGAACTAGCTCTTGTAGACCAGGCTGGCCTCGAACTCACAGAGATCCCCCCGCCTCTGCCTCCCTAGTGCTGGGATTAAAGGCGTGCGCCACCACTGCCTGACTTGAATTTCCAGTTTTCACATAGGATGTTATTTCAAGTTTTCCTGTGCCTCGGTTGCCCTGTTTCTATTCCTGAGCTGGAGTGATTCTCTGAGGATATGTCTTTAGCCGTTATTTCATCAGTTCTAATTAGATCTATCTAAGTAAGCAGGTGGTTTTGTTAGTGTTAAATGTGAAGACATTGGTGCTGTGTAGGAAAAGGGACTTATATTACTATATTATATTATATTACTATGGTAGGTGCCATAAGAAAAGCCAGCCAGCATGATCTACAGGGAGAATTCCAGGACAACCAGAGCTACACAGAGAAACCCTGTCTTGAAAAACAAAAAATGAGAGAGAGAGAGAGAGAGAGAGAGAAACATAAAGGGTCCAGGGTATATGGTCAGCTTCTAAACTAGTCTTGTAGGTTTGCCTGGAAGAGGAAATCTTAGACGCCTCAGGTGGAGGAAGCGGAATAGTGTTTGTAGCGTAGGAAATAACATGTATGAGGTGAAGCAAGCCAGGCACATTTGAACATCTGGAAGAGATTCAATGTGACTCATAATTGTGGAAATGGTAAGTAAGGGGCTCCCTGACCCCAGGCTTAACACAGCTCAACGTTGTTAGAAGAGAATGCTGTATTTGGTATTTCCTGTTCACTCTGCTGTCCACTGAGCACACGTTAGGGTAGCTTAGAGCTGGGAGAGATTTGCCAGACAAGGGAGCCCCATCAAGACGGAGAGGTGGTGATGTGAGGCTGTGGTTGGCACAGGGGCATGTGAAATAAAAGAACAAGGCTTTGGGGAAGCCCTAGCTTTCAGTCTTTTGCATGGTAATGTAAGATCCACAGTAAGCACAGGTTTTGAGTGAAATAGGTAGTGTGTGACGTGCTCCTAGGAGCTGGGGGAGCTCAGTGGAGGGTGCTTGGTAAGACCCTAGCTATGGCTTCCAGCAGCAGCACAGAAACAAAACTCTTATTATGGAATTTCACTTAGGAAGCCCCTGGCTACAGAATTTGTTTAAAGCATCTTGCTTTGGGCTAGAGGGTGTAACTTAGAGAGTTATCTGCTCTGTATAGGTCCTGGGTGTGATGATAAATTCTCCATAAAGCGGCTGTGTAGGTAGGTGCATTGAGAGGTGGAGACAGGGCCATCAGAAGTTCCAGAAAGGTCATCCTCTGTTATATAGCAAGTTTGATGCTAACCTGAGCTACCGGAGATCTTGTCCTATGGGAAAGTACCTTGCCTTTACAGTGCCAGCAATGCTTAGCCTGCTGTGACTTCTCACTATCCAGAATCCTTCTAATTGGTATGTGCATGCTGTGTATTACTTTGGTTCTTTTGTTGTTTTTATTTTGGGTTTTGTTTTTCTGTTTGTTTGTTTTTCCAGACGGGGTTTTTCTGTGGCTTTGGAGCCTGTCCTGGAACCAGGCTGGCCTCGAACTCACAGAGATCTGCCTGCCTCTGCCTCCCAAGTGCTGGGATTAAAGGCGTGCGCCACCACCGCCCGGCAGTTCTTTGTTTTTAATAGTAGTAATTTTATTTTGTAGGTATTGGTGTTTTGCCTGCATGTTTATCTGTGTGAGGGGTTCAGGTCCCCTGGAATTGTTAGAGACAGTTGTGAGCAACCATGTGGGTGCTGGGAATTGAACCCACAGTTACAGCTGCTGAGCCAGTTAACTCTCCAGCTGCTCACTTTGGTTCTTATTTATTTGAAGCTGAGTTCCATAGATCCTTTGTGAGTGCCCAACTTGCTATTACCTCATGACAGATACTGCTTGGAACTTAATTTATTTTTATAAAAAATGTACATATGACATTTATTGTGTTTTTAAAAATGTTATTTTAAAAAACAGAATTTTAGCCAAGCACGGTAGGGTACACCTGTTGCCTTGCTTAGCATTTGGGAGATGGATGTCTTGTTAGCCAGCCTGGGTTTTAGGACTCTGTCTCAAAAACAAAGATAAAACAAAGCAACTACAACAACAACAAAAGCCAATCAGATTTAAAATTTTTAGGAACAGCCAAGAAAGGGTGAGCAAAGTATTGCTGGGCCTGGAGAGATGGCTCAGCAGTTAAGAACCAGGTTAAGCCCGGCACCCACATGGCAGTTCACAACCATCTGTAGTTTCAGGGAATCTGATGTCCTCATACAGGCAAAACACCAATACACATAAAATAAAAATAAATCTCTTTTTTTTTAAGAGTATATTTGCAGTTGATGATGTCAGTAAAGCAGAACAAGTGCTGTTATTGCTTACAATGAGCTAAAACTATAAACTTACTTGGGAAAAGGCTTGATTTGATTCTTTAAAAAAAATTTGTAAAATTTTATTTTTAATTTATGAGTGTGTTGCCTGCATGCATTGCTTTTGTTGTTTATTTGCTTGCTTGCTGAGACAGCGTCTTCTGTGCAGGCCTGGATGCCAACTCACTGGGTGGCCTCAAACTAAAAGAGATCCAATTGCCTCTGCATGGACCAAAGGCATATACCTCCGTGCCTGGCCTTTTTAACAACAACAGCAACAAAATATTTTTAAAATTTTATGTACATGGATGCTTTGCCTATATGTGTGCCTGTGGAGGCCAAAAGAGAGCCTCAGTCAGATCCCTTGAGACTGAAGTTTCATATGGGTGTTGGAAAGTAAATTCAGATCTCCTGAAAGAGCTGCCAGTGTTCTTAACCCACTGAGCCATCCTCTAGCCTGTGATTACGGTTTCTTAAAGTTTTTGTTTCCTTCTATATTTTCGGTGTTGGGGAAAGGGCTAGTGTCATCCGTAAGAGGAGGAGCACTTTGTATAGGAGGTGAGTTTTCAGTTTTTCAGGGACCAACGATAGTTTCCATCTGGAGAGTAAATGAATTTGTTTTCTAAGACAGGCATGGTGGTGTATTTCTGTAATTTTAGCACTCAGCATGCTGGGGACCAGACTAAAGGCAAAAAAGGGAAAAGCTGGCTAGCACAAAGATGGAGAAATGTTCAACATTATTCCTCAGTGGGGGATGAAAACCAAAACCACAGTAAGGCACCACCTTGTTCTTACTGTACCTTAAGTTGTAATGTACTGGTAGGACTGGGGGACCGCATTGCTAAACTGGGCGGAGGTGGTGCACGCCTTAAATCCCAGCTCTTGGGAGGCAGAGGCAGGTAGGTCTCTGAGTTCAAGGCCAGCCTGAACTCAGGACAGCCAGGCCTTGTCTTAAAGAAAAACAAACAAATGGTAAAATGGGCCTGGTGACACATTCCTTTAATTCCAGCACTCTGGAGGCAGAGACGGCCAATCAGTGAGTTCCTGGACAAGTAGGGCTAGATAGACCCTGTCTCAAAACTACCAGAATATGAAAAATAAAATAAATGATTTAGATGAGAAAATTTTCTCTGTATTTTATACATCTAAAGTTTTTTTTCTAAAGACTTTTTATGTATACAGTGTTCTGCCTGTATACATTCCTGCACACCAGAAAAGGGCACCAGATCTCATTATAGATGGTTGTGAGCCACCATGTGGTTGCTGAAAATTGAACTCAGGACATCTGGAAGAGCTCTTACCTCTGAGCCATCTCTCCAGCCCCACAATTAAAGTTTGTAAAGAATGGAGAGGCCGGGTGGTGGTGCACGCCTTTAATCCTAGCACTTGGGAGGCCGAGGCAGGTAGAGTCTGTGAGTTTAAGGCCACCCTGGCCTACGTAGAAACTGTCTCAATAAACAACAACAAAAAACGACTAGAGAGATGGATTGGTGCTTAAAAGCACTGACTGTTCTTTACAGGACCTGGTTTAATTCCCAGCACCCACATGATAGCTCACAACCATTTGTTACTAGGGAATCCAGTACCCTCTTCTGCCGTTCCGAGACACCAGACAAACACATGGCATACAGATATACATGCAAGCAAAGCACCCATGCTCATAAAATAAAAATTAAAAACCTGTTTAGAAAGCAGGGACAACTAGGTACCCACTTTTTAGCATCACTGACATTCAACAGAAGTTTCAGCCTCTCTCTTTCTCTGTGCATGTGTGTGTGTGTCTATCTACATTCATTCTCAAAGGAAATCTTTTCCCCCCTGCTTTTTCCCTTTCTTTTTCCCCTTCCCCTTTTTCTTTCGTTTCCTCTTTTTTTTTTAAATTTATTTATTATGTATACAATGTTCTGTCTGTAAGTCTGCCTGCAGGCCAGAAGAGGGCTCCAGATCTCATTACAGATGTTTGTGAGCCACCATATGGTTGCTGGGAATTGAACTCAGGACCTCAGGAAGAAGGAGCAGTGCTTTTAACCGCTGTGCTATCTCTCCAGCTACCCCTTTACTCTCTCTTTTTTTTTTTTTAGAAACCATTGTGCCTCTTTTTTTTTTTTAAGATTTATTTATTTTGTTTACAGTGTTTACAGTGCATGTATGCCTGCAGGGCAGAAGAGGGCACCAGATTTTATTACAGATGGTTGTGAGCCACCACGTTGGTTGCTGGGAATCGAACTCAAGGCCTCTGGAAGAACAATCAGTGCTCTTAACCTCTGAGCCATCTCTCCAGCCCTCCTTTATTTTTGAGATAGGGTCTTGACTATGTAGCCCTGGCTAACCTGGAACTCTATATAGACCTTGTTGTTCTTTCTGCGGGGTTGGAGAGAAAACACGAGACACAGGGCGGTCACACATGGGTGAACTTTAATGGGGGTGGGGTGACGACAGGTGAGGGACGGGGGTGAAGAGACGAAAGGGAAAAGGGGGAAAAGGGGCGAGTTATAGCGTTCCCCGTGTTTAAAGGGGGATCCAGGTGCGTCTGGGAGAAAATGTCCTGCACATGCATGGCTTTTTGTCGTGGGAATTGTAGTTCGGTGGGATGCTGGGAATTGTAGTCCAATTAGGATGCTGTCGCCTCTACTGCTTCATTCTGCGCATGTGCGGCCTTGTCTCCAAAAGGAACAGCAGACCTACTTAGCACCTCAAGACTATTTTCTTTCTTTTGTGTGTGTGTGTGTGTGTGTGTTTGTGTGTGTGTGTGTTTTGAGACAGGGTTTCTCTGTTGTTTGGGGGCCTGTCCTGGAACTAGCACTTGTAGACCAGGCTTGCAGAGATCCACCTGCCTCTGCCTCCCGAATGCTGGGATTAAAGGCGTGTGCCACCACTGCCCAGCAAGACTAGTTTGTTTTCGATGGTGCTAAGATTAGTGCTGAGACCTCATGCATACTAGATAAACTCACTCTCTTCCTGTATCTATCCGTAAATGCAGGTTTTTTTATGACAGTGAGACATACCCTCCTGGCAGCACCAGTCTACTTCAGAGAAGATAATGAGCATCGAAGAAACTCCACATGGAGTTTACTTTTTGGGGACAAAAGTAAACCACTGAGCTTAAAAATGTCCTTGTCTCAACTGCTGGCAGTATTCTGTCCCAATTGGACAGGCAGGACCCAAATGAAAGTGACTGTCAAACACTGTCAGGATGAGGATGGACAGCCTTTCAGAATATCCTGCTTTGCCGGGCGGTGGTGGCGCACACCTTTAATCCCAGCACTCGGGAGGCAGAGGCAGGCGGATCTCTGTGAGTTCGAGACCAGCCTGGTCTACAAGAGCTAGTTCCAGGACAGGCTTCAAAACCACAGAGAAACCCTGTCTCAAAAAACCAAAAAAAAAAAAAAAAAAAAAAAAAAGAATATCCTGCTTCATAGAAGTCTGTTGGATATGCTAGGCCTCTAGGTCAACGATAGGTGCCCCCATGTTGGAGAGGAACCTTGGGTGACTGTGGAGGCAGGTAGCTGTTTCTATCATTGCTCACATTTTTTGGAAGTCATTTGCTTACTCAGTTATTATTTCCTTCTTGTGACTCTGAGGGTTGAAAATCAGATAGTTATAGTTTTCCTTGTTTACCAGATGCAGAAAGCAAGTTATGATAGAAAGTAAATTAGGTACAAGACTTCGGACTCACCAAGATAGGACAGATATGAATTTGTCAGATGCAAATGGACTAAACATTGTTGATGTATTTATTACCTGTATATATTGTATATAGTCACTGTACTTATTTTATATAGTTTTCCTTATATTAGTTACCACCTTCTTTTTTATTTTAGACAAATAGGGAAAATATAGTGATGTTTTATTTGTATTTTAACAAGTAAAGCTTGCCCGAAGATCAGAGAGTAAAACATCTGCCCTGGTCAGCCTTTCAGACCAGGCAGTGGTGACACACCCCTTTAATCCCCATAGCCACACTAGTTTGCCACAGAAACCGGGAGGTAGTAGTGGAGGTAGTAGTGCACGCCTTTAATCCCTGCACTGGAGAGAGGAATATAAAATGAGAGGAGACAGCTCTCAGGATCAGATTTATTCTGAGGATTCCTGGAGGCAGGATCTCCTTGTTGGCTTGAGGCTGAGGTAAGAGCCAGTGGCTGGCTGTTTATTTTTCTGATTTTGAGGTTGAACCCCAATATCTGTCACTGGGTTTTTATTACTCGTACTCCACGTACAGACCTAAATCCTATCTAAATCCTCTATCAGTCTTTCTCTTCGTGGTTCTCCCTGTCACGTTCTATCACAGTTTTCATTTTTCTCAGCCTACATATCCCGTGAGTTAATATTTAGATAATCTGGTCCTTAGAATAAGAGACAGTCTCACTGTGTAGCCCGGCTGGCGCCTGAGACAATCACCTCCTGAGGTCTGGGATTACAGTTGAGCGTCATCACCTGGTGGCTCCCACCTTTAATCCTAGCACTCAGGAGGCAGAGTCAGGTGAATATCTATGTTCGAGACCAATCTGGTCTACAGAGCAAGTTCCAGAAGGGCCGGAGCTACACAGAGAAACTACATTAAAAACAAAACAAAAAAGTTGAGTACCAGCCCTGCCCTTTATTTTTGTTAACCTGTTAGTAAATTCTCTTTATGAAGCCATGCATGCAATTAGAGACTCAACCCTAGATTGGTAAAGATCTGTTGATAGGAAGACTCAAGTATCTAACATTCTGGCTTTTCCAAATTTTAAAATGTCAAAGAATACTCTCTGAACTGGTTCTCTTCTGGGTTTTTATTACTAACCAAGTGTTATGTGACTGTAGTAGTTGCTGATTCTGAAGCATTTTAACTGCCTTTTTCCCTTTCAGTTGATTATGGAAGATTCCCACAAGAGTAACTCTTCAGAGACTGCACCTCAGCCTGGTTCAGCAGTTCAGGGGACTCACATTTCTCAGATAGCTCATCCGGTAAGTCAAGAGCTAGCCAGCATGCTGAACTGGCTAGTAGTGTTCACAGATGCACCTGTTGTCGTTCTATATGCTCAGAAAACCCAGCACAGAGAGACTGGGAGATGATGCTGCAAAGTTGGGAGGGGGGGGACTGAAGCACCTTTAGAAGGAAGTCTTCCCCCTCCATTTGTTTTTTTGTGGGGGGCGACACGCAGACTGTCCTGAAACTTGCTATATAGACTAAGCTGGCCTCAAACTCACAGAGATCTGCCTGCCTCTCTCTCTGTGCTAAAAATAAAAGTGTGCATCACTATGCCTAATGTGGCCTGGAATTCTTGATCATCATCTTCTAGCCTAGTACCAGAGTACTAACATTATGGTACTGGAGTAATCGTTGTATGCCCAGCTTGGACCATTCTCATTTTAGCAAGTTCATTATGGATATATTGAAAAAAATTTTTTTTTATTTTTTTAAAAATATTTATTTATTTATTTTGTATACAGTGTTCTGTCTGCATGTATGCCTGCAGGCCAGAAGAGGGTACCAGATTTCATTACAGATGGTTGTGAGCCTCCATGTGGATGCTGGGAATTGAACTCAGGACCTCTGGAAGAACAATCAGTGCTCTTAACCTCTGAGCCATCTCTCCAGCCCCTGAAAATTTTTTTGTGATAAACATATTCATTAGAGAATTTAGCTTAATTGACTGACATGTGCTCAGACTAGAAATGTCAACTTAGGAATTGTAAATATAAATTTTAATATAATTAAAATCATGGAGCATCTTCTGGCTTTTCCCTAGGGCATAGAAAGCTGAAGACAGTCTTATTCCTACCTAACACAAGAGTAAGTTCCATAATCTAATCTACAGGCCGCTGGCTTTTGAGACTTACAGAAGTTGAAGGTGGGATGTCATATGAGGAGGGAAGGATAAGTCATCTACCTCTTTTTTTTCTATTGGTGTTTTGAGACGGGTTTCTCTGTGTAGCCGTTGCTGTCCTGGATCTACCTCTGTAGACCAGGCTGGCCTTGAACTCACAGAGATCTTCCTGCCTATGCCTCCCAAGTGGCAGACAAGTCAACTACATTTTAAGACAAGGTCTCACATAGCTCAGGCTAGCCTCAATTTCACTGTATAGTGAAAGGTGGCCTTGAACTCTGATCTTTCTACCTCTGCTTTAGCGGCACTTGCTTGGATTACAGGTGTCTGTTATTCCTAGCTATCAGCTACATTTTAAAGTTATTTATTATCATTTTGAGTGGTGGTATGCACATGCCATGACACATGATTTGGGATAGATAACATGCATAAACAGAGGGATTGCAGAAGAGGGAATTGGATGTTACATTAAGGATTACTAGAAATAAAAATAGTATAAGTTAGTAGGGTTTATTAGACTCGACACGATTGAAGAGTCAGTGAACTTGAAGATAGACAAGTCGAAATCACCCAGATGGAAAACAGAAAGGAAAGGGGGAAGAACAGAGCATCCAGGAACTACAGGGGAGGTGTCTGTTACATAGTCACGCTGCAGATGAGATTGCTGAGATGTGAATCTAGTTGGGGAAGACTTCACTGGGTGTGTCTTGGGGTTCCACTGTTCATATGGAAACATTTGGTGCTACTGATAAAGGCTGACCTGTCTTCTAAGTCCAGGAAGGCCGTGGTGTGCCTTATGGAGAATGTAGATATGTCAGGTACCAGGGTGAAGTAGAATGCTGTTTACTGCCAGTCAATGGTAATAAATTAACTAGATATCAAGTAAGGTATCTTGATACCTGTTTGTTTTTGTTTTTTTGTTTTTTTTGGTTTTTCGAGACAGGGTTTCTGCCGGGCGGTGGTGGCGCGTGCCTTTAATCCCAGCACTCGGGAGGCAGAGGCAGGCGGATCTCTGTGAGTTCGAGGCCAGCCTGGTCTACAAGAGCTAGTTCCAGGACAGGAACCAAAAAAAAGCTACGGAGAAACCCGTCTCGAAAAATCAAAAAAAAAAAAAAAAAAAGACAGGGTGTCTCTGTGGCTCAGGCTATCCTGAAACTCACTCTGTAGACCAGGCTGGCCTCAAACTCACAGAGATCCGCCCGTCTCTGCCTTTCAAGTGCTGGGATTAAAGGCGTGTGCCACCACCCAGTGGTATCTTAAATCTTAAAACCAAAATGTATATTGATGAGTGGACCACATATTTCCCTAGGACATTGATTGGTTCATGGTGTGAACACCTGCAGACAAGAACCATCTGTGTTTCTCAGCAGCTTCACAGAAGGCTTTGATAAGGACTGTTTTAGTGGATGTCAGGATAAAAAGGAAGAGGAGAAAAATGAATGGACAAATTGTAGAATGAATCAACAGCTCCCTCCAGCTTACTTTTATGTGTATGAGTGCACGCACACCTTTGTGAATTAATGTTCTCTGTGTGTGTAGGTGCCCTAGGAGACCAGAGGACATTGAATCCCTTGGAACTGTAGTTACAGGTGATTGTAAGCTACCAAGTAGGCTCTAGAAACTGAACCTACATCCTCTGCGAGAGGCGTGAGCACTTTTGATCTCTGAGCCATTTCTCTAGTCCTGAGAAGTTGCTTTGTTTCTTTTGGTTTTTCAAGAGAAGGTCACTCTGGTTGTCCTGGAACCCACCCTGTAGACCATGCTAGCCTGTAACTCACAAAATTGGAGTTTGGTTTTGTTTTTAAGGAGGAATTGGCTGGGCAGTGGTGGCGCACACCTGTAATCCCAGCACTTGGGAGGCAGAGGCAGGTGGATCTCTTTGAGTTTGAGGCCAGCCTGGTCTACAAGAGCTAGTTCCAGAATAGGCTCCAAAGCTATAGAGAAACCCTGCCAAAAAGGGGGGGGGGGGGGGGATTGGAATCTTTTATTCACAAATGCATTTTTTTTATAATTAAAATTTGTGTTTGTTTTTTGTGTGCTTTTTGTCATGACTCACTATATAGCTCTTGCTGCCCTATAATCTGGCATTTGGACAGGCTGGCCTCAGTCTGCCTCCGAGTGCTGGGTTAAAGGCAAGTACCACCATACCGAGCTCAATCTCTAGGACTGGGTTTCATTATGGCATTTTCTTACGTATGGGTCATTATATTTCGTTCTCATTTGTTCCCCCGCCACCACTCCATGCCACCCCACCTCTGTCCTTCCTTCAGTTAGTCTTCTCTCCAGCATTCTTATCTCTCTATAACTTAAGGTCTCTTGATCTCTCACGGTCCCTTCTAGACAATCCCCTGCCCCCCTTCTGTCTCTGTCTCATTTTCAGTGTGTTTGTATCTGCGTGCCTGTCTCTGTCTTTTAAATGTTGTCTCTGCGTATGAAAGAAAACACATTTATTTTTCTGAGTCTGATATTTTTGCTTAATGTATTATTTCTAGTTTCATCCATTTTCCTATAAAGGTCATGTCTTCCATTTTCTTTACAACTGAATAAAATTTTACTGTGTATATATGTACTACATTTTCTTTATTCGCTGCTGATGGGCATGGCATGTAGGCTAGTTCAACTTCCTACTTATTGTGAACAGTGCAGGCGTAAATGTGGATGTGGTATTTTGACTGAGAGTCCTTCCAGTATATAGCTAGGAATAGAATGGCTGGGTCATATGGCAGCTTTATTTTTACTTTTTTAAGAAACCTGCATACTGGCTGCACTCGTTTTTATATCGTGTATTAGATCTTCTATTTCTGTAAGGAATGTCATTGACATTGTAATGAGAATGTCACTGACTTCTAGATTGCTTTTGGTAGTATAGCATTTGCATCTTGTTCTGCTGATCCATGCGTGAAATGGTCTCTCCATCTTTTAAAATTTACATTATATTCCCTAGATTTATTTCTAGGTTTTTTTTTAAAGATTTATTTAGTTATTATGTACACAGTTCAGCCTCCATGTATGCCCGCATGCCAGAAGAGGGCACCAGATCTCATTACAGATGGTTGTGAGCCACCGTGTGGTTGCTGGGAATTGAACTCAGGACCTCTGGAAGAGGAGTCAGTGCTCTTAACCTTTGAGCCATCTCTCCAGCCCCTTATTTCTAGTTTTTTATTATCACTGGAAGGTGTTGTAAAATGGGGTTGTTAATTTCTATACTAGGGCATAGAACATAACTGATTTTTGTGTGTAGCTTTGTGTCCTGTTGCTTTGGAGACAGTGTCAGATCTAAGCATTTTCTGGTGGGGTTTTAAGGTCTTTACAAATAGGATCAGACTAACCATTTGGCTTAGCCAGTAAAAGTACTTTGATGATCTGAATTTGATGAAAAAAGGTAACAGATGTGTTGTGAGCTGCCGTGTGGGTGCTGGGAACTGAACCGAGGCTGCGCAAGGACAGTGAGTGCTCTGAACTAGTCACCACTGCCTCCCGTGACTTCTCTGCTGCTACTTCCTGAAGTATTTCATTGTGTCTGCCTGAGAGTCTGACACATCTGTACAGGTGCTTTTGGAAGTGAGATAGCAGTGGGATCCCTTAGGAGTGAAGTTGTAGGCTGCTGTGAGCTGTCCCTTGTGGGTATTGGGAACCAGCCCCGGTCCATCTCTCCAGTCTCCTTCATCAATTTAAAAAGGTAATTGTGTTGAATATAATAATCGTGGTTGGCTATTATTTACTTTGAGAGTTTGGAGTGTACTGTTTCATGGTTTTGGCTTATGTTTCTGTAGAGGCTAATGTAGGTTTTCTTTTTTTTTTAATATTTATTTATTTATTATGTACACAATATTCTGTCTGTGTGTATGCCTGCAGGCCAGAAGAGGGCGCCAGACCTCATTACAGATGGTTGTGAGCCACCATGTGGTTGCTGGGAATTGAACTCAGGACCTTTGGAAGAGCAGACAATGGTCTTAACCTCTGAGCCATCTCTCCAGCCCCCTAATGTAGGTTTTCTTATGTGAGTCAATGTTTTTTTTATTAGAGATTTTAGTTTTTTTTTCTCGAGTCTACTATTTTACTATGTGTTATTAAAAGGTCATGTGACTAACCCCCTCTTGTGCTTCATGTCCTCCGCCTGAGTTTGATAAGGTTTGTGTCATAATTTCATTGAATATGTTTTCTGTACCTTTAACTTTCACCTCAGTTCTTAGCTTTTCTCTTTTCCTCTCCTTCTCTTCCTCCTCTTTACATTTTTGAGACAAGTTTCATGTTGAGCAGAGGGCCCCTGGCAGCTTTACAGTCAGGCAGAAGTCTAGACAGGTGCCCACTGTAACAGGTCCTCACCTGAGGTATGTACATTCAGCTCTTCCAGCTGGTTTGTTGCTGTTTTAATATTTTTATTAACATAATCATCTGAGAAAGAACTGTCTTGATGTCAGTAACTGACACAACAATATTAACTGCTGGAATCCTAAGTCTCAGCTGGCAGAGCTCCAGAGTCAGGGCTCCCTTCCTCCCCTCGTCCCTGTAATTTCCTTTTAGAGCTCTTCCTTCTGGTTCCCTTTGTCCCCTCTTCCTGGGCCCTCCTTGCCCCTTAACCCCTTGCGGTTATTATTTTAAATAAGGCGATCTTTTCTTATTTTACATAACAATTCCACTCCCTCCTCTCCTCAGCTCCCCCACCTACCTCCTACCCTGCCCACCATCCCAGGGCAAGGCTTTCTGTGGGGAGTCAACAAAGTCTGGTATGTCACTCTGAGGTGGTCCCAAGGTCCTCCCCTCAATATTTAGGCCAAGCAAGGTGGCCTTCCAAAAAAGAATAGGCTCCAAAAACCCAGCTCAAGCAGTAGGGATAAATCCTGGTCCCACTGCCAGTGACCACAAAGACTTCTCCAACCACACATCTGTCAGCCACAGTCAGAGGGCCTACTTTTGTCCTATGCAGGTTCCCCGCTGTCAGTCCAGAGTCAGTGAGCTCTCACTAGCTCAGGTCAGCTGTTTCTGTGGGTGTCCCCATTATGGTCATGGCCTCTTTGCTCATATCATCGCTCCTCCCTCTCTCGAGCTGATCTCTGGAAGCTCAGTCCAGTGCTTAGCTGTGGATCTCTGCATCTGCTTCCATCAGTTGCTGGATGAAGGTTCTATGATGACAATTAAGGTAGCCATCAATCTGATTACAGGGAAAGGCCAGTTCAGGAATCCTCTCCATTACTGCTTAGCTGGGCTCATCCTTGTGGATTCCTGGGAAGTTCTCCGGTGCCAGATTTCATGCTAGCTCCATAATGGCTCCCACAATCAAGATATCTCTTTTCTTGATCTCCTCCTCTGCCCTCCCCCCCATCTCAGCTGTCCTGTTTCCTCCCCTCCTCTTCCTCTTACACCCCCTCCCCCTTGCTCCCATATTTCCCCTTCCCTGGAGGATCCATGTATGTCCCTCCTTGTTCTCCTTGTTCCCCAGCTTCTCTGGGATTGTGGACTGTAGGGTATCCCCTTCTGAGTGAGTACACACTGTGTTTGTCTTTCGTGGTCTAGGTTACTTCACTCAGGACGTTGTTTTTTCTGGTACCATCCATTTGCATGCAAAGTCTGTCTTTTTGTTCTTTAGCTCTGAGAACTCTCATCTTTTAATTCACCACTGCTTTATCGTGCCTGCAGGTGTACAGGCAGAAATTATATACATAATAAAGAAATCTTGAAAAAAAGGGCTCAGTAAAAACTATATTATAACAAATTATAATAGATACTGTATTAATTAACAAATCTCTATTCCTGAAAAGTTCTAGGTGTGTCAGGTATCAGGATAGGATTGCATTTTTCCTTCCTTTGGGGGGTACAGGGGTTGGGTTTGAGACAGGATTTCTCTATGTAGCCCTGACTGTCCTGGAACTCACTTTGTAGACCTGGTTGGCCTCAAACTCAGAGATCTACCCACCTCTGTCTCCTGAGTTCTAGGATTAAAGGCATTTGGCACCATCGCCTGGCTAGCATTGCATTTTTCAGTATATATCCAGCAGCCAGCATGTTTAAGGTTATTCCTTCAAGCTGTACGTAGTGGTGCATATCTTAATCACAGCACTTGGGAGGCAGAGGCAGGTGGACCTCTGTGAGGATTCATTTGTTTGTTTATTTATTGGTTTTCAAGACCGGGCTTCTCTGTGGCCCTGACTGTCCTGGAATTCTGTAGACCAAGGCTGGCCTTGAACTCAGAGATCAGCTTTTGCCTTCCCGAGTGCTGGAATTGAAGCTGTGTGCCACCACTGCCCGGCTAGTCTTTAATTTCTGTATCCTCATTTTGGGGTGCCATTGAAAAACACAGAACTGAGCCACGTGGTGGTGCACTCCTTTAATCCCAGCACTTGAGAGGTAGGGGCAATTGCAAGCCAGCCTGGTCCGTGGAGCAGTTCCGTGACAGCCAAGGTTACACAGAGAAACCTTGTCTCAAACAAAAAAATCAAATGAGCATCTGTTAAGTGAAGGACAGATTTTAGACTACTGCAGCATGGTAGACTAGCATCAGCTGAACCATACTCTGTTACGACAAAAGGAGAAAGAGGTGTGTGTGGGTGTAGATGTATAAGTACCACATGTGGAGTGCCCTGTGCCTTGTGAGTCATGGGGAGGCCGGATATTGACCATGGTGTCTTTCTCAGTCCTTCTACATTTTAATTGCTGAGGAGGTTTGCTCACTGGTGTGGCTGTAGTAATTGGTCAGCAAGCTCCAGGAATCCTCCGCCTCTACCATTGCAACACTGGGACCCCAGATGTGCGCTGCTGTGCCAGGAACTCAGTTCCTGTGCCCGTGCGGCAAGCATTCCAACCAGTGAACCGTTTCCCCAGAGTTGGAGCTTTGTAAGCACTGGGGTGTACTAAGAGTTCAGAGGACCTTAGTGTGTGTCGGCCACCTGTGATTGCTGAGTGGCATTTGTCACAGTTAGGCTCCTTCCACAGAGCAGGAGCCCCATTTTGAAGGGGATATACTCAGGTTTTTGAAAGACATTTCTGTGTTGTGGATGATTTATGTCTCAAGGGGCAGAAAATAATTTGTTTTCCTGAAGAGTGAAGATGGACCTAAGAGTCACACCCTAGCTAGCACAGACAGTGATTTAAATTCTTTTGGCAGAGGTGTGCTGCTGAGGCCTTTCTAAGGGGCTGAGGAAACTGGGGGTGTTCCATTGTGGAGCAAGCCTTGAAAGGTCTGGGGTGGACTTGAGTTTACCATCAGATTTCCACAGAAATTGCCGTTGTGTTGTTGAAATTTCACCCGAAATACTTGACGTTTTAGAGAAGATAGTGCTCAAAGTTGGATGTTCTGGTCCTTTGCTCTTGATTACTTGAATTGTTTTCAGTCAGGTCTTCTTAGAAGAGCATGAAACTGTGTTGGGATTTAGCCCAGTAGTGGAATGCTTGCTAGGCCCCTTGTTTGGTCCTCTGGGTGCACAGTCGGTTCCTCAACCGGGAGATCCCTTTTGTCTTTACCTTCCCACTGCCCTTCTCTGGGCTTTGGGGTGGTCCTTTAGGATTGCCTTAGGACCTCTGATCCCATGTCGTCTTTCCAGGAGGCTGTCGGGGAAGTAAAGTGCCAGTCATACTTTCTTCATGACCACACAGTGACTGGCAGGGTTGTCTGATTAGTGTTTTGTCAGTTCGAGTACAGTCTGATCTGTGTAGCGGGTTCCAGAAGAGCCAGGGGCACATAGTGAGGCCCTGGGGTGGGGGTGGGGGTGACATCTGTGACACCTCGATCAGTGAAAGCACTGTTAGTGGAGGGCCACTTGTTCCTTTTTCGTGTCAGATGCACATTAGTTGTGAACTCTGCAGAACTCTGAGGGTTTGCTTTCTTTTTTGAGACAGGGTGTCACTGTTTAGTCCTGACTGGCCTCAAAACATGGTCTTCCAGCTTCCTGAGCTCCGGGGTCACCGTAATGAGCTGCCATATCAGGCTGGAACTCATTCATTGAAGACGATGATTAAAATGTGCAGCAAGCTTTCCCACACTAGCATGGCCTCTGTGATAGTGAAGGGAAGGATTTGGATTGAGGCTAGCTGTGCAGAGGGCTGGCTTCCAGAGCCTGTTTGCATTGTTTTATGTTTGATCTTGAAAAACAAACAAACAAACAAAAAATGAAGCCAGGTATCCTAATCCAGTTTTAGGCAAATGTTTGGTTTTTAGTTCATTTGAAGAGTTAAAAATGGCTGAGCTGTGGTGGCACACCTTTAATCCAGCCCGCTTTACAGAGTGAGCTCCAGTACAACAAGAGCTACATAGAGAAACATCTCTACTTAAAGCTTGGTTTCAAAATGTTCAAGAATAGTTAATGTTTACTGTGTATCTGCCACACATATTGGTTCATTTAATCATGAGATGAGACAACGCTGATGCCGACCGCTACAGTTCTTGAAATACCTACCCCCACCATCTCTTCCTCCAAAACTGGCCGGGCCTTCGCTGGTTTCCCAGGGCAGCTCACTCCCTTGTCTGGTTTCTATCTCCTCCTACTCTTACCAGTCTACTAATGGTAAAGGATTCTTGAGTTAAGTGTGATTGCCTGTTTTAATTTTATGGCTTTAAGGACTCCAAAAAGCTTTGCCTTTCCAGTTGTAAGTATTTACTCTTACTATCTTAAATTATGTGTACTTGTGAGTACCTGCACATATGTGCAGGTGCCTGTGGAGGCCAGAGGTATCAGTCCTTCCAAGGCAGCATGGCATGGCTGCTAGGAATTGACCTCCGTCTTCTGGAAGAACAGAACAGCTCATAATCACTGAACCATCTCAATTCCCAGCCTCCCACACGCATCCATCTAGCACAGACCTTGATCCAGCAGTCTCCTTAGGACAGTTATCTACAGGCAAAGTACATGTCTAAATATGGTGCAGGGTGCGATCAGAAGTAGGTTTATTTTTAACCAGCAGAATATCATTTAAAGGTTTATTTACATATGTATTTTATTTATGAGTGCTTTGTCTACATGCTGGGAATTGAACTTCAAACCTCTAGAAGAGCAGCCAGTGTTCCTAACGGCTGAACCATCTTTCCAGTTCCCAGCTAGTATCATTTTATTTGCGACATAAGCTTTATTGTTAGCCCTGTACTGTATTGTATGTTCTGATTTCTTTTCTTTCTTGGTTTCTTAGGACAGGGTTTCTCTGTCCTAGAACTTGCTCAATGGACCCACCTGCCTGTGCCTCCTGAGTGTTGGGATTAGAGGTGGCACCTTGCCCAGTCTAAGTGTTTGTTCAGTTGCTGTCCTTCCCCTTTCCTCCTTTTAGATCTTAGGAGTGATGTGCAGTGAATTTGGGTGACGGAAGACAGATCATTTTGAAAGTAACAACTTCATTCTTTGCCCATCTGTATTCTTCAGCATATTAAAATCAGTTCTGATTTTTAGGTATCATCTTTATCAGAAAGTGAGGAGTCTCAGGACTCATCTGACAGCATAGGCTCCTCACAGAAAGCTCACGGGATCCTGGCCCGGCGACCATCGTACAGGTTGGTACTTTGTTTTCAAATGTGTTCAGATAGTTAGTTCTGTGAAATCTAAAGAGGGCAAGCATGGTTAGGCAAAGTCACGATCTTAAGAGAAGTAGGTTGGAGCCTGACGTGGTGGTGCACACCTTTAATCCCAGCACTTGGGAGGTCTGCAAGTAGTACAACCAGCTGACAGAAAGCCTTTGGGGTTAGGTGTCTGTAGTTTTATATGGATAGTAGTAGGGATATATTTCGAGTAAATGAATTTATTACAAGTTCATGGTCGAATTGACCAACAATAGAGGCTGTGTGGTAAGAGGACTCAGAGACAGTATGACAGAGTACGTAAACAGTGTAGTAAGATTTCAGGAGGTGTGAGAGAAGTATGTGAAATGTCCGATGTGAGTGAGAAGACACGAGACACAAACCCACTTAGGAGTTTATTAGAGGAGGAAGGTGCTTACAGGCCTGAGGAAACAGTGTATGGAGAGGGAGGGGGGGAGGGAGGTGCGTGCGTCCAGCTTTTAAAGGCTGCCTGGCACATGCGTACAGGGGGAAGATGTGCCTACATCACACACTGAGAATGGTGGACCCCCCCCCACGCCTTGCATGTGCACACAGAGGGTTTGCGTGAGTGTTCACACACTGGCGCAGGTGACAGGCCACCCACGCATGCGCTCAAGGGTTTAGTTGAGTCGCACGTGGGTCACACAGGCCCTTTGTTCCCAAGGGTCCACCCACACGTGCCTGCCTTTAGGACCCAAAAATGCAGCCTTATGGGTGGCTGAATAATTACAGTATGTGTAGGGTCAATCTATATAGTATAAATAGACAAGAATCCCTAAGATTGTATATCTGAAGCGCCATGCCTAATTGAGATAACCAGCTTTATTAATTCCTTAAATTAATTTCCTTACATAGAAAAGATTGATTTGGCTCAGTCTTACTGGTTTTGACTCATGATTGGCTCCATTGTTTTGGAGCCTGTCACGGTTAGAAGCACAGATAAGAACTTGATAGTGCATAGGCAGCAAAGGCAGATGGGTCCCAGCACCCTCCCTATTCGAGAACACATTCCCTGCCACTTGGCCCACTGTCTCAGCAAAGCACAAATTCATCATCAAACTTTTAACACGTGATACTTCAGAGGACACTTCCCCAAAACAAAGTGACAAATTGGGTGGTAGGGAAAATTGTTAAGAATGTAATTAAAAACTATAAAAAGCTAAAGTCATGAAATTACCAGGGATTCCATGTCTGATTTAAATCAAAAAAGACATCAAGAGGAATTAAACCCTAACACTAGAACAGGAGACTGGGAAGACCTTGAAAATAAAGAAAACTGAGAAAGATAGTCCTGCAGTCTACTGGGAAATCAAAAACAAGCATTACAGCAGTTAGGTGTGACTGAAGAATTGGGTAGTTGGAGGTAAAGGAAAGCTGAGTAGATTACCTAGGATGAGCACAGAAAGTAAATAGGAGTGAGGAGGCAGGTGATAGACTTGCAAGGCGCAACCTACGGCTATCTAACTTACTCGCAAAGAAGACAATGGGCACTTGTAGCTACTCTTAGTTGAGGATGGGTTTCTACAGCCTGGGCTATTAGCTTCAGAAAGCCAGATCCCAGAGGGGAAATGCATGCAGAGTCTTCAGGAGAGAAAATTGGAGAATACCAAATTTAAACATGATTTTGTTTCTCTAGGCTGGCAAACATGCTAGGCAAGCTATCACTGAGCTGTGTTCCCAGCCCAGATAAATGTTTGATCTTAAAAAGCTTCTAAAAAGAGAAAGATTAGAGAGGAATGACCATTAAGCTAATAAACAACAGGCATTTTGAACAGCATCATTAAACAGTAATGGGCTAATGTCTACCTTTTGGCCTAGAATTCTGTACTCGGGGATGTAGTCCAGTGGGTTGCATCTTGCTTACACGTGCCTGAGTTTGTCCTTGTGCTACCTCAAAGATGAGTGTTTCCTTACTTGTTACTGTTGGCTTCTTAGAACACTACCTGTGACTCATTTGGTAGCTTGGTAACACAATAGGGAACTGGAAATGTTTGTCAAAGGTAGATGGTCACTTACCTATATGTGCAAGGCCCTGGGTTTGGTTCCTAATACCACAGGAAGGAATTGGAAGGAGGGAAATTATGGAGACACTCCAGGCAGGAATTTTATATTGATTCCTGTCGACCAATCTCAAACTCTTAAAAGTAGTCACTAAAAGAACCAAAAGGTTGGATCTTTAAACTTGCACAGAACTTCTTGAATCAAATACTTTCTTGCACCCACTTCAGTAAGCAGAAAACCACCTGCGTAGAAGTATAAATGGTGAAACCATGAGGGGCGGTGGTAGTGCACTTTTAATCCCAGCACTAGGGAGGCAGAGGCAGAGGCAGGCAGATCTCTGTGAGTTCGAGACCAGCCTGGTCTACTGAGCTAGTTCCAGGACAGCCAGGACTGTTGAACAGAGAAACCCTGTCTTGAAGGGGGGGGGGGGACAAAAAGGTGGGGGGGACCAGATGGAGGATGGAAGCATGAAGAGCAAGTCCGGAGTACCTGACTGCCTTATGTGCTGTAGGAAGGGACTCGACTGGGTTTTGTTCACTAAGCTGAGCCCTGAAGGAGCCTAGAATCTGAGAAGCTTCCCAAGGTAAGACTTGTAGCTGTCCGTAGATTACTCAAAGATGAATACAACTGAGAATTCTAAAATATACATGGAGGTGAACTACCTGAAAAATCAGAAAAGGAACTTGTGACGGTTGTCATCCAACCTTGCACACACACATACACACACACACACACACACACACACACACACACAATAAATAAATAAATCCGTAAATGACAAAGAATCCACAGAAAAAAATACTTGGCAGAAAAACTTTATGATATTCACCACCCAAAGCCTAGAAATTGCTTCATAAGCACATGTGGACTTGGAACTGAAGGATGCACAGGAGAAGCTGTGGCTCAGATCCTAGCTGCTGTCCTCGGGATAGATCCAATCAGCACTGCAGAAGCTCTGAGAATTAAATTAATACTGGAACCACAGTAGACAGCTGGCTGATCAGAACTTGTAGCTTGGACATAACTAGATTGATAATAACCTAAAACAGTAAGAAATTCTCTTTAAGGATTCGGACAAGACTCAGAAGTTGATAAAAGAATACCGAAAATGTCGAAATCACTTAGCATATAACCTGAAAACGTCCTTCCTTGGGTTTGCAGGGGAGGGCTGTCTGCAGATTCGAATACCTAGATATGGAATACCTAGATATTAATACCTAGATGATGGAATTATGTGGTAGAAACTTAGGACTGTTAACAAAAATGTTCTAGCAAGTAAAGAGTTAGTCCTCCAGAAATAAATGGAGACAGACCCTCTGGGCAGACTTAAAGAGAAATGTAACAGAAGTAGAACTCATGTGTTCAATAGGAGAATGGGGTGAAAAGAAAAAAAATTCATCAATTTTGGAGAATAGTGAAAAGAGGCAGGAAGGTTCTCTGGTACCCATGAGATATAAGGCTACTTAGCACTGGGGGCAGAAGAAGGGTGTGGCATTGAGAAGGGAGCATACACCCTAACGTTGAAGTGTAGTGACGGCTGCACACCCCTGAGCATAGACACACTGCAAATGGACTAACTGCATGGTAGTTGAATTATCTTCAAACCTCTTATTTTAAAAGGCAAAGATGATTAGAACAGATTAATAAGAGACTCACTTCATATATAGTGCTGTACCTGGGCTAAAGTTGGATAGCTGAAGACAAAGGCAAACTCTTAATACAGAGACTGGGATGACTACATCAGTATCACAAAGGAATATCAGAAATACAGAGGTGCAACTTGAGAATATTTAGGAGGATAGAGCAATCCAGATGTGTATGAATGTTAGAGAAGAACTTCACAGTATATGTGTCAAAGCTAACAATTGAAAAGTGACTCGGAGGGCTGGAGAGATGGCTCAGAGGTTAAGAGCGTTGCCTGCTCTTCCAAAGGTCCTGAGTTCAATTCCCAGCAACCACATGGTGGCTCACAGCCATCTGTAATGAGGTCTGGTGCCCTCTTCTGGCCTTCGGGCATACACACAGACAGAATATTGTATACATAATAAATAAATATTTAAAAAAAAGTGACTCGGAAAAGCAGCTTGATATTAAAGTTAACATTAGCAACCAGCAAGATCAAATGGTTTTGGGAGACATCACCAAACAACTGTTCAAAGCACATTCATGTACCACACTGAGTGTGGTAGCTCATCCCTGTAAACCTAGGCTTGCAAAGCTGAAGCAGGAGGATTACTTCTGAATTTGAGGCCAGCCTATACTACAGAGTTTCAGGCCAACCTGATGTATAGAGTAAGACCTTGTTTCAAAGACAAAAGTGCTATGTCTGGTGACATAGGAAGGTAGAGTTCTTGACGTCATCCTGTTCTGCACAGCTACAGATCAATCAGGGTAAGGCTCTGTTTCAGAGGAAGAAAAAAGGAAATGACACATCTGGGTTACTGGCAAACCTAACTTTTTTTTTTTTTTTTTTACCTTTTAGCAGATTCAACATGTATTTATTTATTAAGGAAAAGAGTGCTTTCAAAAAAAGATTTCAAGAGAGGAGTGCCCCTAGCAGTCTAAAAGAACTGAAATCATGTATGCTCTCCTAGAATTAGACTAGAAACCAATGATAGAAATGTAATGGAAAATATCCAAATAATTGGAAATTAAACTAAGAAACCATTCATTTGCCAAGCAAAGTTTTTTTTTTTTTTTTTTTTTTTAAAGATTTATTTATTATGTATACAACATACGCCTTGATGTATGCCCGCATGCCAGAGAAGGGCGCCAGACCTCAGTACAGATGGTTGTGAGCCACCATGTGGTTGCTGGGAATTGAACTCAGGACCTCTGGAAGGGCAGCCAGTGCTCTTAACCTCTGAGCCATCTCTCCAGCCCCCAAGCAAAGTTTTTTCGGTTTTTCGAGACAGGGTTTCTCTATGTAGCCCTGTGTAGGCGGAGTTTTTCACCTAGACAACTGGCTCCCCAATAAACACACAGAGACTTCTTACTGATTATAAATGCTTGACTAATAGCCTAGACTTTTTACTCACCAGCTCTTACAACTTAAGTGAACCATTTCTACTAATTTACGTGCTACCACATGGCTTATGGCTGGTTAGCTCATTTTCTACAAGACCTGCTTCCTCTGCATCTGGCTGGCAGCTCTGCCTTTCTTCCCAGCATTCTCTCAGTCTCACTCACCTGCCTCATCTCTTCCTGCCTAGGTAGTGGCCATTGGCCCTTTATTAAACCAGTGAGAAAAACACATCTTCACAGTGTACAAAAGGATTATTCCACAGCACCCAGACTGGCCTCGTGGGTGCTAGAATAAAGGTGTGCACCAGCACTGCCTGACTACAGACAGGAAGTCTTGAAGTCAGAATTCTGTTGTTACTGTTTTTTGAGACGTGATCTCTTCGTTTAGCTCTGACTGGTCTAGAACTTGGAGCAATCCTCCTGATGGAGCCACTGGGGTGCTAAGATTAAAAGTGAGCTGGGCTACCATGCCCAGCTTGCATTTTAGTTTTCATCAATTAAAAGTACTTTTTAATGCTAAGAATATACTTCGGTTGGTAGAATGCTTGCCTGTTATACTTATTTCCCAACACTGCATAAACCACACAGTAGTCTCAGCACTTGAGAGGCAGAAGATCAGAAGGTCTTGGTCTGACTAGCATGACTCAACAGGTAAAGTGACCTGTTTCCAAGCCTGCTAACCTTAGTTCAGCCCCTCGGACCTTTGTTGTGAGAAAGGAACCCATTGCCCTCTGGCGCGCGCGCGCGCGCACACACACACACACACATATAAACTCTAATAAAAATGCTTTCTAGAGCCAGACTGCTGGCACACGTTTCTAATCTGAGCTCTTAAGAGGAGACAGGAAGATGAGGAGTTAAAGATCATCCTTAGCTAGGAAGAGAGTTCTGTACTAAACGAGATTGTCTAGGGTTTTGTCTGCAAAATACCAAATTTTGTGGGATGTAACTCAAAACATCAATTACTGGAAGATGGACAGCATTAAAGCCACCTGGCTAGGGTATATAACTTTAATCTCGGCACTTGAGAGGCAGAGGAATTCTGAGTTGGAAGGCAACCTTCCAGCTGGTGAGTTCCAGTACAGCAGGTGCTGTGTAGAAAAGACCCTGTCTCAGGATACCAAGATAAGGGAGTATTCAGCGTGTTATGATCAAAATGAAGTTCAGTCCCTTCATGACTTTCTGACCTAAGCAAGAACCACAAAGAGCATTTCAAAACACCGTTTCACATTCAGAGGAAGGTTATGTCTTCCCCTCTTTCCAAAAACCTGAGACAGAAGTACAGCGGTTAATCTGTGCCCATTCAAGAGGATGATGAAGTTCAGGTTGTCTGAGGACACTACAAAGGCCAGCAGATTGGCAAAGTCGTCCAAGTGTACAGGAAGAAATGCATCATCTATATTGATTTATTGCAGTGAGAAAAGGCTGTTGACACAAGTGTCCGTGTGGGCATCCACCCCAGCAAGGCTATCACCAGCTGGACCATGACTACAAAAAGATCCCGAAAAGTGAAGTCAAGTCTCCGCATGTAGGAGAGGAGAAGGGCAAATACAAGGAAGACATGATTGTGACAATGCAGGAGAGAGCCATCAGCCCCTGGGTCGTCCTCTGATGGCCACATGTACACCATGCAATTCAGAGTTCGTATTATTTTCAGTGTTAAACTATTAAATATTTAGAACATTAGTAAACATTAGAATATAACATAAGCCGTCTATGCACCGTATACCAGGTAACATTATAACATACTGCTTCAGGTTGGTACCTTTTCTGCAGAGTGCTCTTCCCTAAGCTAGTGTGTGCCATTCCCGTGTGTAGTCTCTTAGGTTTTTGACAGGAGTTAATATTCTTCCCAACGTAACCTTGATAACCTTGGAGAGCCCGTGGGAATGCAGTTTCTGAGTTTTTATGGTAGTAGGTCTACTCTTGTTTCTGAGTACTGTGGGCTTTTCTTCCACTACAGATGATTTGAAGTTGAAAAGGCCACTTCAACTTCCTAAGTGAAGGACACTTGAGGACAGAACCTTCTTTCCTGGAGAGAAGGAAGTAGTACAGCTATACAGAGCCTTTGCACCTAGAGAGGTGCTCTCTGTTCTTTGTTCAGTGTGTAACCAACACAGCGTAACAGACCTCGAGTACATCACTGTAATGAGAAATGCTAAGCATAAGAATTCCTTAATCCCCTAGGACCTCTTTTGTTTGTTTGTTTGGTATGGTTTTTCAAGACAAGTTTTCTCTGTAACAGCTCTGGCTGTCCTAGGACTTGCTCTGTACACCAACTGGCCTCTAACTCACAGAGATCTGCCTGCCTCTGCCTCCTTAGTGCTGAGGTGAATGATGTGTGCCACTTTTTTTTTTTTTAATGTGCATTGGTGTTCTGCCTGCATGTATGTCTGTGTGAGGATGTCAGATCCCCTGGAACTGGGGTTATAGACAGTTGTGAGCTGCTTTGTAGGTGCTGTGAATTGAACCAGGTTCTTTGGAAGATTCGCCAGTGCTCTTAACCACTGAACCACCTCCCCGCAAGACTTCTTAACACTGGCTTGGGGCTCAACTAGGGTCGTGCTGTTTATTTTTTAATTTTTGGGGGGTTAATCTTACTATGTATCTCTGACTGACCTGGGACTCACAGATCTGCCTGCCTCTGCCTTTGGGATTAAAAGTGTGTACCACTGAGCTCAACTTGATTATTGTATTTTTTAAAAATTCAACAGTTATTTATTGAGCCCAACACACCCAGCTTTATATGTGCTCATGCACTTAAAAAATGAAAAGAAAAGGAGGCTGGAGAGTGGTGGCACATGCCTTTAGCCCCAGTGCTTGGATTGCTTAGAGAGGGATCTCTTGAGTTCGAGGCCAACCTGGAACAGAGTGAGTTCCAGAACAGGCAGGGGTACACAGAATTCTCGCATAAGGAACACTGCCCTCGTCAGGCCAGTTCCTTATCTGGATGAGTAGGGAAGCTGCTTGATTTCCTTGCTTGTAAGTCACTCACTTGTAGTTTTCTAGGAGTCCCACGTGCTGTTCCTGTGTTGGGCTCTTGTTTACCAGGACAAGTCTGGGAAGGTCTCCCTTTGTTCTCTCCTTTTGGAGTGTCTGCTGGCAGCTGTCTTTGTAGATCTGGGATAAGACTAGCTTAGTAGGGTTGAATCAGACCCGCTTTTCCTTTCTCTGGGACCCTGCCCCTTGATTCCCACTTCTCTCTCAAAGCAGGCTTCTCCTGGCAGTGTCAGCTACAGCAAACTGCTTCACAACAATGAGGCACAATTCCTTTCCTGTTGAGCTTGGAAATCTGGGGGGAAGGGGGTATTGCCATGTGGACTAAGCTGAGGTGAGTGCTGGAGCAGAGGTCTGTCCCATCCAGACAGTTGAACCTTAGGTAAAACTCTAGAATTCCTGAGTCAAGGTCATAGGAAAAAGAGTTTCTGAGTTTTAGAGCCATTCTTAGCAACAGCTCTTAGAAAGACTGCATTGTGGTGACTCAGACTCCGCTCTTTTTTTTTTTTTTTTTTTTTTTTTTTTTTTTTTGGTTTTTCGAGACAGGGTTTCTCTGTGGTTTTGGAGCCTGTCCTGGAACTAGCTCTTGTAGACCAGGCTGGTCTCGAACTCACAGAGATCCGCCTGCCTCTGCCTCCCGAGTGCTGGGATTAAAGGCGTGCGCCACCACCGCCCGGCCAGACTCCGCTCTTTTGTGACTCTGGGATCTGTGTCAGCAGCTGGCTGCGTCTAAAGACTTCATGCTCTCCAGGAGCTCCCTGGAGAATTCAAATGCGGTGGTTTGATAAAGCACACTGAGCTGATTTGTGGCTGGCTTCTGCTTTTGGTTAATTTCTTTTTTGTCTTTGAGATAGGTCCATTACTATGTGGCCCTTACTCATTTTAAATTCCTGATTCAAGTAATCCTCCTGCCTCAGCCTGCCAAACTGAAACAGAGGGCATACACTACCACACCTGATTACACCTGCGCTTGTAATCTGAACAGGTGTGGTGGCTCCTCCTGTTAGGCCAGCACTTGGGAAACTGTGTCAGGTGGGAGGGTCTCAAGTTTGATGCTACGCAGTCACGAAGAAAGTGTCTTCGTAAGGCACTGTCATTAACAGAGTTCTCTTCTTTTACAGAAAAATATTGAAAGACCTTTCTTCTGAAGATACACGGGGAAGAAAAGGAGACGGAGAAAATCCAGGCATTTCTGCTGTTACTTCTATGTCTGTTCCAACCCCCGTCTATCAGACCAGCAGTGGACAGTACAGTATGTATAGGAGTCGTTCCCGTATATATGCAGGCGCAGAGGACAGTACAGTGTGTACTTAAGAGAGCAGGAACATAGTATAATTCAGTGACAATGTCTGAGGTCTAAATTATGGTCCGCAGGTGGCAGGCATTCTGATGGCTGTTTCACTCGGTAGTAAATGAATATGTTACATTCTTTACCTTCTATTGTTGCTTGGTTGATTTTGATTTTTTTTTTTTCTTAACTGTTCTGGAACTCCCTCTGTAGGCCAGGCTGCCTTGAACTCAGAGATCTGCCTCTGCCTCCTAAGTGCTGGGATTAAAGGTGTGTGCCACCAAAGACAATGTAATTTTTTTTAACGTTTTAGTTAGTGTGTGTGCATAGGATGTGCGAAAATATCAGATGAACTCAGATCCTCAGGCAAACAACCTTTACTCACTAAGCCATTTCCCTAATCTTTAAAATATAATTTTGTTTGTTTGTTTATTTGTTTGTTTTGGTTCAGTTTGGTTTTTTGAGACAGGGTTTCTTTGTGCAGCTTTGGAACCTGTCCTGGAACTGGCTCTGTAAGACCAGGCTGGCCTTGAACTCACAGAGATCCACCTGCCTCTGCCTCCCAAGTGCTGGGATTAAAGGCATGTGCCACCACTGCCAGCCAAATGTAATATTCTTAATTCTCCCATTTTTTAAAAAATACCTATGCTAGCCTGTCTGGTCTTAAACTCTTGGTTGTACCTCCTAGGTGCTAGGATTATAGGTATGTGACCATGCCCATGTTCAGATAAAGCCCTAACATGTTTGTATTTCTTTGCCTTCACCCCCAAGGGGAAAGTTAGCCATTAGAACAAGCATAGTGATATAACATATGCCTTCTTGGCTCAATAGAGTCTGAGCACAGCCTAGACTACATGAGATAAGTATTTTAAAAAAGAAATAGTCGGGCTGGAAAGATGGCTCAGAGGTTAAGGGCGCTGGTGGCTCTTTCAGAGGTCCTGAGTTCAATTCCCAGTAACCACATCATGGCTCACAACCATCTGTAATGAGATCCGGCACCCTCTTCTGTCGTGTAGGCATACCTACAGACAGAGCACTGTATACATAATAAATCTTTAAAAAAAGAAAAAAGAAATAGTCATTAGCCATTGGATCTCTCATTAATGCCTCAGAAATTTCTTTGACAACATTAGCAATTAATGTGAAATGTCCATAAATTTCAAATTTTATGATTCATTGTGTATTAGCTTGAGACTAAATCTTGGGTAGTATGTCTAAACTTTATAAAGACATTGCTATTCTCAAGAGTGGTCAGTGATTTTGCCAAGTAGAATTACACTCAAACCTATTTTTTATCTATCTATCCATCCATCCACCCATCTGTGTATGTTGGTTTTTCAAGACAGGGTTTTTCTGTTTAGCCCTGGCTATCCTGGAACTGGACCAGGCTGGCCTCAAATTCAAAAGAGATCGCCTGCATCTGCCGGGATTAAAGGCGTGTGTCACCACACCTTGCCTTCAAACTTACTTAAATGTTCCTTTTTTATGCCTTTCTTTGAATTTGTATTATATAGCCTTATAACTATTTTTTTCTCTTTGGTTTAAGTTGCCATTGCCCCAAATGGAGCCTTACAGTTGACCAGTCCAGGAGCAGATGGAGTTCAGGGACTGCAGACATTAACTATGACAAATTCCAGCAATGCTCAACAAGGTACAATCCTTCAGTATGCACAGACTTCTGATGGACAGCAAATACTTGTCCCCAGCAACCAAGTGGTTGTGCAGAGTAAGTGTGCTCCTTATCTACAGACATGTCCAGTCCTTTCTGAGGCAGTGATGAGTAACTCACCTCTTTGGCCCTGCAGCTGCATCAGGAGATATGCAGACCTATCAGATCCGTACTACACCGTCTGCTACTTCTCTGCCACAGACTGTGGTGATGACTTCTCCTGTGACCCTTACATCTCAGGCAACAAAGACAGATGACCCCCAGCTGAAAAGGGAAATACGGCTGATGAAAAACAGGTGGGAATAATGAGTTGTGCATAGCTCAGTCACACCTCACCTGGTTAGGTGATTAGAAAGGAGGTTTGGCTCGGCTTTATTTTACCATATGCTAGGAAATATCGGGTTCATTCCCAGTGCATCAGTGAGCTCATGTGTAAGTCTCTACTAAATAGCCTATCACCAGAGTTGAGTATTACTGTAGCCTCTGAAATCACATTGTTTAGTGACAGGACAGATGGTTCGGTGATTAAGAGCACTGGCTACTCTTCCAGAAAACCCAGATTCAATTCCCAGCACCCACATGTTAGCTTAAAACTCCAATTCTAGGGGACCTTAAATCTGATGTAGCCTATTTGGGCATTGCACACATGTGATATACAGACATACACACAAGCAAAGCACCTATATACATAAAATAAGAATATATTTTACAAATTGAAGAAGCATTGCTAGGCAAAGCTTTTTGAACAGCATCTCCTGTTAGGCACACCCTAGAGGTTCTGGGCACGGTCCCACAACAGGAGCACAGAAATGCCACAGTAAGCAAGCCTTGCCAGGTACAACAGTCCGTGTGTGCTGTACTTGAGCCATCGATTGCACTGAAAAGATAAGATACATATTGTAATCTGCAATGGTCACATCTTGCTAAACAGTACCAGCACCATCGGAGCTTTTATTTACTTATGTATACAATGTTCTGTCTGCGTGTATGCCTGCAGGCCAGTAGAGGGCACCAGATCTCATTACAGATGGTTGTGAGCCACCATGTGGTTGCTGGGAATTGAACTCAGGACCTTTGGAAAAGCAGGCAATGCTCTTAACTGCTGAGCCATCTCTCCAGCCCCTCATCTGAGCTTTTTTAAGGTGTAGTGGCGGCGGCAGCCCCCTCCTCCTCCTCCATGGGTTGTTAGTGGCTGCTGTTGATGGTGCTGCTGTTTGCTGAAAGCTAGTGTGGACAGCAGTGAAATTTGCCGCATGGGTGACATTTCCTTTCTCTTAAGTTCTCTGAACCATGTTATGCTGGTGGCAGCATTTTACCCAGAGCAGGGTATTTTCCAAAATACCCTCAATCTCTGCCTCCACCCTATGTAAAGCTAAATCCATGTAGTATCTCTCTTTATGGCTGTTTGATCTGGTCACACCACAAAAACTTTCCTTGTTTGTAATGAGGCTGCTTCATCTTCTGGCTCCCGGACTCCCTGGAGTCATCCTTCCCGTGCAGTTTGGCTGGCTGGGAGGCTTGCTCTGGCCTGACTTAGCTTTCATCAGCCTCTCACCGAGCTGAGTCATTTGTAGCTTTTCACTTAAACATTTGAAGGCCACTGTCGGGTTATAGAAGAGGATTGACTTCATGCACATCCTGAATACTAGAGAGCTTCGAGGAGAAAGCCATTTGAACAGTCAGAACATACACTACATTTCCCAGAACTCACCATCTTGGGTGAGCAGTTTATGACTCCAGGCCACAGTTAAAATGCTAATATCAAGGGCTGGAGAGATGGCTCTGTGGTTAAGAGCACTGACTGCTCTTCTAGGAAGATCCTAAGTTCAATTCTCAGCAACTACATGACCTGACGTGACAGAACACTGTATACATAATAAAATTTTTTTATGGTAACATGAGGATCACAGATGAAGATGATTCAGTAGGTACGGGTTCTAGTCTGGAAGCCTAGTGGCCTGAAGTCAATCCTTGGGACCCACACAAAGATGGAAGGAAAGAGTCAGCTCCATAGTTGTCCTTTGACCCGAGTGTGTGTGCATGTGCATGCACATTCAGGCACTATGGCAATGTGTCACCTTCCATACACAGTTAAATTTTTTTAAAAGGTATTTTACGTCAACAATCACCATTAAACATTTACGTCCTTCTTAAATATACATATATATATATATATATATTTTATTTTTTTCCATTGCCTTGTATAGCACTGGCCCGTAGCCAACAATGGCTTTGATTGTGATCTTGCTCCCACTTTCTGAGTACCAGGAAGATCAGATCTCCAGCAAGTAGGGTCTTGTGTAGTGCTGAGGCTCAAGTCCAGGGCTTCGTACATGCCAGATAATCGCTCCACCAATTGAGCCATACCGTCATCCCCTTAAATAGATTTTAGTTATATTCACTTTAATATATCAGGCATGAAAACTTGCTTCTTTGAGAAAATGCATATCTAATGGTACTTTATGTACTGTGTTCAAGAGGAGTAAGAAAAGGTGCCAAGAAACTTGGAATGACAACAAAAGATCACAGATGGAGGAGTTGAAAGATTACAGTATGACTGGGCTTTTCAGCTACACACACAATCATAGGATAATATTTTTTAAGCAATAAAATTAGCATAAAATAATTATGTGGGTACATACAAGTTTAATTGAAAATAAAACATCTCTTTATTAAGAGGTGACAAGGATTACTATCCTTTACCTGTTTATGTCTCTATGAATGCGTTTGTTAGACAGATAAACAGATGATTGTTCTAGATGGTTCAAGGGATGACATAAGATACTTTATGTAACTAGAAGAAAACTGAGAAGCTCTTGTACCTATATATATGAAAAAATTTAAGCCGGGCAGTGGAGGCGCAAACCTTTAATCCCAGCACTTGGGAGGCAGAGGTAGGCGGATCTCTGTGAGTTCGAGGCCAGCCTGGTCTATAAGAGCTAGTTCTAGGACAGGTTCCAAAACCACAGAGAAAACCTGTCTGGAAAAAAAAAAAATGTAAACCATGTGTGTGGAGGAACCATGAATGATAGTACTTGGAAGTACTTGCACATTCCTGACCAGCCTCAAGTACATAATGAGTCTGTCTCTGAAAATGGGGCAAGGCTGGTGAGTGACATGTGTCTGACTGCTGCAGTCAAGATGCTGAGACAGGAGGCCAGGCTCCAGAGCGAGAACTTGTCCAGAAAAAGCACTAATTGGGAGCTGACTGGATGACAGAAGAGCAGTTGTCTGGTAGAGAGCTGACCAGGAGGGTGTGGGGGCTTCTAGGACAGTATGTGTGTTTGCCAGGACAGATAGAATTCTATACTCCACATCTGTGTATTGACACCTGGAATTCCAGCAAGGCTGAGGGTGTAGGCATCTAGACCATCCTTACCTAAAGAAAAAAAATTGTCTTTTTAAATTGTTCTCTGTGCCTGTGAAAGCCAGAGGTAGCTGATAGCCCCCCACCCCCAGGGAGTTACAGCTGCCCAGCATGGGTGTTGGAACTGAGCAAGTCTTTGGAAGAGCAGCAAGTGAGTCGCCTATCTCCTCCAACTCCATAGATGATATCTTAATTTTTCAAATGGTGCAGCATTGTGAAGAGGAGGGTGAGGCAGGAGGATAACAGATTTGAGGCCAGCTTGGGCTGCACAACAAGACCGTGTCGGGAAATAGTCTGGAAAAGATGACCAGGGAAGATTCCTTAGGTGTATTTTCCACGTGAAGGGTGTGGCATTTTCCTGATGTTTCCATGCTTGTGTTTAGGGAAGCTGCGCGAGAATGCCGCAGGAAGAAGAAGGAATACGTGAAATGCCTGGAGAACCGCGTTGCTGTTCTGGAAAACCAAAATAAAACTCTAATAGAAGAGCTGAAAACTTTGAAGGATCTTTATTCTCATAAAAGTGTTTGACTCTTTAAAGAGAAAGTATTTTTATGGACTTGCTTAAAAATTAGATTTCTTTTTAGTGGAGTTTTATAAATTCAAAGGTCAAAGAAGCTACTTTGTATTAGGTTTTTACAATGCAAAGGTGACGGGGTGAGTGGAGATGACCGTAACAAAGCTGCTGGTACAACTGGAAGCTCCGGGGGAAATGTACTCAAGGAAACGGACTTTGGCAATTTAATTTTAAATAACAGCCCAACCAAAAGTGGCAGATGCATTGATAAAGCAATCAGTTCCAAGTTTGTATTTCTGTTTCCTAAGATTGCCTTTTTGTGTGTGAGTTTGTGATTCCTACCAATAAATTCTAAATGACAAATGTAAAAGAAACCATAATACGTTACTAAGTATGTAAATTATGTGGTCTGATTGCTACTTGTCACAGTGTCGGGTGTGTTAAATGAGTTTTGACAGTTGGTTTTGTTGGACTTGAGGGTTTTTGAGAAGTGTTCTAACAGGCGCAGGGCACACTATCTGAGTGTGGTGATTTGTAACATTTTTATAAGAATGGAAAGAGAACTGTCTTGAAAATTTGACATTTTTAAATAGCTTATTTTTTGCTTCCGGTAAGGGCAATTTTTCACAAGGATATAATAATTTTTTTGATTCTCTAATCCTGTATGCAGTTGAAGAGCATTACTCTTTGTGCTTTAACAGAATGAAGTGTTTACAGAAGCCCTTAAAATATTTTAAATAACCTAAAGTTGCACGCCAAAGCTTCCCGAAAGTTTGTAATCATCTTCCGTAGGTTTGTCAGGTTCTAAAATAGTTATTGAGGCAATTCTACGTTGACCTATTTTGTAATGTAGCCAATGGTACCTTTATAAGAGAGTGACTGCCGATATATTTTTATAGTGAATCTTTATAAATTCTAATGTTGAGTTTTTAATGATTATTTTAAATGTTTATATAGTTTTAGTAAAAAAATTTGTATCTCAAATTATCATTTTTATATTATGAGAAGAGTAAAGTTTTCAATTGGCTGATATTTGAATTGTACTTTTTCTATGAAGTTTATCTAAAGTTGAAGCTGTGGTCAGGACACCAGTGTTTAACCTCTGTATTCTAATCTGTATACACTTTGAAACTGTTGTGTGCCTATATGGTATGTTTCATATTGTCTATGGAATTAAAAAAAACATTTGATAAAATTAAGTTTGCGGAATACAAAATACAGTGTTCAACATAACAAGTGCCAAGCCCACTGCCAGCCACTGTGCATGGCACTCGTGTGATGGACTTGTAGCCTAAGGTCCCAGTAGCTCTGCAGTCTGGTCTAGAGGTGCTTTGATTCAGCCAGAACCAGCTATGATAAGCTCAGGAAAGCTGTCTGCGGGTACATTAATCAACCGCCACTTCCTGTTGATCCTCCAAAGGGATTGTTCATTAGTAGAACTTGGCCACAAAGGCTATTTATTCCTTACTTTTTTTCCTTTCTTCAGCCTAAAGAACATGGGGTTTGTCAGGGTGGTCTAGCAGGGAGTAGTGTTTAGTTGGCAGGTTACTATCATTTCACACATGTGCTGGTGGAAATAATCGCTGCCTGCAGCTCCAGCTAAGCCCTGTCAGATTCTTTTAGACTGTACAAGCATCCTACCAATGAGGGAGAGTCCCAGCCCAGCAGGTCATTGTGTGGTGACTTCTGGGTTTCCTCTGGTGGCTGGAGCTAGAGGTGCGGCATGACTTAGAATTGGCCGTCAGTAGTGATGACGGCAGTAGCATGCGTTCCCGGGAAAAGTGTGCCTAAGCTCCGTCTGCAAGAGGCTTGATGGATAAAGAATGCCTTGTTAGTCAAGAGGGCACAGTCTTCAAAGGCATATCCAATCTAATCAGTAATACTGATTTGTTTGGTTTTGTTTTCTCAAGACAGGGTTTCTCTGTGTAGACCAGACTGGCCTTGAACTCCCAGAGGTCCCCCTGCCTCTACCTCCCAAGTGCTGGGATTAAAGGTGTGCATCATCACATCAGATCAGTAATACTGTTACAGATTTCTTTGTTTTTGGTTTTTGGTTTTGGTTTTTGAGACAGGGTTTCTCTGTGGGTTTGATTCCTGTCCTAGAACTAGCTCTTGTAGACCAGGCTGGTCTCGAACTCACAGAGATCCTCCTGCCTGAGTGCTGGGATTAAAGGCGTGCACCAACACCGCCCGGCTTGTTAAAGATTTCTTGTCTTTTTCACTATAAGTCACAGGGAAAGGCCAGTCTAGATTGCCCCTGTCCCCAGATCTTAGGGACTGGTATAGGAGAGGTTTAGGGCACATTATCCATTGTCCCTTTTCTCATTCTTAGAGGTAGACTGCCCTTTGACTAGTATAGTTTGTTGCAGTCATAATTATTAGAAATTAAATCTTTCCTGCCATTTCATGATTGAGGTCCTTTTTCTCCAAGTTGTTGGCATTTTATGTAATCATTTGCTGTCTTCAACTTAGCTTGTACCATATATAACATGTCATATAGAACATGTCATAGAACATGTAGCAACCTAAACAAGTCAGGGTGACTACATACATGTGTTCTCAAGAGTATTCCGTGTAGATGTATAGCACTCGACTAGTGAGGTCATGGTATGCCTTTTATATACAGTGGGCAGAAGACACCAGGAAAGTCCCCTTTCCACCCCTGTGGAACTCAAGCCCTTGAGGTTCTTGTTTGCTAGGTCACATCAGTGTAAGTGGCTGGGATTCAGACTTCTAAACCCGATGTGGTGCACACCTGTAATCTCAGCAGAAACCACGGGGCTGGAGCAGGAGCATCAAGAACACCTTTAACCCCAGTACTGGGGGTTGGGGGAAGGCAGAGGCAAGGTGATCTCTGGGAGTTTAAGGCCACCCCAGTCTACAGAGTAAATTCTGGGGCAGAGAAACCCTGCCTTTGGAGTGAGGGAGTTTGGGGCCAGCCTGTTTGAGGCAATGTCTCAAATAGATCAGTTTTACTTCCCACTCAGTAAACCCATGAACTCCATCAGTGTCAAAGGAGAAAACTAACTCCAAAAGTTGTCCAGTGACCGCCTGGGCGATATGGCATTCACTTGTATCCACACATCTTTTACACAGGTAGTAATACATTTATTAAAAAAAAATAGCAATCTGGAAACACTGTCTTGTAGCTCCATCATGAGGGTGCCTCATACAAAATATTTGATGAATTGAGTTCAAGCAGGCACAGAAAAATTTGATATTCTGCCCAGAATCACACAGTAAATAAGAAAATTAATGTTAAATTTTAGGTCTAGTCAACACTAAAATGTATGGTATTGGTCATGAGAATGTGTCCCTTATGGATTTTTTTTTTTTTTTTTTTTTTTGAGGCAAAGAAGTTTTCCCCCTCCTTTGGCTTAAAAATAGTTTAAAGCCCTGTTTAAACTGTCCACTAGAGGGCAACCTCCTTTAAACACAAGTTTGTAGAAAAGTCTGGCAAAGGGCTAACAAGATAACTCAGCTGGTGAAGGCACTTGCTGCCAGGCCTGATGCTCAGTCCCCATGTAGTGAAAGAAGAAAACGGCTTCACAATGCACTGTGGCATGCATGTACACACAGGAACACACATGGAAATGTCATAAAACAGCAAACTTTTGTACAACATCCAGGACAAATAACTTGGTTGTCTTGAGATCTGAAGGGAGAATGCACACGGGCCCCCCCCCACGATTCCTGTCCACTCCTGGTTTCCCTACAGGGAGGCAGCTGCTTGAATTCAGTGTGTGGTCACTACATGGATTCATAGGTATTCAGGCTGAGACGAGAGTCCTGTGGGTTCAGTAAGAACAAGGTCCTGTCTGAAAAACATACAGGAGGTTGAGAATGAAGGCAGGTGGTGGTTACTCATGCCTTTAATCCCAACCTGGTCTACAAAGTGAGTTCCAGGATAGCCAGAAAACCCAGTCTTGGGGGGGGAAAGGCTGAAAATGAAGCTCAGCTATGCTGGTCTAGGAGGTACAGTGCTCGGGGTTCAATTGCCAGCACCAATGAGCCAAGATGGTGGCTTTGTACAAGTTTGTACCCACATTCAGCTCCTAACTCCAGGGGAGCTCACACCTGGCCCTCTGAAGGCACCTATACTCAAGTGCACACACACATCTTTAAAAGTAAACATCTTTATTTTTAAAGAAAATCTTTAAAAGTAAACATCTTTATTTTTAAAGAAAATCTTTAAAAGTAAACATTGAAAAACAAAAAGCATGATTTAGTGGATTTTTTAGTTCATAAATGTTTTTCAACATTCTACCAGTCTAAAAATAAAAAGACAAATATGACAAAGTGCAGTGGAAGCCAGGAGCCGAGCCCCAGCTAGAGCACTTGCCCAGCATGCACAAGGCCTAGGGTGCGGTTCGCAGCACTAAAACTAAAGCAGTGCAATTCGTGTTTTGGACTAAAATTGAACATCAGGCTTGCAAACGATTCAGTGGGCAGAAGTGCTTGACCCAATAACCAGTTCCCACAATCCTCCTGGCGCATACACAGCTCCCCGCACTTACATCACGCACACGTGACTGTTTCTGAATTGAAATCAGGCTGCAGAGTAGGCTCAGTAGTTGACAGCATTTGCGCTTGCAAAGGACCCTTCTTCCGTTCTAGGCGCCCACATGGCAGTTCATAACATCCCCAGAACTCTAAACTCCATGACCAACGGGCCTAGGTGTGCTGCACAGACACAAACAGGAGAAACAGGTGGAGGAGTGCACGCCTTTAATCCCAGCGCTTGGAGGCAGAGACAGACAGACCTGTGACTTTAAAGCTAGGCTGGTCTGTGGTGGCATTTCATTTGTATTTTAATAAATAAAGATTGCCTGAAGATCAGAGAGTAAAGCAGCCCCACTGGTCAGCCTTTCAGACCAGGCAGTGGTAACACACACCTTTAATCCCAGCCTTAGGATTATAAAACAGGAGACAGCTCTCAGACACAGTCTCATTCTGAGATTCCTGGAGGCAGGATCGCCATTTCAGACTGAGGTAGAGGTAAGAGCCAGTGGCTGGCTGGCTTGCTTTTCTGACCTTCAGGTTGAACCCCAATTTCTCTCAGTTTTATTAATCACACATCACTGGTCTACATAACAAGTTCCAGGACAATTATGGCTACCTTTAAAAAAAATTAAAAACATAGACCGGACCAAATCATAAAGACTATCAGGTTGAAGTGGGAAGCAAAATTCTACTACATGTTTATAAATGCTAAATTTAAAATGTAAGGAAACGGCAAGACTGAGATGGAGCATTCCAAAAGCCAGTCAAATTCCAGCCCCAGAAAGCTGGAGTGGCTGTATATGTGTGTTGAAGAAAATAGACTGGACATCATCCTTGGTTCACAACTGCACTCTTGCTGCCGTGATGAATCATAATGAAGACATCTGTGTTTTCTGATGCTCAGCTGACTCCCGTGAAAGGGTTATTCGCCTCCCAAAGGGGTCGCAACCACAGCGTGAGAACTGCTAGTCTAGATCAAATACGGTTAATGCTTTTTCTCACCTTCCCGCCTTCTTGAGGACGGGGTAGCTCGTGCTACCACGCTCGGCCCACCTCTGACCTTGAGTTCACTAGAACAGGGTGAGGATACTAAAACGAAGAAATGTGATAAGAAAAAAAGGAAAAATTCTAGAGACAAAAGCAGGAAAATAGCAAAACAGATTTGAAGAATTAACAATCCCAGTTGATGCAGAACACAGCCCTTTGTGGGCAACACCATTTCCTGGGCAGGTAGGTATAGTCTAATAACAAAGCTAGCAAGGCCTAGGTCTGCAAGTGAGCCAGCAGCAAGCAGCATTCTTGCACGGTTTCTGCTGCCCTCTGTGCTGAGAGGTAGCGTCAAATAGACCAGCAGACTGGCCTTTGACTTCCTGCCCTGATGCCTCAGTGATGGACTGTAAACTACTGAGATGAGATAAGCCTTTTCCTTTAAATGGGTTGTGGTCGTGGTATTTGTACAGCAGCAGAATGGAGCTAGAATGGGCAACCTCATCTTACATCCGAAAAAGAAAAGCCAGGGTGAAGTTAGCATGCCAGGCAAACAGGATGTGTGCCAGCCTCAGACACCAACTGCGATTCAATGCAGAACACACAACACACAGCTCCTGCGCATGGGGTAATGAAGTCAGGCTCAACACGTTTTGAGAACTGATTCAGAAGGACTGTTTCTTTGGCCTATGTGCATCTACCC